ACCCCCATCACCCCCCACCCAACCACCCACCCCCCCCCCCCCCCCCCCCGCCCGCCGGCCCCCCCCCCCCCCATGTGACAATAGGTAGATCAGCATATTCTGTGAATGAGATATGATAGAGACGTTAAGACAACAATTGAATACTTACCTATCTACCTAGGTTGGGTAGGTAAGCTTCCTATTGGTATCCCCATCAATTTTGATATGAATGCAATGATTATTCATTTGTTCGTGAATATCTAAGTGTACCTGTTACTTCTTTCTTCTAGTTGTCGATGCTGCCGGTCCAAGTTTGGAATATGTGAAGAGAGCTAGCAACCGCAAATTGGCTGCTTATACTGGGCATCCATTTATCTTTCTTTACTACCAGGAAAGACTTTGGAAAAGGTGTGATTACATGGAGCCATACCCAATGCCTACCTGTATTGATGTGTTGAATGCTCTGTAGAACCAAGTACCTCCAGGTAGCTAAGGGTCTATGCAACTACCTATGGAATGAACTGAACCCCTAGAAAATATCGTCTTTTGAAACAACCCCCCCCCCCCCCCCAGGTAGATATTTCAACACGCCTTGTCCTAGCCAACCCAAGCGCAATACACTAGCACAACGGCTGGGGAATGAAGTCAATATAACTAACTGTAAGACCGATTGCTAGCTACTATATACAAAGTAATAGTCGAAGGAATCAGGCTGGGTATGCCTATATCAAAGACGAAGGAAGTTAAGCTAGGCTTGCTTCTCCTTTTATGCAAAAACTACGGAGCGTCCCCCATAGAGTGGAGATGAAAGCAAAGATACGCTACATCTAGACATACAAGTATAAAATAGACAACCTACGTGTAGGACACGTTACCTGGCGATCTTGGATCGATCAATGTTTAGGCCTGATTCGACGCGGAATAAATGACGATGGCACGGAATATGATGGTCAACTTCACTTCTGTAAACGCAATCAATGTATGTTCGAAATTCGCTGTATTGATATATGGCCCAAGGAAGCCCAAAGGGAAGGGGCGGAGACTATTCGACTATTGAAAACAGATACTAAGAAATACCAGCCACCTGTTTTAATCTGTTCCTTATCCGCGGGAACATCAACTAATACGCTTGGAAATGACACGTAAGAACTCTATAATTTATATCCACAGCAGAGGGCGTCTTAACTGACTGCGCCAAAGAGTACCAGAAATGATACCGCTGCCTCGTTAAAAAAAGAAAAAAAGGATGGGCCGCCATCATTAGGGCTACCCTCCAGTTCGTTCCATGCAACACACGCCCCGTCATATTACCAATGTTAACCGGTTCGAGATTCCAGGATTTCGCATTTCCTCTTCCAATAATCACGCTCTTTTTCAAGACCAGCAATCTTTGCCTCAAGTTCCTCAAACCGTTGCGCTTTACGCTCACGCGATTTACGAGCTGCAAGAGTATTGCGAGCTCGTTTCATAGCAACGGTGTCGCTCGGATCATCAACGATGATAGGAGGAAGAGGCTTGTCTCGACGGCGGGGATTTACACCAGCAACAGAAGAATGCCTGGCATGGTTTCCAGATGAGGGCGAGTTGCCAGATTTACGACGAGTCTTAGGAACGGTATCAGTCACCTCCAACTCTTCAGACTGCTGTGCCGGTGAAAGTTCATCGACGATAGAAACAGTGCTGACGATTGGATTGTCCTCAGGGAACAAAGAAGGCCATGATCTGAAGCCATGGTCAAATTCGTTACCAGCGATATTCGGGGAGAGTTCAAAATCAAGATCTTGAATATCAGGAGACCCGTCATACATGGAAGGCGACGTCAAATTCGTGATTGCGGTGGAGTTCGGGGCAGACGTGATGGGGTCGAGGAATAAGTCTTGGGGCGAAATCGTTCCCATATTGCTGGCAGCACTGGAAGCAGAGCTCACGTTCACGTCATAACCAGGAATTCCGGGGGAAGAGTAGGCCGTCGTTGGCCCCTGCAAGGCCGAAAGATCCTCTAGGCTGAGAGCGTCTGGGTGGTGTGAGATAGGAATGTAATTGGAGAAAGAAGTTGAATAATTACCTTGAAGATCCATTCTGGCCGCCTGCTGATTACCGCTGCCCTGTGTGAAAAGAGGTACAGGTGGGCGAGTGGAACGATTCTGGTTCGCTGCAGCGGTAGAAGGTAAAGCAGAAATCGATGCGTAATACTGTTGTAAATTCTGATTTTGCGCAAGAGAATTAAACCGATTGGTAAAAGCCGTAGAGGAAGAAGTCTGATGTCCTGTTGCCTGGATAATTTGAGCCACTCGCTGATTCTGTATTGAGGGTGATGAACCGTTTGCGATGCGCGGAGAGCGGCTAGGGTTGACGTGTATAGATCCAAAGGCTGATACTGCTGCTGGGGCAGGTGAGGATACAGCGCGATTAACGTTCTGTCTCTGGGGCGTAGGTTGATCGAACAAGACGAAGTCCTGTTGTGGTGGCGGGAAGTTGGGTAGCGCCGGCAGGCTCGGGGAACTGGGGGGTAGCCATTTTGTCTGATGAGAATCCGTGGTGAAGACTGAAGAGTCTTGAGGAGGAATGGTGGCGGTGGTGAGAGAACTCGGAGAGCTGTGAATAGCTTCGTTTGAGTTCAGTTCTTCCTGGGAAGGGAGAGCTGAGAAGGGTTGAGTGGGGAGATAATTGTTAATCTTTGGAGACTGAATTTTGAATGTGGCTACAGGGAGCACTTGGGAAGAAAAGACACGAGGCCGGGTTTGCTTATCGCATTTTGATGGATGTTCTATTGCCTGCTTATGATATGGTTCTGTAATTGTATGGAGGGGGGTTGTAGAAAAAAAGAAGAGAGGAGAAAAAAAGATTCGTGCCTGAATTCGGTGGGAGACGTGAGACTTTAGTAATTTTTCAGGCAACAATTTTCCTTAGCAGAGCCAAAGCGAAAGACAAAAAAAAACCGGTGCTAGGTCGCAACTTCCCTACTTTCTCAGTAAAACGGAGAGGGGCGCAGGGGGGGCTTTAGTGTATTTCTGTGTATTGTACTAGGGTTAAGGGCTGTTAGGCGTACTACACTATGTACCTAGGTAGGCCTAACGCATGGGTGGATTTTTGGAGACATGGGTACCCGTGTGAGGTCAGTAGTTAAGTCTTACAGTTACTTACTAGCCACTAACAATTTTGATTGCAAGCTATTTCTACGGAATTTCTATGGCAAGCTTACCGGATGAAACATATCTTCAGTTAAGAAGGAACAAAATACGCTTCGCTTGAGCGTGTGACTCATACTTGATTGACCCCACAATTCCGTTTTGCACTAACTATCCCTGCCATCCAATGCTCGTCCTTCAACTAACGCACAGCCCTCTCTTTCCGTATTTCCTGCTGCAACTTGTCTTTAGTCTGGTCGTAACTGACGGAAGTTTTGAATTAAAAAAGATTTTTTTTTTTAAAAAAAAAATAATAATAATAAAATACCTACATAAACCAGTTCGACGCAACACAGACAGTACGGCATCTTGCAGCGGAAAATATGCAATACTTTGCGAACCGCGAACTGCGAACCTCGACCTTTCCTACGTACGTACGTATTTGCAAAGTACCTAACATTTATTTCGGGTTGCAACGTCGTAATTGCGAGCGGAATCCGAGTATGTATATGTCGGTATCTGCAACCTGTCGATTGAGGAGAAAAAAAAATTGTATGAGGGTCGCAAAATATTGGCTTATCGCCGCGAATAGTCTCCCAGCCGTTGCGGACTTTGAAAGATACTAACGACTAACACCGTTTTTAGTTCCCTACATTAGCTGATTAGGTACATAATATTTCCCCGTTTCAATTAAATCCGTGGGATCTCTCTTGTCCGTCCTGCCGGTTTCTGGGGACCGCATCGCCAAGGATCTAAACCATTCGAGGTCAAGGCTTGTGACGGATTACGATATACCTATTATTGTCTATTCACTTCTCTACGTCGCTAATGAATTCCATTGGCTCGTCGCTCATCAGGCAGCTAAATTAGGAAAGGTGTTCTGTTCCATAGGAGCAGCGATTATCCTTCCTCGTGATATTCAGCGTCGACAAAATGCCTCGAGAAACCCGCTTTACGGCGTTACGCACCCTGTATGTTAGTGCGTGTAGTGCGTGCGCATTTATCAGATGGGACATTTGAATGGGACGTTTAAATGGGCCTTGAATGGAGCTTGAATGTAGATATTGGTTGTGATATCAAGCTAAACGCCTAGCTACATTGCAATTACGAATCTTTGCATTCTACCAGCTAAAGCCAAGGCCAACGACACAGAGAAGTCGGGCGTTTCCTCGGTCTCGACCTATGCAATATACGTTTCTAAGTACCTAGGCACCTAAGGTATGGTTCATTTTATATTAATCTGTCACATACCGGCCTCTCTCATTGGGTCCACTACAATAATCAATTGATGTAATTGCAGAGATGTAGGAACCAACATAAATTTGACGGTTGATCATGTGGATTTACATGGCATCGCAGATCCATCGCTACGTTTCGCGCATGTGCGCAGTCGTCAACTCAATTGCGTATACACTATTTTCAGAATTCGCAGGCGCGTGCGCAACGCGGGTCGCATTGATAAGAAAAACAAAATTCTCAAAAAAAAAAATTAAAAAAATTAAAAAAATTCGACCATTCCATTGTCGCGTCTTCTCAAACCCCACAATGTTCATGGGGTCCTTGCAAAAAGGAAAAATGCTCCCCGACCTAAGTGTCGCGGAACTGTCTGGCGGAATCAAACCCTAATTCGGATAGGCCAAAGATCAACAACAGGGGCTGCCGGATCAGCGACAGGAGCATTTCAAGCAAATCGGATCACCCAATTCCAACGCAGAATGGACCTAAGTTTCAATGTTTCTTAACCCTGAAGTTCAGATTATGACTCATAATTCGATTTCACACTATTCTACAACTACGGTCCAATAGGATATAGTATCGGCGACAAACCACTACATCGTATATTTTAACTACTAACGGTGGCAGATTCCATCCTCGGTATTGCTAATCCCTTTGGTCTCTTCGCTATGTCTTGCCTTCAATGTTCTTTCATTATCCTATCACGCCTAACACCAAAGTGGCTGTACGGTGTTTCGTGGCACAGGAAGTCGACGAACTAATAATCCCGACATTGAAGGGTTATTTGAAACAAACTAACATGAGAATGAAAACGGAGGCACTCGTACTATGTAAAAACCAGTGTATTACGGGAAAATCTCACCAAAATTGCCTACTCTAGGTACCTTGTCTTGCATGGTTTATCCCTATCAGGGTTGCATACATCTACTATGGTAGGTAGTGTATTATATCGGTGGATAGGTGGATAGTAAGTGGGTAGCAGGCTGAAGATGCATTTCCATGTTTTCCCCCCCTCTCTTTACACGCAGGGCGCAGTCCTTTACGCCGTTGCTTTCCGATTCTTGAGGACCCGTTTCTATCACAGTACGGTAAGCATTTCGAACATCAAAGATCAAATGAGATAAATCTATTGGTAATCGGTAATCTCAGATGCATGTTCCAGACATTTTACGACATCACAGGAGAAAAAGGACCGCATCCTCATCTTTCACAGACCGACGCGGCACCACGCCCTATCAGCCCTATGTAGGATCCCCAGTCTTGCATACACAGGTCCGTCCCTTCGTTCCAAATTCTTGGTTCGTTATTCTTGGTTCACCATCGCAACGCCAAATTAAAGATGGATTCTTTAGCAAGGCCACGTTGCCTCTCTGCATATTAGGCAGAGCTCCGATCTAACACTCCTTCCAAGCTTATGGGCCTAACAATATCGATGTACGAAAGCATTTCAAACTGCTAGGTTATGGCCTACATAGTACATCCGTGGAAATGTTGTATACCGACCTCCACGACGCCTTATAAGCCGCTCCATGCGCCCTCCATATTACGCAGCAATTCCTTGTCAGCAGCTTCGGCTACACTACATAGGTATGTACCTAACTGCTAGACATCATCGTAGGTTTGTACGTACGTGCCCTTACCGGATCTTGTGCATGTAAATATATGAGGTAGGTAACATTCGCCTGTACATACCTAACTATACATCTAACTCCTGCATCTCCGACCATGATGCACCTATACCTACAACACGTACATACTAGGCATTCATTTATTTTTTCGCTATTTGCGTAAGCCCACCCCGTAGGACTTACGTTGGCAGTACCCAACTCCGGGCGAGGGGGAACGCAAGACATTCATTATTCACAATTGTCGAATTTGGATGGACGCCTTACCGCCGGTAAGGTCCGCGGACTCCGCATTGGCTGCCTTGTCCCGTACGTACGTTGCGTTTGCGTACCTAAGGTAGGTAAGGTAGGAATCCCGTCGCGGCATGGTCGGACCCGGAGCGGTCAATGCGAATAAGTACATACCTCCTAATCTAGGCGAATACGACGCAAGGCTGCGATTTTGTTGTTGAGATGTGTTCTTTCATTGGACCCTGTCTTCGAATAGGTTAGCTACAGGTAACCTTGTTTTGTAATGTAGGTACCTAGTGCCATGAGCGAGTTACCTATGCGGAGATTATATGTATATCACACACTCTTATTCGTATTATCCAAGATCTCGGGGTCTCGGCTTAGTGTCAGTCAGCCTCCTTTCCTGTCTGTCCCCTTGCTTCTAGAACTGCTACGACTTGCGAATACTGGTAACACAGAATACTAGGTTTTTTTTTTCTTTTTTGAAATGTTACGAACGTATTTTCTTTTCCTATAAGCACAGGAGCAGCAGCATTGCTCGTATATGGCGCCATTCGTCATTAAGAAAGAGGTGAGAAGTCTGGATATGGAAGCGGTATGAATTCACGTAAAGGGTTGTATGGGTATCTAGGTAATTGAACATATTATGGACTACGACTGCAAATAGAAATACGCACAGCATGTGACAGAACACAATGTCGTAGGGTATCATAATGTGTGTGATTTAGGTACGTTTACTAATTCAACGTCCTCTGCATACGTGCAAAATCAACGCATGTCTGCCTGTAAAGCACATCGCTACCTAATCTAGCCTGTCCTAGCTCTCTCTAGGTGCCTAGGTACTCATACGAAGACGAGTCTTCGACAGCAACGGGCATCGATGCCATCTTCGCCTTTGGTGATGGCGCCTCAGTGTCGGTATTGGCAATCGATATCAATCTAGTTTTTGGTCGCCTCGGTAGCATCCACCAAGTTGTTGTCTCGAACAACTAGCTCCTGCGCCGCAATTTTCTGCATCATCTGAATAAAACCTGAGTTCTTAAACTTATCGGACTTGTCCCCTGATACGGAATTTAGGATCTGCTGCGCGGCCATGGCGAGCTCCGTGTCCTCCTTGCCTTGAGACTTAACTGGCTCTTCTTTCGATTCGGCCGCTATGGAGTTGAGAACTGGCTCAGTTTCCGTATCCATCTCTTGCTCGAGGGCGATTAGGTTCTGCTGGGTAAGTTGATGGGCATTAGCCAACTGGAAAATATTTTGTGTATCGCGGACAAGGCCATCTAAAGAGGTACGCTCGCCGCCAAGCCATGCATTAGCTTGGGCTTGCGTCTCGGGACTGTTGGCGGCCGCCCAAGCACGTAATTCAGCATCGAAGTCGAGATCGTCTTCGGGGCGGCGGGTCTGATTCGCGAGAGTGCCTATATGCTGCTGCATCATGGTTTCTCGAAAGACGTCCGCGTATCTAGTTCTCGGTACGGACGGGACAAAGTTCGGGCCTATCTGATTAAAGTCGTTACGGGGAATTCTCTGACTACCCTCATTGGTCCAGTGTGTACGACTGCGAGCGACCAGGTCTGCGGCACGAGTTGTTGTGGTGTGGCCTACAGGAGGAGACGCGAAAGGCATGCTGGGCACGAGGGGAACGGCCGCGGGGGAAACTCTAGGACGAGTCGGAGCGTTGACGCGATGGGCAGGAGAGAAGTTGTCGCTGCTAGTAAAGGGCGGATAGGTGGGTAGCTGGGGAATGGGTGCCCAGGGTCTGGCTTCGGAGGAGGTATCCATGAAAGAAGTGTTTTGGAATCCGGAGAAATCTGATGTAAATCTGTTGTCGCCTAAATTAAGGCTGCGGAAGCGCTGGAGGGATGTTAGAAGAACATATTCAATCCACCAAGCTAGGATGGATACCAACCTGTGTCGCATCTTGGACGCCGCTAGAGGTTCCAGCAGACGATGTAAATCGGTCTTGCTGTAGAGAGCGGTCCTGTTCAAAGTGTCGAGATAGGGATTTAGGAGCGGTCGAGGGACCGCAAATATTGTCCGCCATTATGATGAACTGCCACAATATAAAGTAGCGATACGATACGATACGGTATGATATGATATGATATGAGGAATGGGTTGTTTTTTGTAGATGAGATGGTGTTTGCCTGACTCGTTGATTGATGAGGATCGAGTTCAGTGCAGGAAAAGAAGCCGACGAGAAGTTGGCGAGTATTTCCGTCGCGCGTGTACTAAGTATGAAACTTGCAGCTTTTAAGTTTGCGGGCTGACCTAAAAGAAGTTTTCTTAAGTTGGACAAAGGAACCTTAATGTTCTAAGCTACTTCCGACTCCCGAGTCAGAAGGTACGCAGAAAAGGCAAGCGAATTGGGCGTTACCTAAGGTACTGGTTACCTTGGAGGTACGTAATAAGCAGTACCTAATAATAATAATAGTACATGTCGGGGAAGCAACGAAATTGACGAAACAATATTGAACGTAAATGTCAATGTTGCTTGTGTGAATTGTGTGTAATAAGATGTAGGTAGGTAGATATTTGGAGTACCTAGGTAATTCAAATGCGCATCACAAGGAAGAGTACCGGCTCGGAGTTCCTTGCGGCGATGTAAGCTTTAGCCTCGGCAGACACGGCGAACGTACCGAACAGAAAAGCCAATTATGATGTCAATCCAATTACATCCATGGTACCTAAATTGATCTTACTAATGCAGGTACGTACCTAACGCTACATGCAACCTATCCTCCCCATAACCTAACCCTGCATAAATCCAAAGGTTTATCCCTGTTCCACGTTCATTGAAAAACATTAATCCGGAAAAGCACTGAGTGGGGCGTCAGCTTCAGCTTTAATGAAATCTGGACTGATCCATTTAACCAGTAACATTGGAAATGCATGCCATTGATCTTGGTGTACAGATTGTAGGTACTATTGTAGTGTACACCTGGTGAACTTGCCGGTGGAGCTTTGGAACTTGTTTACCTCAGCTGCCAAGTTGAAGGTTACAAACGAATCAATCCAACATTCAGAAACTAAATCAAATAACACGCCGCTTTTCTCGGTCGAATCTTGAGCTTCCTACTCTCCCTATATCCTCTATCCTCTTTCCAAAATGGTATGTTAGCTAGTCGAATCTGTCCCCTAATAGCCTGTGATTTACTGACGTTTTGCTCTACCACAGGCGCAAGTCATATCCAATTCTGGCCACGATGACATGATTGTATGTACGGATAAAGCACTAGACGATACCAACCAAATCCCTACTCTAGCACGATATGCCTCAATACGAACTTTCCGCATTCATCGTTCGTGGTGACCACCCTATATAGTTCGCTAACATCCTTTAGCATGATGCTGTTCTCGACTACTATGGCCGGCGGCTTGCAACCTGTTCCTCGGACAAGACGATCAAGATATTCGAGATCGAAGGCGAAACTCAACGGTTAACGGAGACATTAAAAGGGTATGGGTGATTTCCTTCTTCCTAATGCCCTAGCACCCCTAATAATCTTCTGAGTATAGTCACGAAGGCGCCGTGTGGTGTGTTTCGTGGGCGCATCCTAAGTACGGCAACATTCTCGCCTCGGCAGGTTACGACGGCAAGGTCTTTATTTGGCGCGAACAATCGAATCAATGGCAGAGAATCTTCGATTTCTCCCTCCACAAGGCCTCGGTGAACATGGTCGCATGGTCACCACACGAATCGGGCTGTCTTCTCGCATGCGCGTCGTCTGACGGAAATGTGTCCGTTCTCGAATTTAAGGACAACAACTTTTCCCACGTTTCCTTCCCGGCGCACGGCCTTGGCGTCAACTCAGTTTCCTGGGCACCTGCCACGACGCCTGGTAGCATCGTTTCTTCTGCACCCCCCGGCCCGGGTGCTCTTGGTCAACGCCGTTTCGTTACGGGAGGCTGTGATAATGTGCTTAAGCTGTGGGCCTACGATCCTGCAACCCAAAGCTACAAGCAGGAGAGGGAGCCACTGGCAGGGCACACAGACTGGGTACGAGATGTAGCATGGAGCCCGACGGTACTGCAGAAGAGCTATATTGCGTCGGCATCACAAGATAAGACCGTACGAATTTGGACGAGCGATAACGCAAGCCAGGGCCAGTGGTCGTCCAAGGTCCTAAACTTCGATGCGGAGATGTGGCGGGTAAGCTGGAGCCTTAGCGGGAACGTGTTGGCTGTTAGTGGTGGCGACAACAAGGTCTCATTATGGAAGGAGAACCTCCGAGGAGAGTGGGAGTGCGTCAAGACAATGGAGGAATAATGATGACCGCACCCATAGGATGAGAGGATGGATTATGGTGATGGTGATAAGTCGAGGATGATTGTCATGAAGCCCGGCGTTCAGATGTAGAAGGGGGCATTGATTTGGCAGGACTGTTGGTCACTAAAAAGCAGGTCTACTTGCCTTCTGTGGCGGCCCCTAAAACATACATTGGAGATAAAATATGATATTTTTTACAACAATTGTTGAGATGGTAATGCGAGTTCTACTTTACGAGTATGATGGTGTGGGTTGTTACCAAGGAGATATGTGTATTTGAATTCTTGGTCTATACCTATAGGTTTAGAGGATTTCGTCTTATTGTTTGTTCGTACTAGGAACAACTTTGACGTGCAGTTTATACATAACTTATGGTATGTATAGGTATCTATGGTTAGCCCTATTTAAAAGGGGACAACTACTATCAATACTGATTATTAGAATATCCTCCTCTGGAATCGTCCTATTATTGGAGCCTCGTGTTTGTTAGAGTACTAGTACCGATCATCCCTTAGGCTAGCTACCTAAGGTGCCTATCTTTCAGGTAATTAGCCTCTATGTTAGGTAGATGTAAGGGCTATGGGATTAACTTGATTGTTTAATGGCGGAAAGATTAAAACCGTAGCGTGGCACATTGAAACATGTTTAAGATAGGTACCTAAGGTCAGATAACTAGGTACCTCCTACCTGATATACTATGATACTTCGTACTTACCTTATGCTTCCAATCGATTGGATATTGTTATGGAAACCGCCATGGGATGGACTGATTGATTTGGTTGGTTTGACTCGGACAATTGGCGGTTAGTCAACCAGTCATAACGTTGTGACCAAAGATGGGAAGGCAGCACCCCAGGTTGTTGGTCGTACTAAATGTTTTTAATGTCTTTATGTACCTTCTCCGCTAAATAAAACCTAAAGATACATTACATTAGGTATGTACGTAAACCGTACATCCCTCCAGCTTCAGGGGGCCTTGTCTGTACCAATAAAATTAAGGAAGTCGAGCCTGGGAATCCCAGATTCATCAACTTCATAATTGCAACTTACTGTTCTTAACCCTGTTCTGCATTTACCTCTTAATCTTTTACAATTGCGACCACTTTGCCTTTGTGATCATATCAAAATTTAAAGGTGATGCTTACTCTCTGAACGTCAGTATCCTATCACCTATGCGACAGAGAGATCAGCCCACTTGCCGCCGTGTGTAATCATCCTAAGCGACGACAACCACGCAATCGGCTGTGAATAAAATCAGCGCCAACAGCTGCTCAGCAAAAAAAGGAGCTTTCCACTTCGCAGATTACACCGCCAAGTTGTCTGAATTGCAGGAGGATAGTCACGGACAGTCCGTGTCCGCCGGGCTCCCACTGACCAACACCATCGAAGACGAAGGGAACGTAAGATTCGAGAACGACGAAGTAGACAATCTTAACCGGGGACGTTCGCCTCCTCCACAGTATCCCTACTCAGCCTCCGAAGCTTCTGCTTCCACATCCTTTTCCCTAACTACTTCCCGTCCCGCCCCACCCCCATTCTCGAGTCTATACACCGTCGACGATCACTTCAAGCTTGCGCAAACCACCTGCGGACCTACTTCCGAAGCCGGTGCCTCATCTGCGACTGCTGCTCCAGCTTACGCGCCCTCCGATTCGGCATTTGATAGTCCTCTCGAGAGGTCTACTTCCTTCGACGATACTGTTGCGGAAACTAAACGGGCTCTCCCACAAGACGTTAAGGGCGAATCGAGCCAGAAGGTCGACGATCCTAACGAACCGCCTCCCGCATATTCTGAAGGCTACAGTCCTTTACTCTCATTTACATACCTAATGGCGGCTGCCGGTGGTGCGTCGAGTATTATTACTCAAGTCCAACAGGGCGGTCCTCCTGTCAATGCTATTGGAGGTAAGATGCGCAATACTTAGTATAGTCAAATTGAACGGGAATGCTAAAACTATATTGCAGATGTCGGGGCCGACGAAACTATTACCATGGACCTACGGTAAGCCATTATTACTAGGTTAGACAATACCTTGAATAGATACTAATTGATTCTTTACAGTGGCACGCGCTTCGTACTATCTAGAGACGAGCTCCTGACGCTGCCTGAATTCGTTCTCCTCTCCTTATTCCCCAACGGCCTCTTCCCCGAAGGCCATATGGGCGGCTTCTCCGAGGGTGATGCCGTTCAAGTCGATGTCAGTACACTCAATGATCATCCTACCACGCATTTCACTCAGATTACCTCAAATGTCACGTGCGAGGCGTCTCCTACGTCGCTAAGCACATATTTTCCTGCCTCTACACTTCGCAATCTCGTCTCCAATATAAACATACATATCACTGACCTTATTTCCCAGTATGATCCTGCATCTCTACAGTACATGTTGGATTTCTTCCGGAGCGTAGCACAGTCTATCCCCACTGAGGCCTCCCCTACTGCTTCACCGGAAGGTGGTGCTGTTCCTATCGACTCTCTAGGTGGCAGAGGTGAAGATGGAAGCAAGCGAGCTGGTATCATTGTGTTACGGGAAGATTTGGATTTTTATGCTATTCCTCCTCGGCCTGATATCAGCCAGGCAGAGATGATCGAAGTCAAGCGTGCTGCTGCCAGAGCTCTGCTCAAGCAGGACGGGATCTTTTCGGGGCTTAAGAGAAGCGATGAACCTGGCACTACCGAAGCACACCTAATCGAGATGTTGACCGCTGGGTAAGTGGCCTGAATCCCAATTTTTTATTTTTCCTAGTCAAGTATACGAACTGTTATCCCTAACGATAAATATAGTGGCTTCAATCACGACGATAGATGGGGCCATCGTGCTGGCGAGCCTAACAAAGCCGTCGTATGCAGTTTGGCCCTTGCTCGACTACGTAGCGATATCCGTGGTAACGATATGGGAAGCAATGCTGTTGGCATGGCACAAAAGCTGCTGCTCTTCTGGAGAAAGCCAGCTCGCCGTTGCTGGTGGGAAGGAGTGGACCTTCAGGACGTGGAGGGTGTAGAGGGCACCCTGAAAGTGTGGATTCGGAGAGTGTGGACACTCGAGATGAGTGTTATTGGTCTGCGCTGATAATGACTTCTACCAGGCAAGCGACATGGCGTTCGAGTTACGTTTTTTCTTTTTCTTTTTAACCACATTTTTCTTCCTCGATACCACGTACGGAGACTAGGGTTCTTTAACACATGACGGCCCTATATCCACGTCTACATTCACCACGGCAGCTGTTGTCAGTTTCCACGTTGTTTATACTGGGTTTAATCGTTAGGGCTAGGATATCAGATACCTGCTTGTCCTATGCTTATGCTTTGTTATACGGTTCAGACGATAACAAGCACATTCTACGTAGACGGAGGGTTAGATGAATACGAGGAGCCTTCTTGATTGCGAAATGGAAAATTAGGATTTCTTCTTAGAATAGGAATACCACTTATTGTAATAATACGTCTCGTAACGTTGAAGTGTTATTTTGTAGAGTTCTACGTAACTGTTTATTTACTATATTTACCTACCTAAGGTAAGTATCTTACCTAAGGGAGTTCGGGTTCGGTTGAGACCTTTGACGTGTTAGGTAAGGTAATAAGGGGTTTCCGTCGACGCGTATTTAGGTAGCTCCGGTTCTTCGGGGCCTTTCGGGTATCTCTACCTTTGGTCCTGAAAAAAATCAAACGGGTGCGTACCTAGGTACATATCCGGACGTGTACCTGCGTATCGACATTTGACCAGTTGGCTTGCCCCACTTAGGTACTTGATGTACAGTACATAGTATATGGTACAGAGGGTGGAGCAGGAAGTGTCTTGAAAGGTTCGACTTCCACCATCATATGCATGTACAATACAATGCAGCAGGTACAGTACCAGACAATAGATTGTACAAACACGTAAATGTATCTTAGGTTACCTACCTAGGTAGGTACCTAGGAGGTAGGTATCCCTATCGTACAAACTTTTTTTTCCTAAGGGGCAGGAAATATCTTGCTTCAACTTCCTTAATCCAAGTTCTTGACAAGTGTGTGTGTATTGTCTATGTAAAAGAAAAGATTATTTTTTTTTTTTTACAAACAATCACTCAACACTGAAGAAGAGCAGAAGGAGCCACGTTCGTGGCTCATGAGTGGCACACTCACAGTTCTCCAGTTGGGGTGGGGCTGTCCATCAGGTCTAATACAGTGGTATTCACACTTTCTGCCATCATCATCTCTAAAGTGCCAGGGATAAACCGTCGAGTACACCCTGAGTGATTGAGATCATCGTCAAAAAACTATCGTTATCGTTACCGTACCTGCACATTCGCTTTATAGTATCGACCAACGCTACAGCGCTATCGAAATACCGACGGTAAACGCCATTGGTACCCGAAAGGTGTATCGAACCATTTATTAGCACGGACACAGGGTACTTCGTACTGACGCTGATACTCATACTCCACCGTCATAATGCGTCAACATGGCCGATGATTCTTCTACCGACTCTGCCCTCGATCCCCGTCTTTTTCCTACTTCTCTCACCGCAAACTCATCCTCCTCATCGCTACACCTAATGCCACGAACCAGAAGACTACGCCTGCTAGTTGCCGCGAATGGCCAAAGAGATGTCGCCTACGCCCAGGCTATCGCCGTGCGCCTGCTTAAGGATGCCCAGATCGAAACCCGAGCCCTGGTCGACGAGATACCAGTTCGGCTAACCCACGATATTATCGTCATGGAAAATAGAAGTTTAGCTACGCTGGCCATCGACGCCGACCAGAGGACTAGAGACGCCATAGAATCGGCTAGACAGACTGCCTTCGAACTCGTCGAATGGGCCGATCTACTTGTCCTCGCTCCTATCGATGCTGACCACCTCGCCAAGATGATGTCCGGCATCGCCGATACCACCCTTTTAGAAATACTGAGAGCCTGGGATGTCTCCAAGAAGATTCTGCTGGTGCCTGGAATGTCGGTGCAGATGTGGGAGAATCCAATGACGAAGAAGCAACTGAGCAAAATCAAGCGCAAGTGGAATTGGGTCAAGGTCATGGCTCCCGTATTGTGGCATTACGAGGGGCGGAGTGCGCATAAACGAATAGTATCGTGGGATGGATTCAATGACCTGGTTGGAATAATCAAGAACCAAGCGGAGCTGATGAGCTTAGGACACGATGTGGAAGTTGCCACGCAACAGGCTTCGCATACAACCAGCACAAGTCGCACTACCAAGACTTTACCGCCCGAGATATGGTCCATCATATTCGAACATGTCGGCGATTGGGAACTCGCTACGGCTCTTAACATATTTACGAACTTAAAGGCACCGCCCGAATGGAGAACTGATCGTGCAAGCCTATCTGATCCTATTGAGATATACATACATGATCTCGAGTGGTTAATCCTCTCGTGTCCCGGAACGGATGCAATCTGTCAGAAACTCTCCGAAGCGCCTAAGGGGCTTCGCTTTGTGTCTTATCTGGCAGTAAAGCTGATCATCAAATTTTCGCTTACGGATGTCCTCACCTACTTAGAAACACATCTTAGCAAGGTGTTTTGGGCGTCCTTTAGCTCCAAATTCCTACCCAACAAGGCATCTGGAGTATATGGGCGAACGGATATCCTCGATTGGTGGAATACGTCCCCTTCGTTTTTGAAAAAAGAATATGACGCCGAAGCGTTAGATAATGCCTCGCGCATGGGTTATGTTCACGTTTTAGATTGGTGGCTTCGCTCTGGCCTTACGCTTAAGTATACGGAGGCAGCGCTCGAGTCCGCCTCGGCAAAGGGACATCTTCTCGTCTTGGAGTGGTGGCGGGATGCCGCGCTGAAGCACGATAATATCCTGCTTAAACCCGGCCGTAGTCTCCTCACTGCCGCTCAATATGGGCAGACGGCAGTACTACGTTGGTGGGAAAGCTCGGGAATTCCGGCGGCTCATAGTGAGGGTGTCTGTAAGATCGCTAGCGCGCACGGACAGACGGCGGTTTTAGACGTATGGCGAGAGCTCAAAGGGGATAAGTTGTCATTTGACTCTCAGGTACTAGTCGCACCGACCAAGCAAGGGTACGTCGAGGTGCTGGAATGGTGGAAGCAATACGCCCGGGGTGAGTACCAGGTTGACGGAAGAACGCACCGGGTAGAATACAAGACTTGTGATATCGAGGAGGCGCTCGAGGATGCTATCGGAGATCCTAGGCCAGTCCGCAGATGGTGGGCTCGAAATGGCTTGAACCTAGGACTAGGCACGAACGAGTGGATGAAGATCAGAAGGCTATAACTGGTGAGCAAATGTGCCTAAGTTTGGCAATTCGAGTGTATATGTATGATCGAATATATGTTGATAATATACTAAATATCCTCAAACACTTAAGTGGCGTGAGATCACTCCAAGCTTTGATCATTTTGGGCATTTAGGGTATAGAAGCTTCAATCCCATGTGCTTATAGAATCTGTGAGTGGTAATACCACTCATGGTCAGATAGACTGTAATAGCAATTGTGCTATCAAGAAATACACTTTTGGCTCAGCGGTGTATCTGTCAATTAAGAGTCTCATATGCTTGAACCCGTTTAGGCGAACCGAATCAGGACACCCTGGGCCAAAAAGTTGCAAACGAGTACGCACAAGACCATCCTAAACCTCAGGGTTCGATTCTAGGAGCTTACAGAGAGAGATCAAGAAGTCCAAAGGCTCGAGATATCCAGCTTTGCCCAGAATCGTCCTCACTTGAGGGGATGTGTGAGTGGTAATGCCTCATAGGTCGGATTTCATATAAGGTTGCGTTTGGATGCCGAGAATACCGTAATATTGCGATATCTATCTACCCAAGATACCAGGTAGGTACCTACTTAAGGTGCATAATGTTTTGTCGTAGTGATTCGATACGTAGCTCCGTTTTCCTTTTTCTTATCCTCTTCCTTTCTAACCCCATGGATCAGCCTTACCTGTAAGAATAGCTCATATCTTCTCCCCTTCCAAAATCGCCTTCGCCTCCTCTGTCCTCCACCAACTAACACCTTCCTCGCCCGGATAACTAAAGCGATCCATACTCTCCGGCTTCATCTCGACGCTGTAGCCGGGCTCCATCGGCGTCTGGTAGTAGCCGTCCTTGACGGCGGACGGGTGCAGGAAGTGCTCGTGCAGGTGGTCCACGTACTCGAGCACGGAGCGCTTCCCGCTGACGACGACGTAGTCGATGGTGCTCAGGTGCTGGGTGTACTCGGGGAGCCCGACGCCGCCCGAGTGCGGGACGACGGGGACGCCGAACTTGGCGGCCATGAGCAGCACGGCCAGCACCTCGTTCACCCCGCCCAGCCGGCACGCGTCGATCTGGCACACGTCGATGGCCCCGCTCGCCAGCAGCTGCTTGAACACCACCCGGTTCTGGCACATCTCCCCCGTCGCCACCCCGATGCCGTGCGGCCGCAGCGCCTCCCGCACCGCCTTGTGCCCCAGCACGTCGTCCGGCGACGTCGGCTCCTCGATGAACCACGGCTTGTACGCCGCCAGCTGCTCCATGTGCGCGACGGCCTCCGGCACGCTCCACACCTGGTTCGCGTCTACCATCAGCACGTTGCCCCGGTCGTACCCGATGATCTCCCGCGCGATCGCCAGCCGCCGCTTGTCCTGCTCCACGGACACGCCCACTTTCAGCTTGAAGTGCTTGTACCCGTGCGCGAGCGTCTCCCGCAGCAGCGACCGCATCTTGTCCTCGCCGTACCCGAGCCAGCCGGCGCTCGTGGTATACGCGGGGACGGCGCGGCTCTCGAGTGCGAGCCTGAACCGCTGCTCCTTGCCGCCGGCGTCGCCGCCGCTCTGCGCCCGCGTCAGCAGCTCCACGGCCTCCTCGGGGGTGATCGCGTCCGTGATGTAGCGGAAGTCGACGCAGCGGACGACCTCCTCGGGCGTCATCTCGGCGACCACCTGCCAGACGGGCTTCCCGAGGACCTTGGCCCACAGGTCCCAGAGGGCGTTGACGACGGCGCCCAGCGCGAGGTGGATCACGCCCTTCTCCGGCCCGATCCACCGCAGCTGCGAGTCGTTGACGAGGTGCCGCCAGGTCTGGCCCCAGTTCGCGACGAGGCTCGATAGCGTCCGGTTCCGCACGCGCTCGGCGAGGTGGGATATCGCGGCGCAGACGATGTCGTTGCCGCGGCCGATGGTGAAGGTCTGGGTTTTTTTTTTGTTAGTTCTTTTTCTTTTTAAACCTTCTAATATATATATATAAGTGAGAGAGAGAGCGTGTGTTTAAATTTAGAAAATGGCCCCTACCATTCCGTGGCCTGTGAACTCAGAGTCCGTCTCGAGGATGCAGTACGCCGACGAGTAGTCGCCGGCGGCGTTCATGGCGTCGGACCCGGTCTTGTCCAGGGACGTGGGAAACCGCACGTCGCGGGTCCGGAAGCCGGTGATTGTGATCTCGGGCATTATGCGCAAAGCCCTAGGTAGGTAGGTATATTAAAGCTCTTCTACTTTAAAAAAGGGGGGTTTCTAGGTAAGGTTTCGGGATGTGATATATTATAATAACTAAGAAGAAAAGAAAAAAGCGTTTTATTATATTGAGACAATTGCAACACGAAGAGGTACCTAAGATGTAATCACCTCAAAGTCCGAGATCGTGGGGTTCGTTGGAGGGGTTGAGGTTCGTGCGGAGAACAACTGCCTAGGTATAAATTGGATTCGGGGTAGTTCGGGGGGATATATTCCTCTAGTTTATAAACACGGTCGTACGATCGTCTCTTCTACTAAGGATCTCCTTGTTGTGGGGGTCGATTATTAGACTATGAGTTTAACTAGACGGGTTATGTTTTATAGAGGAGAGATCGTATACTAGATCGTATAGGTACTAACAAGTTTCCCTTATCCTGATTGACGGATAAATTGGAGAAATGCCCCGTCTCTACACTCAACTACCTAGGTAGTAACTAGCACTTTAAGCCGAACCGCCTCATCGTAGTATTTTGGAGCTCTTATTTTCCTGTGAAAAGATAGTAACTATTTAAACACTACTTATACATTTCGTACTGATTCTGCGTTAATGTTCACTAGGAGATGGATAGTATATACAGATTCATACACATCTATACCAAAACTAGCTTTATGTCGTTTATTAACTTATACGCCACCAGATCTTACAACTTTCATGGCTCCATAGGTATATGTAAGGTACAAGGTAGGTAAGTAATCAGGGCTTGCTACCTCTTAATTCCACTTCAATATTCCCATCGGGGTTTAAGGATTTTCAACCCGGTCTAGATAGATTTCAAGGCCTTCACCGTGGCAACAAGGAAGCACGCCCACGACGGAACATCTACCAGCGCTGTCCTCACATGGTGTACCGCCAGCCAGCCCCGAAGGGCATTGGCAGCTCCGCCGTTAGGTTCCTCCTTCGCGTCGATAGCGTCCTTGACCTTCCACATGATCTTGGGCACGAAAGCGAAGTGGGCGAGGGCCAGCACCGACCCGGCCGCGTACCAGTTCCAGGAAGCGGCGGCGTGGGATCTCGAGTAGGCGTTGACCAGCCCGCAGGTCGCGGACAAGCCGTAGGTGAGTAGGATGTATCGCAGCCCTTTCCAGAAGAACACCTCGAAGTAGCGCGGCGCGATCTCGTTGACTTTGCCTCGGTGTTGCTTAAGCGAGAGGAGAGCGCTGAGGAAAAGATCCGAGTCGCCTGCGATGACGATCGAGGCCGTGGATGTGACTAATGGCACAACACGCAGGAGCGTTAAGGGGTCGATGAAGAGTCCCGAAGCCATTGTTATATATGGTATGGTTTAGGGTCCAAGTAGATGAGATAGGTAAGGTTGGTATCTATCTGTAAGTTGCTTATACGTAGGTATCTAAAGCGATGAACGATAAGTGAGCACTTGAGTAAGATGAGAGACAGAATGGTGACGGGTGCCTCTTGAGGTCTTATTTATCCTCTACGGCCTATCCGTAAGATGTCGGACTGGGCCGAAGTAATGGCCTGTTTGATCCATCATGACCCGATTTATGATGTCTAAATATTACCAACCTGGCTTCGCGGCGTGGAGAGGAGGATGATGAGGATGATGATATTTTGAGGTACATTGCTCCACCTAGAAAAATACATGTATGTAGAAGTACCATCCGTTAGTTAAGCTCACTTGTTCGGGGTCCTATGACAGCCCTGATAGGCCAGTGGGATAGCGAGATACATACCTAGGTACCTATTGGAGATGCGCTAATGCAGACTGCTTACAATCTTACCAGCACTAACCTACCTCCCTAATTGGAACCTGCTAAACCTATGCCGGGCCTTCGGGGCATTTCTCTGCTGCGTTACTCTGATATTTACCGGGTTTTCCCATCGTTCATCTATCATCTTCTACAGAGACTTAATTCAATTAACTCTATACAATATATATGTATTAGTTGCCTCCTTTGCTGACATAACTTCTATCCCACATGATATGCTAGTACATTTCAATAACGATAAGTTCATCTTAGTGGGATGGAAACCCTTCGACCTGTCTGATCCCTTCAACACCCTTCAGCCACCCCACGCGACTCTCGATGAAGTATTCCACCGTGGGACGCATCTTAGTCTCGTGGAGATGGAAGTCGTCAACAGTACCCAGGCGCAAGATGCTCATCCCTGGGAAGGCCTCTCCGACGCGGTACATGAGGGTGCCGCACGTTGAGCAGAAGTAGTTGGCCATCCCTTTTCCCGAAGCAATAGTATGCGACTGCGGGCCGAACTTGGTGAGGTTGTCGCGCCCACGTAGATGCTTCAGGTACGTGTCCACAATGGTGAAGTTCGTCGCGAACATAGAGGCTGTGATTTTATGGCAATCATTACAGTTGCATACGAATGTCCCTACGTAGCCTGGGCCTTGGGTCGGCTATGGATTTTGCGGTGTTAGCAAGAAAAAACCATATAAGAGGTATTTTATATGGCATATGGCAACAATGCGACATAAGAATGCCACTTACGAATGCAAGTTGTACCGCACCGCAAAAGCATGTTGCTGTTGCTTCGTCTTCATTCGACCAGCCATCGTTAGCAAGACCAGCTAAGGGGAAGTTGGGTTTAGATTTGTCTGTAGTCTGTGCCATTTTCGACAGGAAAGCTGTGAGAATTGTCAGGTATGTAATTGCTTTGGACTCTTAACGGTGTAAGTGAAGTTGGTTGGGAAACCTATCTCGAAAATTTCAACAAGGTCTTCTAAAGCTGCTTTTATAACCTCACGTCGTATACGAAACAATTGGAAGAGTTAAAGTTACAATAAAAGTATAAAATCCTAACCTACATGTAGGCCATTATTAAGCCCTACGCATATGTGATAGGAGGTATGTAAGGTATATATCGGCGATGCAATGCCTGATATCGCAGATATAATAGTACCTTATTACCTCCCGCACTACCGCGCGCGATATGTGATGCACCTAAGTCTAGGTCTATGAGCGTTTGCATGCATTCAAGGGTAAAGATTTCGTGTGACGATGGAATCGATTTCCATTGGCCAGCCACTCCCATTTTGGAAAGTGGGGAGGCATTAGGTGCACAGGTGCATGTGCCTGATAAGGAGTCAAATACTACCTCCTAGGTACTACTTCTAGGGGTTATTCAATACAACCTTGGAATGCTCTACAGTTTTATATTAATAAAGCGTATACTACTTTCTTAAGCTATCCAGAACCAATATCGATTCTATCAAGCTAAACCTTGCTACTAACATTTCCCCTATATCCGAATCAGATTATCGTCTAACACCCTCGATGGCTTGACCGGCACTTGGTCTAATGGTCGATCTTAAGCCTAGAGATCTCGCCACATCAACACAAGTCAATCGGTCGAAGTCTTCTTGGCAACTCTCCTCATTAACCTATCTAATTTGAGGTATTGGGGCATTTTACGCAAATGCCTATTATCACACGATACGTCTCGCTTTACCAGTCTCAACTTCATATGCCCAACCACTAATAACCACATCATCTGGCACAGCAGCGCTCCTCTTCAGGTACGCGACGTCTTCTTTAACAGCATCATCCAAATTCCCGAAGGGGAGGAAATCCAGGGTGGCAATTTCCGCAGCTGCGCTAGGCCCCAGATTCTTCTTCACAAGACCGTGGGCATCCTCGTTGGAGAATGTTAACATGCCGCACCCGGTGTGCTTGACAAGGACGATCTCCTTCGTCCCAAGGAGCTGCTGCGAGATGATAATGGAACGTAGAGCATCTCTAGCGCTGGCACCCGCGTTGCGAATGACGTGGGCGTCACCGAGGTCGATGCCAAAGGCGGCGGCCGGGTCGATCCGAGCATCCATGCATGTCACTTTGTATAAGTAAGTCAGTTTCCCATTGCTTGAGAATAAAACTGCACACAGCCCCCCATTCTAGATGTCTCGGTTATACGTACAGACCAGATAGTGTTTAGCCGGTGGAAGGGCGAGGTGTCCTTTTGTGAACTTGCTAGCGTATTCGGCGTTCTTGCTCGCGAGGTTTTCTTGGATTGGAGAAGCCATGTTTCTTGCTTGACTTGAGAAGGCGATTGTTGTTGGAGAAAATTGAAAAAAGTAAAGATGTGTGAGTCTGTTCTTTGAGTACAATGCTGTAGCCAAGGGTGATGTTTAATATGCATACAATTTTCTAGACTTGGAAGATGACGCGAGGGATTTTGTGAACATCTGGGCTTTGCATACAGACCGTATCTATGCTTAAGTACTCATTTGAAGGCATCTAGGAACCTGATTTATCTAACCCCTTACTGATGGTAATATGATATAGCTCCATATAGATCGTGATCACGTCATCATCGTGCATCTTAGAACATCCATTCTGCGGGGAATGATCGCCGAATAGGTGGGGAATAGCGATACCAATAAGCCGGAACAAAGACCGACTAGGTACGAACAGCAACCAGCACATCTCGATCAAATATAAGATCAGTAGATACCTGTTACAATGATTACAATAGCAACTTAGCTGTCTGCCTTGGATAGCTTTTGTCTTATATCTCCAATGCCTCAGAGAGGGTGAATAGAGTGAATAGTACATAGGATGGTTGGACTACCCGGTTAGTCACTAGGTACATACATCTTAACCATCTTTCACCAGATAAGAATCCAAGATTTGGAGCCAATGGGAGAGGAGAACAGTGCAGAAAGGCTTCGTTGTTTTACTAGATGCCTCGAAGACCGATTCAATGAAGAAACTAGTAAATCTTTTAAGAATATGCCAGCCATACCTATCATCTGACTATGGTGAATAAAATAGGGGATGATTAAGAAGCCTGTAGACGCCCAATAACAAAGGCATTGTCATATTACTTATCCTTTATCCTGTCATGTACCCACTGTCTTTCAGTGACTGGATAACAACAAGATACTGTTAGTGAATGTTTCCATATTGCTGTACTTCATCAAAGCACCATGTCCAAGCGTCTAGATGCTACCGCTGATGAGAACAGTGCCTTTCCGATGAGAAACCAAGTGACTAAGGTTGTATAGGCGTAAAAGACTTGGTTTTCGGGGCCCTTCTAGTATATATAACATGTAGCTTACAGTAGAACTATCATACCTCTCTCTCTCTCATCCAGCTTTAAAAAGCATCATCAATCAAGGAGAGAAGGATCAGAGCCAAATATCTTCAAATCTAAAATCACCACCTACCCACACAATTCGCCGCAACGCAATCTCCATACCTCTAAGTAGCGAACCCGGAAATAGCCAAGATGTGCAGAACGTGTGCTGTCTTAGTTCAGGTCAACCACAGCTGCGGCCACCAGCTACTGCTCGTCAAGGGCGGCGCCAAGTTCTGCCTCTTCCACTCCCACGGGGAGGCGGACTTCCACATGGCAACCATCGCGTACGCGAGTCGGCCGACGGACTATACCTGCGAAGACTGCGCCTTGCGCGAGGAGGCGACGGCGAGGGGAATCCACGGGGAGGCGAGGCGCGCGTTCCTCCGCAAGCGCCTGGCGAACAGCCGGGAGGCGCAGTCGAAGAGCGACGCCCGGTGGTACCTCGACGCGGCGGCGCAGAGCCAGCAGGGCGTCGACGACGCGAAGATCGCGGAGCTGCAGAAGCGCGTCGAGAGCCAGATCAAGTACTACCTGGGGCCGAAGGGGAGGGGCAAGCGCGCGGAATCCACGGCCGACAAGGCCATTCTTCTGAAGACCGTCCTGCAGGTGCCCGACGTCCTCGACCGCCAGGCCCTTGTCGCCGCCTTCGGCACCTCCGTCGTCTGGGACCAGGAGAAGAAGGAGCGCAGATTCATCCCCGGCGGGCAGATGGCGGCGCTCAAGGCCATCGCTCGCAAGGCGAACCTGCTCAGGAGCCTAGAGACGGGGTTCAAGTCGAGACCTTCTGACGTGTGAGATACCTAATACCTACCTGGCTGTAGGTTAGGTATGCGAGGGGTTGTTTTGAGATTTAATGATATTTCTTTCTTTCTTTGGGGGTTGGATGATCGCCGTATTACACTGAGTGGAATATCGGGAGAGAGAAATCCGTAGTTGTTTAGGTACCTTCTTAATATGAAATAAATGTTCCTCTGCTTCCCATCCTATTTTCTATACAACTGTTAATATTATATTTGATCAAACCATGAATTAAACATTATATGGGTACCTATATACTTCTTTATCCACCATCGAGTTTTCTAATTAATTCTATATCAGGTAGGTACCTAGGTAAGCATCAAAGCACTAGGTAAGGTGTATGCACTATAAATCTAAGCTGCCCTCTTCAGCTCAACTTTGAACGTCCTCAAGTTTATACTCTGTGCCGACCCATCATCACGGAGCGAGAATACCAACTCATCCATAGACCGGAAGCCATAGGTGGTTCGATCCATAGAAGCCCATGTGACGCAGCTGGCGTCGGGCCAGAACGAGTTCGCGTCTTTCTCAGCACTCTCCTCGGGACTTCCATGGCCGAACACGGCTCGCCAAGCACGATGGTATCCCCCATCCGAACTCAGGTTGGTAGGATACAATCGAATAGAAACGGGTCGGTCCGCAGGGCTGCTCGATAGAGCTCCGAATTTACCGTAGTTCTTGGCAATATCGACGTTACGGACGACCCAATTAGACACCGCGAATCCAGGCGCATCGTCGAGAGAAAGCGTGATAGTCGAGTTCGTAGCGGCATCTGCATACGTGCCGCCAAATTTTGGCAGCGCCTCTGCTTTACCTGCTTCTTCGATAGCTGGAAGCAAGCCCCGCACGACATTGGTAAGAAGCAGATCCACCAAGTCGGCATTCGACTGCGGTCCGCCGGAGAGGATCGTGACGACGATATCGTAGTCCGGTATCAGGCATAGCATGTTGTTGTACGAGTTCAGGTTGCCGGATTTGCAGTAGAACTCGATAAGGCGCTTGTCTTTGGTGACCGTGCTAGAGCGAAGGATTTCCCAAGGTCCTCCGACAAGTAGACCGGAAGATGAGGTAGATGTCATCGGCTTCATCCACTTCTTTGTTTTAGATTCATCTAGCAAATCGTGCTTAAGGATGCCGGTACCGAGGGAGAGGAGGTCGACCGTGTTGGAGTAGAAGCCTCCAGCTCTGGCTAACGTTAGATGTATCCACGGCTGATGGGCGCGACGACTTACATGTCCTCGTATCCGAAACTTGCACCAAACCAAGTCTCATTTACGGGAATAAATCCCCAGCTCTGCTTCTCCGGGCCGTTAAATATGGTCGTGTTCGTCATATTTAGAGGGGCGAGTATTGACTGCTTGACGTAGTCCTCGTAAGTCATGTTAGTTATTGCCTCCACGGCGTAAGCTAGAATGACGCTCGCAACGTTTGAGTAGACGGGGGTTGTGAATGGAGCATAGACAGGATGCCGCTTGCCGAAGTCTCTGAAAAACTCGGCCCTGTTACAGGGAGGGAGGCCAAGAACACCGGCGCAACCGGTCTTTGATGTCTCATTTAGGCTGGGGAGACCGAGCTGGGTCAAGTCTACGGGAAAACTAGCTAGGTCGATCGTAACTAGGAATAATTAGCAATGATGCCAATAAAGGATATTATGTTTTAACTTACGGTCTACTGCTATACCGCTCATATGCGAGGTGAGAGCGCCAACAGTCACCTCATCCCACCTAACGGTTGTGATATCGTCGACTTCGTTGGTTTCTCCTTTGAGTTGACGCAACTCAGGAACATAGTTGGTGATGGGATCATCCAGCTTTACATGATTCTGCTGCAGTATGGAGAGCACTGCGAAGATCTTGGATATGCTTCCAATTCGATAGACAGTCTGCGAATCGATGGTAGTGGTTCCGTTGGGGCCGAGTATCTCAGGGGTGTGGTGAAGCTCTAAAAGAGGGTTGGCTTCGTGTATTGACTTCACTGCGACAGAAATACCAGTAGAATCGAGGCTGGCGGCGATATTTTGAAATGTATCGGTGATACTGCCTATAGCTAGCTGAACAGACTTGTGTGCAGTCGGGTTCTTTGGAGCAGGCAGGACTGGCCCTAAAGGAGGGCAATGTCCATTAAGAGCAGCTAAGGTAGTCTGGCCCGCTACTAATAGAGCTATGGTGCTCGTATAGACGCTGGGTCGAGGAAACATATTGGGTTTAGGTGACCGGATGGATAGGTAGGTAAGTTACCCTGATGAGTTGATACTGGACATACATAGGGCGAAGTGAGCGCCATTGTATTATATTTATATTCGAATCCTTTTCTTTTAAACTTGAGCTTCTTCGTCTTTTCCTAGGCCTGCAGTATGAGCGGTATGCAGTATGACATGCTGAGCCACGTAGGGCGAAGTAATCCTGAACAAAATTGCAATGGGTCAAATCCGAGCTGTGATACTAGGCACCTATCAGATTGACCGTTGATTATCCCCCAGCCCCCGAGGACCCAAATAGGGGTCAGTAATGGTAGCACTTCACAGACCAACTCCCAGGATAATAATCCGACGTATCAAAGGGCAGCGTTGAATAGCATCTCCCACTTCCCGAATCAGATCTGAGCAAGAACGGCTGGTAGCATCTTAACCTAGCTCGTCCGGATTAAGAAGCTCATTTATGCGCACCTCGCTTCGAAAGCGACCTCGTTTCAAAAGCCCCTTCTTAAGGTAGCCAAGTTTGTAGGCAGCCGTTTAGTAACGCGACTAAGAGCTGTAAGCCTGGGTAGCCGTTCGGTTGGCATGGTGAAGAGCAGTTCAAAATATAATCAAGGAAAAAAAAATAATAAAATAAACTCTCGTGGTAATAATAAGCTAACCTTAGGTAATTTTTCATTTTACCATTTATTTTAACGACATGTAATTCATAAAATAAAAAATATAGGTACATATGCGTGTTAACGGTCGTATTAGGGGAATTGGTGTATTGTAGAGAGGTGCCTAGATATGACGTAGGTATTTTTTGCGGATAAGGCTTTATCAATGGCCAATGACCAATGACCAATGACATAGATGTACCTAAGGTCCGTACTGTATCCCGCAAGGCTACAACACTGTGCTCTTTAACGTTCTGGACCCCTGTCGAATTTCCTTCCACATGGCTTCTTTCATCTTTTAGTTTATCTATAGCGGACCCTGCATTCTCATGGCTAGTACCTTAGGTAGTTATCACATATCTGGAGGACGTTGGAATCGGGTATGATTGCGGAGGCCATGGGTTCATTGAGAACAAAGACATCCTCTCCGTGCTGGAATCAACTAAATTATGCGAGACGAAAGCGTTACCAGGCCTGTCAACGACAGCCATGATGATATTCACGATGATGTCTCGACCACTACTACAGCTACAGATTTAGACGAGGTTGCCGACGAAAGATTTGGGAGAAGTACAAAGAGAGAAGGGCAATGTCGAGATAATCCTATAGTCGAAACAACTTCAAAATATCCAACCCCTCCCGCCGACCCATTCCCTACTCTCGAGATCACTGCTTCTACTCCCGTCACTCCTAAATACGAAAAACACGAACCGAGCTATAACATGAATAACGTAAACGAGATATTCGCTTCGAATGGAAACGGCCATACGTCTTACACGCCTTCGTCGGATGCTGAATCGGGCGCCAGCATCAACGGAAACATGTCGTCAACTACGACTACAGCTTCTGGCCACGTAGATAAGTCTGTCTCGAGTCCATCTACCGATGCTACCACCAATTCACGCACACATTCGATTTCTAAATCGGCTACAAAGAAGGCAAGCCACGAGAGTGTCAGGAAGCTTTCTGCCTCCCAGATGCAAGCCTTAACCTCCTCGCCTGATTCGCTACCCATTGCCGTCGTTCCCCCTCAACCTCCCCAGCGCAGGCCAAACGGCACCGAGTATCCCATGTCCGCCAGCCTTGCTGAATCTATATCCCGCCCATCCATGTCCGGCCAGTTACGAGGCAGTACGCAGATACCAACCGCAGATCAAGAAGCATCTTCGTTAACGTATCATGATGCTCCGAGAACTGCAGCAGACTTCAGGCGACCTCACGCGTCTTCACGAACACTTTCCAGCCCACCCACCAATAGGAAATCTTCCGCGGGCCCTACTACAACGGAATCGAATTCTACGAGGCGAAATTCTTTCAATCCTCTCCCTCGTCCCCTTCCTTTAAACCTTCCGTCCGTTACATCAAAACCCCCAGTGTCTCCCCCCAAACTAGATCCTCCCGGTCTGCCGCCGCCGTCTCCTGCGTTACCCACCCTACCTCTTCCGCCTATGTCTCTCCCCTTACATCTCCAACTAGAGCTCGCTGGTCAACGGCCTAGTCCTCTATATATCCACCATTCATACGCCACAGACGTCCCATACGAATCTAGCGCTGTCAAATTCGAACGGCTCCTGAATGCTCTCCTCTTACCCCCGTATCTGGAACGAGTCTTGACCTTCGGAACTTTGGCATGCCTTGATGCGTGGCTATACACATTCACCATCTTACCTATAAGGTTCCTAATCGCTCTTAGCATCCTTGTAAAATGGTGGGCGTATGTAGTTGGCAAAGAAGCACGGTGGGTTGTTGGTTATGTCTGGCAAGGTACTTGGCGCCTCTGGCAAAGGGGGAGGAGAGGGGGGGTTAACTCTCAAACCCAATCCGACAACAACCATGCAAATGGCGAGTCGGAGAGAAGTCAGAGCCGAGCAAGGGTGAGTAGCTCCAGCGCCAACCAGAATGGTACCACGCGACGTCGCACTTCGTCCGAAACTACGGGCGTGTCTACCCAGGACGTCCCTCGGCTAAGTAGCAACGGCGTGTTCCATCCACCGAAGCATCCGATGCCTAGATCTGGCGGATTTCGACATCGTAGGACGAAGTCTATGCCCTCAAACTTAACGTCTTACAACAAAGCCGACCTCCTCCAAGGATTTGTTCTTATCTGCAGCTCCTTGGCATTGATGAACCTTGACGCCAGCCGGATGTATCATTTCATTCGCGCGCAGTCTTCGATGAAGCTCTATGTCATCTACAATATTCTTGAGGTTGGCGATCGCCTTCTCTCAGCCCTCGGACAAGATATCTTGGAGTGTCTCTTCAGCTCCGAGACCCTATCGAGAAATAGTTCTGGCCGATCTAAAGTCCTTCTCCCCTTTGGCATGTTCATCCTCTCGTTGATCTATAATGTTGTTCATACCATGTGCTTGTTCTACCAAGTTATCACGTTGAACGTGGCTGTGAATTCATACTCAAATTCTCTGCTTAGTCTCTTAATATCCAATCAATTCGTCGAAATCAAGGGGAGCGTCTTCAAAAGGATCGAAAAGGAGAACCTTTTCCAGTTAACTTGTTCTGATGTGGTCGAACGCTTCCAGCTGTGGATTATACTGTTAATCATTGGTATGAGAAACGTGGTGGAGGTAGGAGGGCTGTCCGTGCTAGGAGCTGGTAGTGAAATAGATGGAACTTCAAAGCCCGGGCCAGTTCACACCAGCTCAAGTCTGCCCAATAGTTTCACGGTGCTGCCATCGTGGATACTCTCGGGCGAGGTTCTCTCTCCTTTCCTGGTTGTCATAGGTATCGAGATGATGGTGGACTGGACAAAACATGCGTTCATTAACAAATTCAATAATGTTAAGCCGACCCTTTACAGCAGAATGTTAGATATCCTATGCAAGGATTACTACACCAATGTAAGTCTAATCGGTACAACGTATGTCTCGCCTCGAATTAGCATCTCACCATAACTGACTGTACAGGCATTTTCCGCGCCCTCGCTGACTCGACGCTTGGGCTTACCATTACTGCCGCTTTCTTGCCTCTTTATCCGAGCCTCGATCCAAGTGTATCATATGTTCCTCGCCACGCACATAAGCCCGCCAATTCCAACGTCGACCACGGAGCTTTCGGTGGAGTCTTCGACACCGTCTTCACCTGCCATGATTGCAGCCCTAGAGCATCTCGACACACTTCTTAGGAATGCTCTAGGCCGGGCGGTATATGGAAATCCGTACGGGTCGCCCGAATCCCGTTCGTTCTTGGCTTTCTCTTCGGATGACGCGATTGCTCTTCTCACGATGATAATATTCTTCTTTCTCACCTGGATTGTGCTTCTTATCGTGAAGCTCCTCCTGGGCATGGCTCTACTCCGATATTCCAAGGAGCGGTATGCCGCAATGAAACGCAAGGAACACGCAGTAGCTACCGGTAAGGCGGAGCGTGAGAACTTCTCGCAGCTGGGGAAGCGCATTGGTTCGTGGGGTGCGGTGGAGGTGGGAGAAGACCGTAGGAAATGGATATACGAAGACGATAAAGAAGGGCTAAAGAAGATGCGTGAACGAGAACGGAAGACGGAAGAGAAATTCAAAGAGAAGGGAGATGATGGGCTTTCTAAGGTGATGAGGTATGAGATGGTGGCTAAAAGGATATGGTGAGGAACGGAGAGAGAGAGAGGGGGGGGGGGGATAGGAGGAAAAGGGGGGAAAAGGGGGAAGTGGTGATTATGATTTTTACCTCATTTTTCGTCGGGGTACAACGTTGGAGCCTACTGCATTCTACTACGACATAGTGCGTACTGCATCATACTTGCATTTTATGGCGCCTAGCATCAGTTTTGAGCGTTCATGGCATTTTGATATCACAGTGCTGGAACTACAGCATGTATATATCATTTATTATTAGAGGTTCACCCATCTACTCATGCAGCCGATTACAGCTAACCTTACCTTACCTTACCTTACTGGGCAATACATTCCTAGAATAGTGGTATTGATAACTTGCATATAAATTTCAGGGGGCTGGGTCAGGTACGCTTTGTTCCTTTCCTGTATCAACTTCTTCTCCAGTGCCATTATCTTTATCTTCTACCTTAGGTAGTCGTAACATCCCTCAAACATTGCAGGCAAACATATGTAGTGAATAAATTTTATGGACCCTTAGGTTAGGTTAGGTACTTTTTAACAAGTCAAGTTCCATGGTTTGAGATGCTTTCTGTGGTTCACTAGGCAGTGAAATATTTCAACCAAGGAAGTTGCCGGCACACCTGGACCACGCCTTTTCATCCACGGCAACCAGTTTTAAGATTTGGGATTTGCTTGCAGCTTTCAAGTTTTTCTTTTCCTTTTTTACGTCGACGTCGTCCCTGCCTACCTCTTTCTACATCAACTTTATTCAGGAATGTCCACATCATCAGACCATCCTTGAACATTTCACTTGCCTACTACTTCTTCTTGTTCATCCTCTACAACAACAAGTTTTTTTTCCGGGGCATCTCCTTCATCAACTTCTTCCCATCTACATTAAACTTAGGGTTGAACTGGTTGGTGCTCATACTTTTCATCAGCCTGGTTGCCTACAAGTTTTTATGTCAAGTTGTTCCTACCCATACACGTCGCCGATACGTGCTTGTCTACCTTCCGTCGCCGATTGGTCTCAACTATAACCGTCGCCGATGCCCATTTGACCTTCCCTACATCAAGTTTACTCCTGCCTCCTCAGTCCATCGCCGACGCGTCTTCTTAGAGTATAGTCACATCCTATAGTCAGTTGTGACTACTATAACTCATCTCTTGATATACCCTTGCCACATTGAAGTCTATACACATCTGCATGTGTATACACCTGCACCTTTTCAAGGCCAACCTAAGACATACAACTTTAGGTTGCCAACCTTCACTTTCCCAAGTTGGTTGCCCAACTTAATCTGTCCCTCGCCATCTTTTTTAAGTGCTGCCATCGCCGATATCCCAACTTGTGACCTTTACACAATCAACACCCCCCAAAACCTGCTAGCAGTTTTAGTCAAGGCACTTAGGATCGCCGGCAGGACCACTTGGTAAGTAATAATTCAAGAAAAATCATGTTTCCCCTCCAGTATTACTTACTATACACATTGCTTCTAATCTCCATTGCTGTCAGTTGCTAGCAAGCTAACATCTGTTTCTTCTATCCCTAGACTCTCAGGCGCCCCGAAGTCTGCCTACCTGGGAGGTACTCAGACATCCGCCATATCTCGTACCAATCAATATATTAGCCGTCCAACGCTAGCAAGGCATTCCCGAAACCATGTCTGCTGCCACGTAAGTACCTACCTACCTAACCTAACCTAAACATCCACGCCTCTTTAAATACTTGAAAATATTTCCTTGTGTGAACTCATTACTAACACACAAGTTTGGACCAGTACCACCGGCCGCAAATTCCCCCTTCCGCTGTCGGATCGGGTGAGCTGGAGGCTTGCGGTGATGGCGTCCATCCAGGGATACGAGATGGCGACGCTGCGCTGGATCGGGATCCGAGCCTACGACGAGGGCGTCCTGACGGGCGACCAGGCCCGCCGCGCCCGCCTAGTCTTGGAGTGTCGCCGGCTCTACTTCGACGTCGGACAGTACTGGGACGCGAGGGCCGCCCGCCACGCTGAACTCGCTCAGGTCGAGCTCCAGCTGTCTTCTTACCAGCATGCTTTGCGCGAGCATCTGGAAGCCAGGGAGGCGGAGTGGTTGTCTATCCTGACGTCTCTCATCGACCGCCTGCCTGCCGATATCTAGATATGTACCTAGGTAGATTAAGGTTACGGATCACCTTCACGTTGCTTGCTGCACTAAGTACATTAGGTACTTACTTTTATGTGCTCTTTTGAGGTTGGCCTATCAATTAAGGCCAATCCTCCGTTAGCTAAAGAGTTTCTCCTTCACACCCTGTTCTTAGGTTGAAGTCTGAGCAAATTAGGGGAAGTCGAGGTTATGAATACATATTATTCAGTCTCTGTCTACTTTCTGATCACCAGGTTGTTAATCCGTATCGTATCATAAATTGTTCACCTACTAAGTTACCTAGACCGTAGGCCTGGTAAACCCATAATTACTTCGAGACTGGAAATATTCATCGTAGGTACCTAGGTATGTTCAAGTAGAAAAGCTACCTAACCTAGGCTGTGTCTCGCTACTATTCCAATGTTGTATATGTTCCCAATCCCCCAAGTTGCCAAAGAAGATACCTACCTCCTATCCATGAAAACGCCAGTTATTATGCACCCGTCCTAGTATACAGAAAGTCCAGCTCAATACCTCTTAACCCAATCAAGCCCGAAAAACGCCAAACCCAATGCGCTGAAGCGTCCCGTCGGTATTGCCATCGGGATGCATGCCAGGCTCCTCTATCTCGCTCAGTTCCGTTCGCCATGCGGTCCCCGTTGCCTTGCCGACCTCGTCCCATAACTCCTGCCAGGTCGCGGCGTTATGCAAGAACCTCTTCGACTTTGCAGCCCCCTCCCTGTCGCCCGGCGTCGTTGTTCCCACGTGGCGCCCGAAAATCATGACGTCCGGATCGTCCGCGTCGAGGAATCGCACCATCTTGCTGGCTGCCCGCACCTGCTCTTCCCACGTGAACAGGTGGAAGAAGCTCGTCGCGTGGATGATGTTGATCTTGCCGTAGAGCACCTTTAGCTTCTCGTCGCCTTCGCCGTCACCGTCCTGCCCCCCCGCGGGGGTTACCATATCGCCGGCTACGAACGTGGCGCGGAGCCTGTCCCGGTCCCTGAATAGGTCGAAGCCCGCGTTTAGGAAGCGCGGCTCTAAGTCGGTGCCGTACAATCGCGCCGAGTCTACGCCGTCGAAGGTAAGCTGTCGCAGCACCTGGCCCACGCAGCAGCCCACGTCGAGGAAGGTGGCGTCCGACTGGGGCGCGAGTAACCGGTTCAAAGCGATCTGGTACCGCGGGTCCGACGTGAACTTCAGCGAAAGGAAGCGGAAGTGGCCGATGCAGATGTAAGGGTAAATCTCCCAGAGACGATCTCGCTACAATATATAATAATGATGAGTTCACTTTCTTCTTTCTTCTTCTTCTTCTTCTTCTTCTTCTTCAACCTACTAGCATCAAGTAGTACCTAGGGAATAGAGACAAAAAATACGTACTATTTCGTGGATATGATCGTCGACGTCTTTGGCGCGGATGCCGCTGTATTTCTCCAGGAACTTTCGAATCGGCTCTATGTCAGGGGGCAGCTCTTCGATATATACCTTGCCCGTCAATATGTAATCCACCGATCGGTCAGGCTGCTGCTTGCCATTTTGATCTTCGGTGGTTGCCATTGTGCATCGACCGTATTGTCGGAGACGCAGGACCAATTTATTCATAGCGAATCCGGACGGGTGATGGGGTGGGACAAACAAGCAGGTTTCGCTGGGCCCCCTTTTTTTCTTCTCTTCTTCTACCTATCCAATCGTGCCCCCGTGTTGTTTTCTAGGGAGAACCTTGAGGCTTGGATTCCCGAGCCTCTGGAACGCCCCCGCTTGAACCAATTAATACTTGCAGATCGACGTCTTCCTAACTACCTGTAGTATATAATATGTAGAGAGCGTAATATGCAACGTCGACTACCTATCCTTATTTATATGTACTTGTATGAACGCTCTGGAAAGTTCATACGCTAGGCTAGAGAGAGCGAGATATGTTGACGATGTACGCGGTATTTTAAGCTAATTTAACTCGCCGGCCGAGGTAACATATAAGTACCTCCTATGCTTGATGCGCACTCCACACAGTGAAGTGTAAAGGATAGGTGGTGTCTAGGAGTATAAGCGATCCAATCGAGTCTTGCCAATGGATTTTGCTGGTAGGTACAAACATGGACTATGGACTATGGCGTCTCTTGTGCGAGTTCTCGGAGTTGAGCTGATCTGATCCGTTAAGAATAAGCTTAATAACATTAGTTCTCGTTCCAGTGTTAGCAAAAGATGCCGAGGAAGATGGGTTCGACGTTTGAGGTCAAGAGCTGGACATCCATCGTATGTCTGATATGTGATATCAAAGTTTTGGTCCGGGAAGATTAGGTTAGGTTAGGTTAGGTGTCTAAGACTTACGTATTATATTATTAGATGGATATTTCCCAGTTCGCTTCTTGAAGCGTCCTCTTGTCACGAAGTAAAACATATAACGTACATCGTCCGATACATCAATATGTTAAGAAGCTAGGCCTCAAGAAATTACCTTAGGTACCTAAGGTAGTAAGTATAACGTCGGATTCGTAAAAACGGGTAACTGATCCCGTAGACGATTTAACTGCACTATCCCAGGGGAATGGAGACGCTAACCCGTGGTTTGACAGGACGGATGGCCGGAATACTGGGGTTTACCTTGTATTCTCTTCGAATGGTAACAATTCTGGAGTCCAGAAGGGGAAATAGACTTAATTTGTAAGGGGCCCAGACCCAAAGTCCATATTTCGGGGGGGGAGGATTTTAAATTCTTTTTCTTCCCATTTCAATTGGAAGTCCTAAACATTTGGCGAATCGGGCCAATTGCGTAAGTCTGTCTGATCTCATATCCTACCTTGTATTCATCTTGAATCTGACACTATCGATACCAAAACTCCCAGGTAAATGGGACTGGGTCCTGTAATTAACGCCGATGAAACGGAAGAGAGTGGGAAAAGTGAATCAAGGTATCATCGTAGGTAGTTTATGCAAAAGCATGATGACGCACGGGGAGCGAAGTGGCACAGCAAGAGGTAGTTATTACTACCTAACCTTCAGCCACAAGACCATCGTCATCTTACCTTACCTTAGGTTAGGTAGGTAGGTACCTATCGTATTGGACGGATTATTTCGTGATTTAACCTTAATGCTTGACTGTAGCCCTAGATTAAACATGTACGGAAAAAGAGATTCGTCAAGCCCCCAGCGCCATAGATAATGATATCCCGGTTCAACCCTAAATAGTGTAAGTTCGCTAAGAATCAAAACTACCTAAACTAATAAACCATCCGCTGTTCCGTCCTGATGGAACTTGCCTAGGGCGTGCTAGGTTCTAGCACATATAATAGACTTGGCATCCTTAGCATTAGAATTGTCTGTTGACTAGACGAGAGAGTGATATATTCTCAGGGGTAAAACGAAGGCCGCGGTAACAATCGTTCTCCCTGCGAAGTAGGGACTTACGCCTTGTAAGTTTACTCTCGAAATATTCAGGTATGTTAGTTTGAATTTCAATACCGAAGCGAGTTGCATGTATCTACCCATATAGTTTATATGCCTACATCGAATCACATCGACTAAAAGTATACCCAATGAGCCATGGTAATATACTACCTAAGGTACGCGTTATGATTGCTAGTTCAGGTTAGGTACTCAGGTATCTATCCAGGCAAAGTCCTGTATTAATAACCCCGTAATCGAATCTGCCTATTCAACAGCTCTCCACTGCTGCTCCAGCTGTCCGACGAGGAGAGTTGCACTGCCATTCACAACACTAGCACCCACTTGTGCGGCTTGCTGACCGTAGATAGCGCCCTGCAGGAGATTCTGATTTGCATATCCGTAACCGACTCCAGGAGCACCATATGTGTACGCATGTCCGTAGGTGACATCTTCTAGCATGCCCATCTGGTTGTAGTGCGAGCTCGTAATGTTGAGCATCTTTTGTTGATCCAGCGCTATCTTGGCTCGTAGCAGCATCGCTCGGATTGGTGGAACCGTCTGACTCCAGACGAGCCGCCGCTGCACCGAATATCCGAGAAGCTCTGTAGGGTCGCATGGCGACGCCTCGCTACACTTTGTATAAAGGTCGCGCATACGCCGGCTGTACATCTCGCACATTGCGCTACTCTCTAACACCGTGTTCTTAAGCTCCATCTTCGCCGCCAGAGGACTGAGCGCAGCAAAGTCGTGATAGCAGTCTGGACAGATCGTGCAGTCTATCCATCCGTACCAGTGCTTGCCCTGCGCGTCCTCCTCACGAGGACATACCGGCAGAGAAGAATACACCGAAGCAAATCTGTCAAATGAGGTTGTATCATGTGTATGATACATCTCGACGAGTAGTGGCAAGTACTGCGGGGCCCGGTGATTCGAGAGGTTGAAACAGCATAGCCATTTAACCCCGGCAGGCTGCGCGTCCCGCTTCGGTACTAAGAAGCGCGATACATCCAGGGGTTCTGCGATAGCAACATAGCAGGCGCCGCAGATGCCGAAGTTGGGCGGGTCGGAAGGCAGCGTATACCAGGTCCCATCTTCAATACCGTCGTCGTCGCAAAACTTCTCTTTGGAAAGCTTATGTACGGCCCTCCAGAATATCTGGAAGTCGTTGACCTCGTGAGCCCGAGCCATCGCCATTGTGATGCTGAAGATTCCCATGCCGCAGCGGACCCGGGTACCGATTGCGTTTGTGAGTTTCTCTTCCACCTGCCACTGGCCCTCCTCGCTGGTATGGATCACCTGGTCGCAATAACATCCCGAGCAGAGCACCAGCCCTTCAGGGCCGCGCTTAGGCACGAACCATTTCCTACCGTAGGTCAATTCTTCGTTGCGCCGTCCGCAAGGCCTTATGGACAGCCGTGCCTTCGCCTCGCTTACGAACCCGGACCAGTCGTTGGTCTTACCCCTGGCTTCGTACTCCTTTCCTACAAAGGGCACGGCTAAATCGCAGCTCCACTACAACAAAAGTCAATGATTAGGTACTTAACCTATATTCTTGAGCAAGGAGTTCAGGGAGTCAAGTCGTGTCTTGAGAGGAATGACTGCTAGGCAAGCTCAAAAAAAGGAGGGGAGAGAGACAAATGGAGGGGGAAGAGGGGAAAGGGGGGATTTCTTCCGAGACATATGTAGTAGGAACGTAAAGGAGATAGCGGCAGCATCTAGGGGTTTACGTACGATTTCCTCTGCCGGCTGCGGTTGCGCCGGCTCGAAGTTCACAAAAAACGGGTTGGCCAGGACACGGTCTTCGTAGCAGGCCTGGCAACACCCGAAGCCCGGGATGTCGTTCAATCTCGGCCTGTACCACGCAATGCCTTCCTCCCCTCTAACGCCATCGACCCCTCTGCAGTCCGGTATCCGCGGCCGGGAGCGCATCCAAGCCAGCGCGGACTCCCAGGAGCCCGTCGCGAGCGCGTCTCGCAGCAGGCGATCGCGCATCCGCGGCTTGCTGAACCGGCACACGCGCGGCTCGCCGTCGCCGCCCAGCCTCTTCTTTCGGAAAAGGTTCCAGAACCGGGTCTTGTGGATGTGGTCGACGTAGCAGCGCGAACAGACGAGGAACTCGGGCGCGTCGGCGTGCCGGTACCAGTCCGTTGCGAATGTGACCGCGTCGTCGATGCAGGAAGTTACCGCCGACGGCTCGAGAGCAGGAGCCGGTAGGAGGCCTTCTGCCAAGCGTGTAGCAGCAGCAGCAGCACGCTTGCCTTTAGGTTCGTTTTCCGCTGGTAATTCGTAGATATGGCCGTCTGAGAGACTAGGTGCAAGGACACGAGGATCGGACGGAGGAGTCTCGGGAACATTTGGGTAGGACTCGGGAGTACTATTATTATGCGAAACAGACGGCAAGTTGGTCGGCAGTCGACTTTCCACGGATAGGGATTGGAATTGAGCGTCTAGGTGCTCTATTGATGGCGACGTGATCGAAGCACCGGCTAGTGATGGGGACGAAGCCTCGGTATTGGGCGGGCGTGACGTCGTTGAAGAGCTGGAGCTATTCGCTAGCGGTTGAATATCGTTGATTCCAATTGCTGTGCTGGAAGGACGCGCTGGAAGCATCAAATTGGTGCTAGCTGGCTGTTGTAGGATAGCTTGACTAAGCGGATTCGGGGGAGGCCGTGGGATGCTAGTAAACCCATTCTGGCAATGAAGGGTTGAGCATGACGTGCGCAAGTAGTCGTGGCCTTTGCCGAGACTGGGCGCATCAGGCGGATGACAAGAGTATGGCGGAGGGTTGGCTGAATCCACGCTCACAATTCTTGGGGGAGGCCCTGGGGGCGTTGGCGGGACGGAGTGTCCGAAACAAGACTGTTCATTAGAGCTGCTTGGAGTGGCGATCTCATACCCAGGTGGTCTCGGAGGGATCGGCGGAGGGACCGGCGGAAGCCGGGAGTCGGGTACATAGGCCGGATTCTGAGGCGGAAGTCCCGGGGGTGGTGGTGGATAACCCCAGTCCGTATATCCTAGACACCCAGGGGGCTGCGGGTTCCGCTGGTTCCAAGGAGGAAGAGGCGGCCGGTATGATCCAGGAGTAGACATATCGATGTACCGTTCCCAATCCCTTTACTAAGACGTGGTTAAACTAAAATACGCTCTCGCTCTCGACGCTTACATTTACGCAGCGCATGACGTTGGAGAGGACACGCTACGTCGCCATTCTTTCTAAACGTACGGCGTCTACTCGGAGTAGGTAGAAGGTTGACTCGTTGCAAATGGGGGCGGTCTACGTGACGAATGAGTACAAGGCATAACTCTTCCTTTTTTCTATATATATATCAATCGTGCGACTTGAAATATGTTCAGCTGAACTGCACTAGATAAGAGTCCGCATCAGCCACTCTAAGACTATCGCCTTGGCGTCACTTTTGCCAGATCTTACGCGCAGAAAGGTTCTGCGAGAGACACCAAAGCCACGTGAAGCGTTTTTGCTATCGTACGTGTGTGCTATGGCAGTCTGTCCTGCGAATCTATAAAAAGTATACTGCCTAAACTTCTACAGTATCGTGGCCTATGTACCTATCGAATGCGAGCTATTCTTGACTCAATAAACAGGTGCCTAGCCTATTGTCTAAAGTATATTAGTTATACGAATTGGAGTCTTTACTAGGCACGTAACGTAAGTAGTAACCAACAGTATGATCCTACTGTTGGGGCTGAGTCTTTATCTTTAAATTTAGGTAGCAATCTGACGAGTTTCTCTTATACCTATATTAGTACCTACATGTAACTTAACCTTGCAACGTCGAATATCTGTGTAGGTACCTAAGGTAGAGGTAGGTAGTCTTATATAGACGGGGCTAATAGCATCATTATCATCATATGATATTTCTACCTATTATGTAAATCTATCTTCCAGTTATCTACGAATTACATAGAATAACTATCATATACCAGAGATACAGTATCTAAAAAAGTAACTAATGCTGGACATGCTTAGCTTCTCCTTGATAGGGTGAAGTGTCGATGAGCATGGCCAGGTGGTGTTGAGAAAGAAATAGGGGGCATGTAGTTTATCATAAATCATAATTGGGGTGACGGATATCCCAACGCATGCGTGTTTGTAAAGCGATTGCAACTGTTGCAGCTCCCCTTAATCCCTCCATATTCTCCAACACGCCCCCTATTTCCCAAACGGCCTACCAACGTGTCGACTAGACCCGAAGTTGCTGTTTTTGATTGGCGGAACAACCTTCCACGCACGGCTAGAACGAGGGGTTCTAGACGGGTTACCGTGATGGCCGGCCCGTCCGGTATCCTGAGTGGTGACGAGCGAAACATGTTTCCTCGGACTTGCATGAACGGGCTTACCTTGTCTTATAGGTGACCCCCGTGTTTTTAACTTTGAATAGGAGGTAGGCATCTCGTCGAATTGACCGATATGGTCTTCGGGATGGAGTAAGATGTTTCTACTTATCAACTAACAATACTCTCGTGACGCGCATGCATCGCGCCTTAAGCGAGGCCGGGTTTCTCCTACAAGAAACGACACTGGCATGCATTTTTCTAAATAGGTAGACGAAATTCTTGGGATGCTTTTAACTCAGATTATTCATCCCTTTGAAAAAAAAAAAAGAATCGCTTTGAGTTTTACAGTATAAATATTATTGAAGTGCATAGGATGGAAATAAATGATTATGTATGTTGGTATGTATTCTGTTAAAAATGACTTGAGGGAAAAAGAGGAAAAGGGGCCTAAAAGGGTGTAAATGATTTAGTGTATGCAAGACATGTATTTTGCTTGATATATGCATATAGGTTAGTACCTATGTACCTAAAATGTGTTATGGTCACCATGTCACAAAGTCAGCCACTCGGACCCGTGGAAAGAAGGAAAGTACAGCCCTAGGTCGCGTTTGAAAATCGGGATCATCTGAACTTTTGTAAGGCGCTTTCCCTCAGGAATGAAAAACCAAATGGTTAGGTACTTTGTGATTGAATGTGGGGTTTACCTAACCCGATAGGTACAATTAGGTACTTCCAAGATTCAGTGTTCTGTAGGGATTGATCTAGAGGTATGCGACATTGAAACTGTTGGCTTTAGCAGGAGTTTGACGAACACTAGAGTTGAACTAACGAAACTCTACTTACCTAGGTACCTAGGTATACAAGGCTACATAGTAGGTGCTTCCTAATGATGTTCATCTCAAGTTTTTTTTGGCCGTTTCCATACTGCTCTCTTTGCCTTCTGCCTTCCGCTGCTGATTTTGCCTGTGGGTCCGGGGACAACTGTGGTCAGCCGAAGGAGGCGCGTCTGATAAATTAGGTACCTTTAGGCATAGAACCCGTCATATGTATTATGAGTAGAGTGAGTAGAGGAGGTACATACAGTGCTTAGCGTGCTGCAGTGTGGTTGGATGTACCTTCTGTAAATAACACTGGGGTCGGTTGCTGGCACCAATTGTTTGAAGCGCTAGTCCGATGTCTCCCCTCTTATTAAAATCCTGACTACCTGACCTAACCTTAGGTAGGAGGTACCTAACTGGGAGGTACCTCTGTTGCCATTATCATTACCTCTTACCTATTACCCGTTACCCATTACACCACTACTACCTAATCTAACCTGCTTACAATCCGTACAATACAATCTTTACAATCCACTTTACAAATCCAAAAAACCTCAACCACCCAAATTCGTTGAACATATGCACATACACACATACACATAGCATATGCATACACGTACGCACATACTTTCATTGGTACTCGCGTTTAAGACAAGATCACAATAACGTCGTCCACGCCAAACGTCCCACGCCTACGCCTCTACCTTTACGCCTACGCCCCTCGGTCGTTTTCCATTCTCGAGGAATTCCCTTGGCGACAAGAAGGGGAAAATAGAATACCACAGGTCACCCTTGGGCAACCTTTTTAGAGAATATACGCGGCTATCACCGTTCGACCTCCTCGGTTTCTATTTGCCTCCCTTTCTTCTACTCGCCTCCTTTACTCGCCTAGGCATTTCCCGACCCTTCTGTCTTCATTTACTTTTTTAGACTTGGACTTGGACTTCGCCTCCAATCCCAATTTCAGCCCCCGACTCCCGAGTCGACTTTGGATTACCACAACTTCGTCTTGCTCAACCTGCATCGCTCAGCCAACTTCTAACATCGAACCGACGGCTTCGTATCTCATGCTATCACGATAAGCCTCTTGTTATACATGATTCCTAGCACGTTATAGAAATAGTATGAGGATACAGGCACCATCCGCAGACGAAAGGATGGAGTCTGCGCGGCCTCGATCGAGTCACGCTACAGTTTCCGTTAACTTTGACGATGCCGACTCCCACTCTCATCCACGACTCAAATTTGGCGTTGCTGAATGTATCGAGACCAAAACGGTCACCACAACCACCACCACTAAGAGATCATACCCGCCTCTTCTGGTAAGGGAGTCGAAGCCGCTCTCATCCCTAGACTCCAAAGAGTTCCCCTTAGCTCAGAAGCCTACCCCTCCTGAGTTAGCCAACTTCACCTTTAACGTCGCCCACTACGGCGGCATCTCCTGGCCCGTTGACGATAACGATGTTGACTTTCAACAAGACGTATGTTTTGATCTTCTATTCTCTTCTCTATTTATTGTTCTTGACTTATCATCTGATCTATAATTTAGTCGCAGCAGTCTATTAGCGATGGATCTGTCGAAGAGATCAAAGCGGAGCCGGAATTAAATGCTACCTCCCAAACTACTCGACGCTCATCAAAGCCGTACCAGACTATCTCATCTCGTAGAAGCCACCGGGTGAACTCGAGAGCTGCATCTCCCGTTGTCGGCGGATCTATCCGGAAGAGTTCGCAGAAGCAGTCGATACGATCATTGACACCCACTCTGCCCAACGCCGTATCGGATAAGTTACGCCGTGCTCTAACCAACGACTCCCGTAAAGACGTGATCAGAAACAATACAACAAGATCTACTAGTGGTTTTCCCGTCACGCCTGACACGTCTGAGCTGGCTCCAGCCAACGCGAATCGACCCTTCAAGCTTCGAAATACGCACCTAGATTCTTTTGAGACCCCAGAATCTAATAATAATAATAATAGCCAACCCCAATCTTTCTTCGATATCTCCAGCCCCTCAGGCAGCGATTCGCATACCGTCTTCAGTAGCAATGTTGCTACGCCACCTATTACTGATGCAGACGCGGATACCGAACCATTTGGCGATGTCGATGCGGATGAATCACTTCAGCAGTCTATTCGTGCCTTGCATCACCCAAGACCCGTCAATACACTTGCTGCTCAAGATGCCAGCCTACCCAGCCCACGCCTATCACCGACTCTGCAGGCTTCCAGATTTCGTGGGCTGGACCAGGACGATAGAGACAATGCGGCGGACGAGGATGTTTCATTGCTTTTCCAGGAGGAAAGTCAGAACTCGGTGGATTACGAATCTGGCCCGTCTTCTACGACAGAGCCCTCATCTCTAGCTCTTCGACGGTACGAAGATTCTTTGCAATCCCAACCTACAATCATGGACACCCGCTCGATGCTGGAGACGTTTGACGCTATGCCTGCCGAGATGAAGTCATTTATGATGTATCAATTTCTCCGTAGATGTTCCAGAAAAACCCTTCACATTGTTGCCGATGTGGTCAATCCAGCCCTAAAATGCGACATCTTGAAAGACCTCCCTTTGGAACTAACCCTGCACATCCTTTCTTACCTAGACCACCGCGATCTTTGCCGTGCGGCTCAGGTTTCAAAACACTGGCGGGGGGTTATTGATAGTAACGAGACGGGCTGGAAGGAGCTCTTCGACGCTGATGGCTTTACTCTAGCCCCCGGAGAGCTCGATAGAGCTATCAGAGAAGGTTGGGGTTGGCAAGATCCGGTTGGACCCGAAGGCTGTGAGCGTGACTACAGTACTCAAGCTAGACTTACTTCGACCGAGGCCGAACTAATACGCTCGTCAAAGCCCGACCCGCCACAGAAATTACGGACATCCAAGCGCAAGAGGGCTCTGAACAGCCTCATCAGCTCGGAACGGTCTAAGCGGCGAGCAAGCGCGCAAGAGATGACAAAGGATGAGAAGACGTATACGGGAGAACGGGTGCACAAGTCTGAGGGTCCTATGTCTGCTGCAAATGCCGCAGCTGTGGCTGTTCCCGACCCGCACATCGGCCTTCCAAGCCTTAGGAGGCTTCACCTGTTCAAGTCACTCTATCGTCGCCACTACATGATCCGTAAGAGCTGGACGAGTGGCAAAGTCAAACCAAGCCATGTTGCCTTTGCGGCCCACCCCCGGCACGTAATCACCTGTCTACAGTTCGACGAGGACAAGATTATCACCGGAAGCGACGACATGCTTATCCACGTCTACGATACCAAGACAGGAAAGCTCCGTCGTCGCTTAGAAGGCCACGAGGGCGGGGTTTGGGCTCTTCAATATGAAGGCAACTTTCTAGTATCCGGTTCTACCGATCGCTCTGTTCGTGTGTGGGATATTGAGAAAGGTCTTTGCACCCAAGTCTTCTATGGCCACACTAGTACTGTCCGATGTTTACAAATCTTGATGCCAACAGATACCGGCAAGGTAGAGAACGGGCAGGCGGTCATGATGCCGCCGAAGCCTCTAATCATTACCGGATCTCGTGACAGTCAGTTGCGAGTCTGGCGCCTTCCCGAGGCCGGCTCTAAGAGATACATACAGACCGGACCTCCAGCCAACGATACCGACTGCCCTTATTTTATCCGCATTCTACAGGGCCACACGCACTCTGTCCGCGCGATCGCTGCTCACGCCGATACACTTGTCAGTGGAAGCTACGACAATACAGTCCGAGTATGGCGCATCAGCACAGGGGAGACGGTTCACGTTTTGCAAGGACATTCGCAGAAGGTGTACAGTGTAGTGCTGGACGTGGCTCGTAACAGATGCATATCGGGCAGCATGGATAGCTTTGTGAAGATTTGGGATCTGGAAACTGGATCATGCTTGCATACGCTGGAAGGACATTCACTGCTCGTTGGATTGCTCGATCTTCGTGACGAACGACTAGTTTCGGCAGCGGCGGACAGCACCCTCCGTATTTGGGACCCGGAGAGCGGACGATGCCAGTCAACTCTAACGGCCCATACTGGCGCGATTACCTGCTTTCAACACGATGGACGTAAAGTTATTAGTGGCAGCGACCGGACCCTGAAGATGTGGGATATCCGCTCAGGCGAATGCATCCAAGACCTTCTTACGGACCTTAGTGGAGTCTGGCAGGTCAGATTTGATGAACGCCGATGTGTAGCGGCCGTCCAGCGGGATAACTTGACATATGTCGAGGTGAGTCAAACCCCCGAAGCTTGAATGCACCTAGTTTAAGACTTGCTGGCTAACAATTTGGTGATAGATTCTTGACTTCGGAGCCATTCGTGACGGCAAACCTGTAGAGGAACTTGGCAAGCGTATTTTACTAAATGCCCCCGAAGTCCAGAGAATAATGGAAGAAGATAATTAAACTTACTGGGCCTACGAGCATGTATCCGGTTCCGCAGCGAGGACATGACCCAAAGTTACAACACTCTCACCTAGTTAGAGCGCGTACCGGTATGCTTGCTACATAAGCCAAAGCGCAAGGCGGCCACACGAAGCCACATTTTTATATTTATTTCGTCCATCGCGACATCTATATCGAACAAGATTCTGAGTTCTATTAGGCTTCTCGCGTGGCTTGTCACAAGCAGAGTTATCTGTAGATTGGTGACGATCGGCAAGTACGATAGAGCAGAATGGCTAGTGGTGACAGCAAAAAGTTATATGCGGACAGCATTCTTTGAGCGAGGCATTTGTTTTCTTTTTTTTTTTTTTTTTTTTTTTTCTGATCAGTCCGTCCGTCTGTTGGCAGCATACATTCGCCAGGTGTTATCCATACGTATCACACGAAGAAGCTTCAGGAAGCCGACCATTCGCGCTGTTCAGGTTTCCTTTGACATAAGTACCGAACGCTTCAGGCCGTGAAGGTATTTACATGAATAAATGAGCATCGATTAGGGATCAAGGAGGCGGTTACAGGCATCTTAGCATAGTGGCATTCATGTACATGAAGAGAAGCGAGCATATTATGGGCGTAATGGACATGTGTAAGGAGTCAGGCAACCAACTAGCATATTAATGAAATTTCCGAAAAAGAAAAAAAAAGTTTTCTATGGAAAACATTCCCTTTTGGAGTTGAAAGAAGTGAAGCAAGAATGCAAATAGCATCTACTTACCTGGTTCATTAGCTAGCAGCGTACATAGGTCTATCTATAGGGTTGGTGTTCGTATCCAACGACGTAAGTGGCAAGTGGACGGACGTGCTTAACTGCATGGATCTGGAAACCTTACCTTGCCTGGCCACGACCCAACTGGTAATTCTTCCAGAGACATACTTAACCTTAGGCAGGTAACTCTATGGTAATGAGATCTTTCTCACCAACACAAGCTGCTATTAGGAATTTCTCATATTTTCGCATACTACAATTCTTCTGTTCCTCTCCAATTCGGAGTAAATCCACATTTGCGGTCACGAATAATAAAAAAGTAAAATAAACTTCAAACGCGGCGGCAATCCCCAATTACTACCGACAAGAAACTTCACAAAACTTTATCCACCATGTCCGATTACGACTCGGGAGATGGCCTTTTTCAAGGAGTAGATGTAGATAACCTGACGGCAGGAAAGAAACGTGGACATTCTTCTGACGATGAAGAGAATCATCAAGCGAAGCTAACCAAACAGCTCAAAGTACATGATGCAAAACGCAACGACACAGCATTCCTTGGAGATATTGCCAAGTCGATTCTAAAGGAAAAGTTTGGCTACGATGACTTCCGTCACGAGCAGTTCTCTGCCATCATATCCATCCTGCAAAAGGAGAATACCCTCGCAGTCTTTCCCACGGGCGCTGGCAAGTCGCTCTGTTATCAAGTTGAGTTTTCCCTTCTCGGAGAAGATCATCATGCCATATTAAATACTAACATTTACTTCGCCCCAAGATACCTGCTCTTGCTTTCGAAGAGGTAGACGCTGTGGATGGTAACGAAACTCGCACCGGGCCGGGACTTAGTATCGTCGTTTCGCCCTTGATTGCTCTTATGAAGGATCAAGTAGACGCCCTATTACAAAAAGGCATTGCTGCCGCTTCTCTGGACTCTACCAAGGCTTACGAACAGCAGAAGCAGATCAATGCTGGTATCAGAGAAGGCCATCTGAAATTACTCTACTGCGCACCCGAGAGGCTCAACAACGAGGGCTTCATCGAGAGCATGAAACATGTTCCGGGAGGCGTTCGGCTAGTAGCCGTCGACGAAGCCCACTGTATCTCAGAATGGGGCCATTCTTTTCGTCCGGATTATCTGAAGGTGGCCCGCTTCATTCAAGAGATCCAGGCTGAAAGAGTCATCTGCCTGACAGCCACAGCGACGCCTCGCGTTATTGATGATGTTGCAAAGGCATTCAAGATCAAGAAGTCCAACGTGTTTTGCACTTCTCCCTATAGACCAAATCTACGTCTATTAGCCGAGTCCGTGGATACAAAGATGGACAAGTATCCAAAGATATTCCGTTTCTTGCGAGAACATCCCGGGCCTACTCTTATATATGTGACTCTTCAGAAACAAGCCGAATCGCTCGCGGATGATCTAGGAAAGGAAGGCTTTAACGCAGTCGCATTCTCCGCCGGTCTCAGAAAAGAGGTAAAGACTCAAATCCAAGAATCCTTCATGGCCGATCGCGTACCGATAGTTGTCGCTACAATTGCCTTCGGCATGGGTATTGACAAGCCCAACATACGAAACGTTATCCATTTCGATCTTTCTAGCACAGTTGAAGAATATTCGCAGCAGATCGGTCGCGCGGGAAGGGATGGAGAAACGAGTCATTGCATGTTTTACATTTGTCCCGATGACTTTTACTTAACAGAGAACTTCGCTCGTGGCGACTTGCCATCACGGCAATCGCTGCTTCGGTTGCTAGAAGACCTATTCCTGCGGAAAGTCGACCGCACGCAGGACGGCGATGTCATCAGACTTAATCAAACTAGCTTGGGTCGAGACCACGACATCCGGGCAGGTCCTCTGTCTATCCTGCTGGCGACACTAGAGCTTCGATTCGGCCTAGTCAGGGCAATTACTCCGGAATATTCTTCGTACAAATTCGAAGCAATGCCCCAATACCAGCATCATGCCAAAGCAGACTCTTCTATCGAAGGCAAAGCCATCTATAAGCACGCCAAGAAATCCCGATATGGCAAGTTGTACAAAGTCGATATCAACGAAATCGTAAGGTCGATGGGGCTGCTACGTACCGACTTAGTGAGGAAGCTCGAGGAGTACAACGACAACAGTATCATCATGCTAAAGAAAAGCGGAGTCGAGAACAAGCTCAAGATCCTGAAGCCACTCCCCAAGACTCCGGGTCAAATCAAAGCCATCGCCGATAAGCTGTACGTCGATATGGAAGCTCGGGAGGAGGATGCCATGCGTCGAACCCAGCAGGTAGCCGACCTGATAACAGGCGACAAATGCTTTGCTATAGCCCTAGCCGAGCACTTCGGAATGGGGCTCCCCGGCGGGAAAGTCAAGTGCGGGCACTGCTCCCACTGTCTGACGGGGAAGCGCGTGATATTACCCCCAAGGCCCACACCGGCTGTCGACATCGCGGGCATCCAACGGGTTCTTGAGGGCTGCAGCGTACGGGACGACCCGAGATTCCTAGCGCGCGTGGCCTTCGGCATCAAAAGCCCGCGGGTCATGCAGCTTAAGCTCCACCAGAATAGCATCTTCATGTCGTTGGCAGACCACGACTTCAAGGTATGTCCCCCCTCGGATCCTCGGATCCAGCCTACCTAGGTATCATCTAGGTACCTACCTAGATGAAACGGCGCGTCAAGCTAATGATTACCCTGCGGTCTAACTAGTCTTTATTACAAGAGTTCACCCGAGCTTGCGAAGCGGCGGGGTATAATAAGTAAGAAAGAAAGAGAGGGCCGAAGTCTATCAGGGGTCTGTTTTGTTTTGATGCTTGGTTTTTCTTTAAAGGTACCTAGGTGATCAAGACAGGTTAATAGATTGAGAGGCAAGATGTATGTAATGTAGATGACGGAATACCAGGATGTTCTAAGGTATGGTATACCTTACCTAGGTACCTCAGGTACGGTTTATCGTGACATCCTGCGCCAACTAATGATATCTGACGATGTACGATTAGATTAAACGTCACTCGTTAATATAGATGCTTTTTCTCGCCGGTTGAATCATCAGCCTGGAGAAGAAAGGCAAAATTCCCTAACTAACTACCTAGGTACCTGTTTTTGTGTAGTTGGAGAAATATCACAAAGTGCATTCTGGCGGTCATAGCACAGGGGTTCACTCAGTTACGTTAGGTATTAACAAACTTCTTAATTCGGACGACCTAGTTTTAATATAATATCCCGAACGAGTTCGGGCATAGGTATTGTAGAGGTAGTTCCATCGTTGGTTGAGTCACAATTCTCTATACCTGTTACATGGAATCTTGGATGTTCTGTAGAACGCCTTCATAGCCGCTTGTGCTTGCAAGACCGCGCACCTCCAGAACAAAAAGCATCAGTTCAACCAACAGTTATATTTATTTATTTACTTATTTTTCGAAGAGGCCCATTAACTAACCTCGATGCGATGCTGGCCACCCGTCCTCTTAGGGATGCGCAGTGGGCCATTTGTCTTTGTCTCGGCAGGTTGACCAAAACGCTTTGGCATCTCCTTTCCATCAACCAACACTTTGAATCTCTCATTCCCATTGGGAGCCGGGAGCAACAGCACCCCAGAGGTACCCTTAGGTACGCTATATTCTAGCATATAACTGCCGTCGCTATTTACCGTCCAGCTTGCGAAGTATTTCCCCAAGCTGGTCGTGAAGCCACCTTCAGCATGGGACAGATCCCCAAACTGAGGCGCGATTTGCCAAGTCGAGCCCGCGAGACCAGTAATGCTGAGCCCGAGGATGTACTCGGTCAACGCTGTAACCGGACCTGTAGCCCATCCGTCTGAAAATAATTCACGTTAATAACTATTAACTCTTGTCGAGCTTCGCTTAACCGTAGAAAATAGAAATAATAGGGGCAATACATAAGGTAGAGGTGTGCATATAAAGAATACCTGGTACTCACGCGAATGAGAAGTATACGAGTAATTCTCCTCGTACCCAGCATCGTGCCGGTAACCCCAAGTCCCCTCGACCAGATATCCCTCGACCATAGTAGACTGCGTGCCATTCTCGTTGTTCAGATACCAACCCCAGCTAGTGCGGATCAAATCCAGAGCCCGTTGAGCCTGGCGTGCCAATAGGTGCGCTTGGATCTCGAATGAAGATATAAACGTCGACACTTCGCCAGCCAACTCCGGGCTCTCTGCTCCGATCGGCGTCCAGTTTTTCGTTAACGAGGATGATATATCCTGCGCTCGATCCGATGCGGTGCTCACTACCCCAAAAAGCACCGCCAGGGCATTGCCGTCTTGCGGGTGTAAATTTACGTTGGCATCGCGCGTCTCGAGACTGTCATGAAATACCCCGGCCTTCTCGTCCCACAGCTGCACGTTTATGACATCTCTAAGCTTCGCAGCGGCTTCGAGCCAGGTCGAATTCGCCCCGGTCGTATCGCCAACCCAAGTAGCCAGGGCGCCGCCCGTTATCAGTGCCCGGTAATACAGCACTTGCGCAGAGGCCTGGGTACTAGTAACGTTGAAGCGGCCCCAGTCGTCACTGTATCCCGTGATGTTGAGCAGGCCCAAGGACGAGTCGAGCTGGTTACTAATGAAACTCATCGCCAGGAGATATTTGGACCATATCCCTCGAATGAAATCCACATCTCCGGAATAGAGGACGTAATTGTATGTCCCGATCATAGTCCACCTTAAGTAGAGAAATAAGCGCTTTAGTATAATCCCCTCTAGTTGGGTAACAACTATCTTGTATGTAGTCTTACATATGATAAGTATCGCTATTTTTGGCGAGAAGCGGCGGGCCAGAAAACGGGAGCAGGCCGTTTTGTTCCTATGTATGTACGGTGAGATAGAGCCCCTGGATGAGTCTTACGAGGGGGGATATTGACCTACCTGAATGCCATATAAAGTCGTCAATGAATTTCGTACGCTCCTAGGCACAATGAGCAAGAATTTCATAGTTACAGCACTTTTGAGACTAACTCAATATCGCCGGTACTGTAGAACGAAGCGGGAATCGCAACGCCCATGTCGCCGGGCCAGACGGTTCTGTCACGCTTTGCGCCGTCCGTATTGATAGTGTCGCCTACGCCGATATCCCCGTCGTTCAGCCACTGGCCCTCCGGCGGAGGCCAGGCTCGTCCAGTCTTGGGATGGAGCGCATTTGTCTGCAGAGTCTACATCAAGTGAAATCAGCAATTATATATATGGTGTCTCAAAGAGAGTGTCTAGACTTTCCAAGACCCATCCATTCCTGAGAGTTCCGGGTGACAGATGAGATTCAGCAAGATATGATAGGTAGGTATAAAGTTGGTATTATGCACTCACATAAGCACCGCTATACCATATCTTATTGAGCAGATCGTCGCTGCTATGGAAATACCCCTGGTAGGCACGCAGATTCGACCAAGTCGGCTGGAAGCTGATCTCCAAGCTGACGCCGGTGACCGTAACGGAGGACGTGGCCCCAACAAGGAACAATGTCATATACCGAAACCCGCCACGCAGCTGCTCGGTTGGCATTTCGTACGTATACCCCCCAGCCGCGGAGAAGTTCGCGTACAACGCGCCATCATTCCGGTCGGATATGTCCGCGCTCTTGTCCGAGACCGGCCCGACGTAGTCCTTGGCTTCGGCAAATGCTATGCCCAGGGCGGCGCCCTCGCCGGCGGTCGACAGGACGGAGTACCGTATGGTAACCACGCCGCCGACTTCGAGCCCGAAGTCGAAGTAGATGCCCGAGCGGGCGCTGGTCAGCGACGCCGACTCGGCCGAAATGCGTTCCCCCGTGTCCAGCCGGAAAACGGCTTTGGGGGCGACGGTTCGCGACGGGGGAGCGAATATATTCGACTCCCATTCGCCTGGGAACGCCGACGTCTCGGCACCGGTACATTTCGTATCTCGCCAGCAGGTTGTCTGGGCGCTGGCTTCTCGCACGAGGACCAGAGCCCAGAGTATAAAGACGGGTACAAAGGAGAGGGGATGAGATGCCATGTCGAGGGATGACGATATAGATTAATCTATTTACTATACCCCTAGCCTATTAAATTAAGAGCCAACCCGGCGGTAAAAAGGGGTGCCAGGAATTATATTGAGACTATAGGTATGTATTTATAGTCATTGGTTTTATACCATAGTTACATACATACCTACCTAACCTAGCATACAGTATGCGAATTGGGGTTATATGAAAGATCAATGCTACAAGCTCGCGTGATGTATATACCGTACAAGTAGCGCTAGGCATGTAGCCATGTAGGCAAGTATGTACCTACATACCTCCTTCATACCTCCTACCTACATACAAATTAGCAAATAAGACAGCACTAAGTTAGGTACCTACGTCCTCTATTTTCCGGATGTACTTCGTATCTGGTACTTTAGGTTCTTTGGTTGTTTCCATGAGCTTGGAATCCCATCTTCCTGCCGAGATCACCGTAAGCACCCCGCTTGAACCAGACTTAGACCCGAGCTGGGGTATAGGTTTAGGTATCTTTCATTTGTGAGTGGTAATGGGGGGAAAAGACCGGATGAGGCATGTCGAGACGTTGCTCGTTTGTCGACAACGATGTTTGCATGCCCGTTCCAGGCAACAACAACAACAGCAGCGGCAGCGGCAGCAGCTAACCCGAGCAGGGCTTCATTGTGATCATGGGATTATGCGGGGGTGCTTTGTTCGGGTAGCTCGACAGGACATGGGTATTTACTATTGCCTATCCCCTCCGCCGAATAAGGTACCTACATAGTATAAGCCCGCTCCGTTTCCCTTTGATCCACTTGTCTCCGGCAGGTTTTAGAGTCCGTATAGATTCCAAAGTGTTTTTTGTAAGCAATTGATGAAAGTTATATATTCCATAACATCGTCGTTCAAGTGTTGATATCTCGATCCTTTTGGCATTAGGTACGAGTACTTATAGGATAGCTCCCTACGAGGTAAGCAAAGGATCCTGCTGCCTGCGAGATTAGGTTTAGAGACATCCATGCTGTCGGTTTTTAGTGGTACCAATCGCTGGATATCAAGTCAGTTTATCCCAGACATGTTGTTAATAAGTAAAGAATATTGCTTAGGTGAGCCTGCGTGCTCCAAAGGCATGACGAATAATTGCACGTTGGCGAACCATAACATATAGCCGCAGGGAAGATCCAGGTCGCGAGCTCATCTAGCGGACAAACTTCAACGTCTAGCTGGGTTTGGCCAGATGAACTAACTTCTAAGGCACCCATCACCCAACCATAGTACACAATACAACGGAAAAAGCCTTCGGATACTTGGCAAAGTCGGTTTATATGTACGTGCCAACCTGACAAGACTTCCGCAGGCTTGCCAGGCTATGTATGTTATTATGTATGGGGTGTCGGAAACGGGAACCCGGAGCGTAGGTAAAACCAAGCTTGGACGACATAATGAAGACTGTTATTAGTTACTGTTATGAGTTGCTGGATATTGTTGCGTTACGTTCGACAGAATAGTCAATCCATAACTCGTACAAACATTGTTTTTTGTTAAATCGCGGCGATAGCTTTGCTTTGCTTAGACGATGAACGACGCCCATCACCCTACTTCAAGCACTTGTTTTGCTATTCGACGCATAGGGCGACGCATATGCTCAGATGTCTCCAACCTTAGGTACATAGTAAGGAGGCCGAATGACCAAGTTTTGAAAGCCCCGTAAGCATGGAATGTTAGATTGAAGGCTCATGAGTTTCTGCGGACCCCAGTTAACAAGTCCCTATCTGGGTAGTTAGTTGATGGGCAGTTGATGGGCCCAAGAGGGACAAGTCGCGAGAGTCGTCTTGATTCGAAGGGTAGAATTCGTATAATGTATAGTTAACTAAAATAAGTTGATGGCGAGCAGAACCATTATCAATCCAACCCCATGCTTAAACCGTAGATCTTCTCGATATAGGTATGTATACTGCACGAAAGCGCAGATCGCGAAAGGATGCATTGTTAATCATTTATTTTAGGCTTGCACTAAACTCGTAGCGGGCTTAAATTATAATTCAGCGGGTCGCGGGAGCCGGGATGCTGTCTTGGAATACAGCGAGTGGTGGACTATGGTACCTGGACAAGTGCTATGTTAGGTAGACACACCAGACTCACAGACAGACAGGCGCCGGGGCTCCTAATGGCGCTAATGCAGCGTTCTAACTCGTTGAAAGAGTGATCCGTTTAACGGGGGGGACGTCGATGACTGGACTAAAAAAAAAAGCGAATAAGAATTGGTTATTATTATTCATGCCATTCTAAATGGGATGGATATTGAATAACTTAACCACTAATACCACTAATAATATACCACCGTAGGACTTTTTAGACCTTTTAGACCTTTTAACCCTCACTCACTTAGGTCTCTCTCTCTTTCTTCTTCTTCTTCTTCTTCTTCTTCTTCTTCTTCTTCTTCGGGAATGACTTGGCAAAAGGAGAGAGAGAAAAAGAAAAAGAAGAAAAAGAGCGATTAATTGATAGCGACGAGATTATGATATTCTATTTTAAGTCATTCATCAAATCATGATATCTCGCATGGTATATGGTATTTCGGACCCAAGCACGGCTAACTTGGCTAACTTCGTCCTTCACCTAATAAACATCAACTTCGGGGAGACCAACAACTCTATACTTGCAGCTTTACAACTTTGACCGACCGCCCCCCTTTTTTATTTTTTTATTTTTTTATTTTTTACCTTAACCCGTCAAATTGTACAACTGCAAGGCTAAGGCTTGTTCCACCTATACACCGTATACACCGTACACCCTCTTTCGTCCCTTTCGTCCTTATCGTCCGCCCACTTACGCCCACTACACCCACTACGCCCTTTAATGTCACATATTCGTTCGATCCCGCTTCCACGCTTAAACGTTATAATCGCAACAACGACGGCAAAAACCATCTTGTGACCCTCCCTCTCTATTTCGACGCGAACCCACCCTCCCATCTTCAACACATACAAAGTAATAATTTAGATCCACACTCGAAAAAACAAGACCGGACTTGCTCTTCTGGATCATCCCGTTGCATGCATCCCGGACCTGTTTTAATTGGATATCGGACATCAGCAGCGACCTTAGAAACCCGCCCGACATTGTCACCTCCATGATAGTGCCGCGATTCGGACGAGACTCTGCTTCGTGCAACCCGACAATATTATAAGGGGATCCCTTAGAGGCTTAGACCTCGCACGAGGTCGCTACGTACACCCTCGATGATGGTAAGCTCCTTTGTTTACCTAGGATAAATAATATAGGTCGCATGTCCAGGAATACGCCCTTGGGATATCGCACATCTCGCCCCGTGAAGCCTGTTGTCTTTAAATATCTGCCGATTCTATCCCGTCTCATCCTCCGGCCCGTCCCTTTTATGTCGAGATACTTTATTCTTTTCAAAACTGACCTAACCTTAAATGCTTAGACCTCTCAACGGCCTCGCGATGTCGGTGGAAGCTTTGCGAGTCGGCGTGGCCATGCCAACCAGCTGTCCATATCTGATCCGACCCATCACATAACCGAGACCATCGGGACCATGTACGGCGATGACGATGACTACTCGAACAATGATCTACGCCCTATGAGCTTTATCGCGGCTCCCGCCGGCGGCGGTGAGCAGATAACCCAGCGTTACGATGTAGACCCTCCTTCTCCAGAAGAACGTCGACTTCCCCTTATCCGGACCACTTCGGATAATACTGGCTTGCAACCCTCAGTTGGTCCTGTAACGAATGGGAATTCTTTACAGAAATCGCAAACTCTCCCCGGTCGAATATCGAGCCAAAAAAGTACAAATTCGAGAAATAGCACTTACGAGTCGGGCCCCAAATCACCTATCACTCCCTTGTCACCCACGCTGCGCGATATGCGTGAAGATGCCGAGCAGTATCCGATAACCAACATCGATAATCCGAACGATATTGCCCAAGAGCTGAGCAACTTACAAGCGTTACGGCGCATGTCCATGGATGTCTCTAACAACAGTGATCCTGACTTGCTTCCCTTTCAGGGAATGTCTTTAGTGGCAATGCCGTCGATAGCACCGAAGGGGGACGACGAAGGAGATCCTTCGAGGCTCTTGTGGGTTCCCGCCAATGTCCACCCGGAGTTGGCTCCAACTGAGTTCAAGAATTTTGTTGAGAAGAGGGTACAATCCATGAAGCGGAGGTCTGGAGAATCCTCGCTCTCCGTAGATGGTCTGGACAGGAGTAATTCGAGCGGGTTACGGAGGAAGAAGTCCATGCTCTCCAGACAAGTTCATAACACGGGAGGTCAGGGCGCAGAAGGATATGCGGATGGTGCCGAGAGACTAGAAAGGAATAAGTCTCTAAGACAGTCGGGACAAGGCCCCTCGGAGCTCAGCATCGATGAGTTGGTGAAAGACCCATCGAAAGTTATCCAGAAGCTCACTCTTGAGTCGCAGCGCCAAGACGGAGGTAGCGAAATATCAAATGTGGATGATATGCCCATTCTACCCGTTACGCCAGGCATGGGCTTACGTCGATCGACCCGTACTACTTACCGAAAGGGTGGCAGTCTAAAGAATCGACATAGCGGTTCGCTCAAGTCGGACGAACGTCTTCCTTTCTCGAAGCGCGCAGCATCAAAGAATCCCGAAGAAGACTCTGGCATCATGTCTGGCAGTGAATCAACTATCGAAGCACCACCAGGACACGGTTTAACTCGCGTACAATCAGAACCTATCTCAGATGGCTTTACGCGACCGTCAAAGGCTACGCGGCGCCAGGAATCCTTTTCCAAAGACACGTCAGATATGTACGAAGCCTCCGAACAACAAGATTCCCAAGAGTCAACTCAAGCTGTTCCTAGGCCGCAAGGACCAACCCGTACGGCCTCTGTCGACGCCATCAAAACCTCGGGCTCGACACCACAAATTCCCGAGGAGCCCGCGGAGGAAGAAGAGCGTTCTGGAGCACAACCTATGGAAATTAACAGACCCTTCCCCGAACGATCATCTTCGCAACAAAATCCTGTTCAGCATCTACCACAAACGCCAGCAGCCCTTGCCGAACCCCCCGCGCGTTCAAGTAAGAGACCAAACTACAATCAACCGCAGGCTGCAGGCGGGACCTCACAGCCAGCTAGGACTCCCAATAGTCCTAACCGACCGCTCAATGACATGTCGCAAAGTCCATCGCCTTTCCCCGTTAGCAGCGCCACCAGTACTGAGGCCTTAACTTTTATCCCTACGTATTCTGCACCTGAGGAGAAGAAACCAGAAAAGAAGGGTAAGAAAGATAAGGGCGAAAGCGAAAGTGAAAAATCCAAGTCCACATCCTGGAAATGGTTCAAGAGTGATGACAAGGAAAAGAAAAAGAAGGAGGATGAGAACAAGAAGTCTAGGGCTAAGGCACTTGTGGAAAAGGCCCACGACAACGTTCGCCTCGATGTCCTTCAAACCTCGATCGATACAGCCATCAACAAGGGACGAGAGAGCCTGTTACTTGACCGTGAGAGTGTCGACAGCAAGCTAGAAGAAGAGAGGAAGAAGGACAGTCGAAAATCTACCGATCAGAAGAAAGAAAAGGATGGCATCTTCGCCTCGTTCTTCGGCAGTAGCAAGAGAAAAAGCGAAAGAGATTCGGGCAGTAGGAAACATCAAGCTCAAAGATCATTGTCGCCTGAACCGACTCCATACCGACCCCAACGGCCTGATGTTGACTATCACTGGACTAGGTTCCCTCTCTTGGAGGAACGGGCTATCTACCGAATGGCGCATATTAAGCTCGCTAATCCTCGCCGTGCCCTCTACAGTCAAGTCCTGCTTAGCAACTTTATGTATTCATACTTAGCAAAGGTCCAGGCGATGCACCCTCAGATACAAGTTCCCCAGTCACCTCAGCAGAAGAGATTGCAAGAGGAGGAAAGACGGCGACGTGAGCAGGAACAACAGTACTTGGAGCAGCAGCAAGCTCAGGAGAACATGGATCAATACAATTTTGAATACCATCGAGTAAGTACTCATACAGAACCCTGTGGATTCTAGCTCTGACCTGTCTTTAGTCAAACCAACAGCAATACGGTGATCCTAGCATGCAGCACGAAGCAGGAGATTATCCAGAAGCAGCTGAAGTCTACGACTACGGGCACAACAACAAGGATCAGACAAACCGCGACAGTGACTATCAGGATGCTGATTATAACAGCCAGGACGCAGATAAAGACTATTACTCCACTTACGTGCAATACCACAGCGAAAACGGCCGCCGCCAGCAGCAGCAGTCGGGAGAGGGAGAAATGTGGTGATAGCCCTATAGGCCAAGCAGGGATCGATAAGCACACACTTGCACCACAATCATGTCAGTGCATAACCCCGTGGCTTCGGCCGCGTGAACCTGCTACGGATTTCGTGAAGGGTATTTTATCAGGAGCCCAACGAAAGCCATTAGCCCATCCCTTATATCCACTCCACACAAATAGGGCGTCCTCTCCGTTTTTTGTTGTTTTTTTTTCGGACGGATAGCAACAGACAGCATGGTGCCCCGAAAACGGGATTTTTGAATAGTATTTGTAGTGCCTAGGGGTATGGGACTAAGTAGCCTTTTTTTACACCCCCGAGTCTATTCGACCATCTATCTATCTACCCCATACGTAGGGTAAAGCTAGGACGTACGTACCAAAGCGGGGAAGGAAAAGAAAATTGAGGGGACGGGATGGAATACATATATTCATTGTAGTAGCATCTATCAGGATGTTTGTAAGGGTTGAAGCTAGGGCATAGCACGGACGGAAGGGACCTAGAGAGAGAGCTTGTAGATGGGGTGGTTGGTGTGGATGCGGTGGATGTGGTGGTGGATGTGGGTGGAAAAAAAGCATAGCAACACCCCCTGGATCATAATAAGAATTAAATTTGGCCTCCAGGCCCGAATGAGCTACGTTGTTAGGATTTGATTGATCTTGATTGTTGTGTGATGTTGCTGTAGGTTTTTATGGAGTGTTGTTCCGTGTACGGCGTACGGTTATGTCTTGAGGATGTTATATGTTTGCTTATGTTTAGGTCATATGTCGATGCCGAGTAGGTACTATAGAGTACCATATTAGAATCTAGATCGATCTTGTGTAAAATGTGTTTAATGAGTAGCGTTTAGTTTAGTGAGGGTTATGTATGGGAGATGACAGCATTACATGAATAGAAAGACAGAATCTCAGACGAATCCATATTATTATTTCAAGACTTCTTCAACGCGACCACTGCCTACACGATGCGGTTAGGTTCATCACGTGGACAGCACAGAGTATACCATCTACTTAACAAACTTGTTTTCATTACACAGAAGTTGGCAAGTAAATTGTATCTGTTTTTTTATGGTGCTGCAACAGTTATCCTAGACTCCAGGTACCATGCTTGATTGTGCATGGTACCTGTGAAAGTATTTGAAGGTAAATTTTTGTGTGATTGCGAAAACGGCGCCGTAATCACCTCTAAGAAGTTGCACCTTATATTTATGTGCTACGTGCCTTACATATTGATTTTATGACTATTGCCCTGGGAGGGGCCAAAAGGACTGATTCCAAACTATAGAGTGGAATGAATACCTAGGGCTAGACTTGCGCTTTTACAAGACTTCACATGTATTCAGTAGATACGCACTGCGGGCTAGGGTGATAATCTTTGATATCGTAAAAGGTAGATTGGGTTCTTTGAGGCTGTGGGAACTCGAAACAAGACATCCAAGACTAAGGGTACCTTAATGTGAATAACTCTCAGCTCATACAGTAGGTTCATGTGTTGGAATTCCTCACCAGGCAGCAAAGCCATTCCTACGCCGTTTGATTCTGTTGAAGAGAACGCGTGATTAATACCGTAAGTACAGCAAATATTACAAGAAATAGCTACGTAGCAGAAGTGATTTATTAATGCTTACCTTCCAATTATCTTCTTTTCACAGCGATGCGGATTCTTATTTCATCCCAACTTGGACATATGTCTGACATGTTCAACATGGTAAAAAAAAAAAAAAAAAAAAAAAAAAAAAGGATGTCTCTCTGCATTACTGTGTCGTCGGCCTATGTCACGGCCTATGTTGTTGCAGTCCTCTGGGCTGCCGTGGTATTTTCTCCGGGCCGAACGCGGGTCGGCGCCGGATGGCTAGATTACGGTCGGGACCACCCTGACCGCCTTTGCTGTGCCCGTTTACGCTGTTTGTACCGTGCCGGCTCCCGGCCGAGTTAACTCTTCTGATTCAGATACAACCTATCTCCAACCTTACGCTGGTTTGAGTAAGTGTAATACAAAAAAGATCAGCCCCCGCCCCCCCTCTTTTCACCACCTGCAAATGTAGGAATATCCTCACGTGTCCCCCAGCGGCAACAATATTTACCGGGTCTTTCTTCTCCTTCCCCTTCATTTCGACATCAGCCATGGTAGATAAAAATATTTCTATCAACATAGTTATTTTTACCAAATTTAGATAGTGCGTACTTTTCTGTAAACAACACGATACTACCTACCATCACAAAATTAAGACACATAATACTTAACTTGCTCGTCGCCTCTCTTACATCACATAGTATCAACTTTCGTAATCCCATGTTTTTTTTCTCCGTGCGTCTCCAACTTTCGTGTTAGACAAACCTTCCCATAGGCCAGCAAACTTGTCAATCAGCACTCATCCCCACGGTTCTAGACCGGGACATGGCTGCTGATTTGCTCTTGAATAACTACGAAGTACTGAATAGAATGGAAGCCAAGGAAGGATGTGATGACGAAGCGATGCAAGTCTGAAGATGTTCATAAGCCACAGACGTACAGCATGGCACAGTACAAACTTCTAGCTTCCCTCAAAACTCGTTGAGAGGAAGAAGTGTGTTATGGTCACGGTCTACTAGAAAAACACAATGCTTTCTTATGTACGAACTGATGGGAATCAGGTATGAACCTGGACAGTTCTATTAACTGAGTCATGTTGATGTTTTCCTAGTAAATAGCCCCCCCCCCCACTAATATAGATGGGGATATAATACAGCTACGGACGTATTAATTATACATAGTAGAGATAGGTAAATACCCGTGATTCATCTGGTATCTCGAACATAGCTTAGTAAACCTTGTGCGTGAATGCCTACATAAGAATAAGAATAATTATGAATGGGTTTAGGTAGCTACACGTAGGTTAGGTAAGGCCGGTTTAGGCTTTGGGGAACAGGGGGACATGAGGACAGGGGGGAGAGTAGAGTAGGTACGTGCACGATTATGGAAGAGTGCAAGTACAGTATACTTAAAGCTCCCCCCATATATACCCAGATAATACTAAGATAATACTGAGATTATACCCAGATATACCCCTAGTCGGGGAGTATGCAGTGAGTATCCCGGTACATGCAAATGATCAAGTGGATCGAGGCTGAAGAATATATCCAATCAGAAGTAGTAAAGCTCATGATTGTCGCGAGTTCCCTACTCCCAGTCCAACTTTTTTCGGGCGCCCCAAACCTTCGTAAACTGCTTGTCGCTGCTGAAAATCCAAAAAGCTCCCGACCTCATTCATCACCATCTCTCCCATATTCAACATCTCTACTACCAAACGGCCCTCCGACGAGTCTGAAATCCTCCTAGGTCGTGCCAATATCAATTCAAGATAGACTCCTCCTTTTAGATACCCGTTTCTGTGAATTTGGCATTGAACTTAACTACTTATTAACCTCGTCGAGCCACCTGGCCATCTCCTGGTCTTCATCCGTACACGGACACGCGCCTCATCACCTCCTACTCTACTACCTCCTCCTCCCCCCTCTTTACGATCCGTAACTCTCGACTGTCGACAGTCCACAGCTCCTCTTTGTAACGGCTTTCAGGCATCCGACAATTTATTCTCGGCACCAGGTCGAAACCCCTCATTACCGCGGAGACTGATTGTCCATGGCTGTGAGTTCTCTGTTTTAATTGTTTTCCTAATCCTGCGCATACAACAAAACTTTCACCACAACTTGCACATTGAAGAATGGAATAGTTTGCTTTCCTTTCTTCAACTGCAATAATCACATTTGGGACTTCTTTACTTTCCAACATTTCGAACTATCTTCTTGCCAACACTAGCAGAAATCATAAGAAGTCTTCGAATACTTTCGTGATGTATCATAATCTTTTTCCTAACCCCCAGAGCGGCATGGCTCCTCGTGGCCCTGTAGCTCCTATACTTCATCAGCCTCGCCCTCTTCATTTACCTCATCTTCACTACCCTCCCCCTCCCCTCAATCCTCAACCGTTGCCTTCGCAGTTACCGCTTCAGTTGCAGTTGCAGCAGCAGCAGCAGCATCGCCTGCCGCAACAGCCTATCCCTCTGCCCTTCCCTCATCCCCCCTTGGCTCCCGTCCAGAACTGTCCACACTGTCCACACTGCCAGCAGCAGCAGCAGCAGCAGCATCGCATGCCGGCCTTGCAGCAGCACTGCTTGCGTGGCGGCACAGCTTTCATAGCGCCGGTTGCAAACCTTCAATTTCCCAATCTGCAGAGTAATCAGCCTCATAACCAGCATCGCGCTACTGGTCATGTCAACCCCACTGTCCAAGGCGGTAGTGTCCGTCCCCATCAGCAACCACTAGGCGGTAATCAGCTATCTCACCTGCCTCATTCTAGTCACCGATTCATTCCAGCAGTTAGAACTGATCCTCGATCGCTTATGACTAACCATTCTCAGCAACGTTCTTACAACCAAGGCTATATGCCCAACGGCACTCCTAGCCACCCTACCCCTGGCCAACCCGCGCCCGGCGCCGTTCCCCTTCTACCTAACCAGGGCCGTATTGTTCAGTCGGGCCCTATTCGAGTTCTCTGCATAGCCGATGTACGAGGTAAGATAATACGATAAGTTCTAATTATCGATAGGAATATGCTAATAATTCTCCAATAGGTAATCTTCGATCCCTGAACGAACTTGCGAAGACCGCGCGAGCCGATCACATCATTCACACCGGAGACTTTGGTTTCTACGACGACACATCCCTGGAGCGCATTGCAGAGAAGTAAGATTTGGAATTTTGTTATTACGGTTAGGTAAACTGAACGGTATTCTAATTGCGTTGTAAAAAAATAGGACCTTGAAGCATGTTGCTCAATACTCGCCGTTGATTTCCGAGGAAGTAAAGAAGGGTATCAGTCAAGGTGGACCGGGCTCAGTTAAGGCGCGATTCAACCCTCAAGATCTACCCTTATCGGAACTGCCTCTGCTTATCAGCGGCCAAATCAGACTCGAGGTCCCTGTTTACACCGTATGGGGTGCCTGTGAAGATGTGCGCGTTCTGGAGAAGTTCCGCTCCGGCGAGTACAAAGTACACAACTTGCACATCATCGACGAGGCTCGATCCATGCTCTTAGAAATTGGGGGAGTCAAGTTGCGACTTCTTGGTCTTGGTGGTGCGGTGGTCATGCACAAGCTGTTCGACAATGGTGAAGGTCGAACTACTATTGCAGGCGGACAGGGCACTATGTGGACTACCCTACTCCAGATGGGCGAGTTGGTTGATACCGCGAATCGTGTTTACGATCCTACGGAGACTCGCATTTTCATCACGCACGCCTCTCCTGCTCGCGAGGGCATACTGAACCAGCTTTCCGTCAGCCTTAAGGCCGACTTCTCTATCTCAGCAGGCCTGCATTTCCGATATGGCAGTTCTTACAATGAGTTTAGTGTTAACCCGACCCTCGATCACTACCGTGGAAAGCTTGCCGCTTCTAAGGCTTCGTTTAACGATGTATGGGAGACAGTTAAGGGCGAGGTCGAACCGGCAATCCAACAGAACGAGGCCCAGCAGAATCTGCTCAGAAACGCGCTGGAACTGGTCGACAAGATGCCTAGAACCGCAGCTGGTGGAAATCCCTTTGGTGGTCCGGTCGGTGGTCCTGGTGCCCAGGGTCAGGTCGATGAAAGCGCGTTCAAGAATATGTGGAACTTCAACTTGGCAGACGCCGCATTTGGTTGGCTAGCTCTGGAAATACAAGATGGCCGCATTGGTACGGAGATGCGAGCACAAGGGTTCAACTTTTCGCACCGTGGGGCTAAGCAGCAGACTGCTATACCCCAGAGCACGCCTTCACCTGCGGCTGTCAGCAGCGGCTTAACTCCCTCGGCTCCCGCAACTTCTGTGACCCCTGCACCTACTGTTGCTGGTCCTCAAAGAACCGCTTCAGCTACTGTGCAACCGTCAAAGCCTGCCGCAGCAACTCCGCTTCAACCGCTGAAGCCCGCCACCCCAAAGCCTACAACTGCATCCCCGGCCCCTAGCACGGCTGCTGGAAAGGAGAACGACAAGCCTACAGGGGCTAATGGATCAGCCAACGGCCCTGAAACTGCACCATCACCAGCTCCCCGAGCTTCTGCGGATAGCATCATTGGCTTGTTTGTTATGAACGTCCAAAGTGACGATCAGACTCGAGAGATCTTCCCCGATGAACATAAGGCGAAGATCGTTAAGATCGAGAAGTGGGGCAGCAATAGCAACAACAAGGTTGTCCACTTCCACAGCATCGAAGACCGAGAGGCTGCCTACTCCAGTCTCGCTGACGATTTCAAAGTCCGTCACTCAGAAGATCGATCAAGACCTCTGGTGAAGATATTCCAACCCCGCGAGTCCAAGCAGACATACGGTGGCCGAGGCGCAGGAACCTGGGGTAGTGGCCGAGGACGAGACAACGCAAGCGGATACCGAAGTGCTGGTGACCGTGGCACCCTTAGCGGTGGTGAAAGCGGTCCCGAGACTGGTCGTCAACGTGGAGGCCGAGGTGGTACTCGCGGAGGCCGAGGTGAGCGTGGTGGCCGAGGCGGTCGAGGCGGCCGTGGAGGCTTAGGCAAGGGTGAAGGCGGCAGCGCTTCGCCTGCCCCGGGTGGCGATTCATAGTGGAATCGCCGATGACAATGGTTCTACCGACATTGTCTACTATATTCTACTAATATCCTCGTGTGGCCGGACGCGAGATAACTATTCTTTTGCTTGTATCCTGGCACGTTCATCCAAGCAAAACTTTTCTGTCGTTGACCAGGCGGAGTTCAGAGAATCTGTCAGCCTGCGAAGGGATGAGTTGCGTTCGAGGGGAAAAAAATACCAATTGTCGTTTTCGTCATATCGAGGGTGGGGAGTGAGGGCGAGGCACGGGGTTTCAGTGATTGAAAGGACGGAAGGACGGAAGGACGGATGTATATGGTTTGCAGTAACATAAATCTGCTAAACGTACTTTCGTGCGAACGTTTTTTCGTCTTCTCTCTCTCTCCTTGGTGACCTGACCTAGTACTGAGATGAAAGTGGTTTTCTTCTTCTTCGCATTGATACAGATGATGGCTGGCCCGTATGATGATGATGATGACGACGACGGTGATGATTCGATCTCTGGCGTCTTTTGTCTATAAGGGACGGACATGCATACATGGCATGCATGCATCGTTCTCTCGACTGACTAACTGACTTTGCCTTTGTACACACCTGGTCTGGAACGAGCCGGACAGGAGAGGGATCGGATCGGATCGGATCGGATCAAATCGGATGTTGTGATAGGCTTTTGCTAATGCAAACCGAATGAATTAAACTCTGAAAAAAAAAAAAAAGGTTGTGTTGTGATGTGTTGGTTTGCTCGTCTCGTAGGAAGCAAGTAGGGAGTATAATGATTGATAGCTATAGGTACCTAGGTAAGGCAAGGTAAGGTGAGGCAAGGTAAAGGTAAAGGTAAAAGGGGGCCGGGGCGTAGACTCGTAGATAGGAGATGAGAGATGAGGTGAGGTAAGCCTCGTTCTGGATTTTACTAACAGGTATGTAGGCATGTAGAGAACTAGACTTTTGAGTACAGAGGTAGGTAGAGGTATATTTCGTATAGGCAAGCAAGCAAGCCCCCCGCGGGGGGGGGGGGGGGTTAGAAGCAGGTAGGAGACAGAGCAAGCCGTGGCATTGACATTTCCTTCTTGCTAACATGACTGGCGTATAATGACTACCAGCTAGGTATACTCAATATGCTTATGCTATGCTATACTATGCTACTTGAACGGAGGAGGAGAATCTATAAAGGTCGAGCGCGCGGTGGCGCTATATTATGGTACAGTACGCTTTTCGTCCAACCTTCTTTTTCCCTATCTGGCTTCAGCGCATGCTTTTTTCTCTACGGAGTAGAACCCCTGAAGACGAGTGATTAATAGGTAGGTATACAAGGCTTCTTTCCCCCCTTATTCCCCCCCTTTTCCTTTACCCCCCTAATCCCTAATCCCTAGCATGCATGTACAGCCAAGAAAGACCGCACACATTTAATTTCACAGCGGTTTCATGCCCTTATGGATAGCGGCCACGCCGCCGGTCAAGTCCTCCCAGCCCTTGCCGCCGACGACGAAGCCGGCGTCCTCGATCATGTCGCGGAACTGGTCCTGGGCGGGGAAGCGCTCGATGCTCTCGACGAGGTACTGGTAGGAGTCGCGGTCGCCGGCGACGAGGTGGCCGATGAGGGGGATGGCGCCGAAGCTCCAGCGCTTGTAGACGGCGTCGAAGGCCGGGTTGGTCACCTTGCTGAACTCGAGGCAGGCGAAGACGCCGCCGGGCTTGAGGACGCGGTAGGCCTCGGCCAGGGCGGCGGGGATGTTGGCGAAGTTGCGGATGCCGAAGGCGACCGTGTACAGGTCCAGCGAGTTGTCCTCGGGGACCGTGGGGCACGGCGCGGTGTTGGGGGGTTGGAAGGAGGTGGCGTCCGCGACGAGGAAGGAGAGGCCGGCTTGTTGGGAGGCCGGCAGGGAGAGCGAGCGCTGCTTGCCGACGGCGAGCATGGAGGGGTTGATGTCGGAGATGGTGACGTGCACGTCCGGGTTGCGGTTGAGCACGTGCGCGTGGTGCAGCATCCGGAAGGCGATGTCGCCCGTGCCGCCGGCGACGTCGAGGATGCGCTGGGGCTTGGGGGGAGTGGAGGTGGAGAAGCCCGGGTTGAGGGAGGAGACGAAGTGGTCTCTGTTTTTTTTTAAAGTAAGAATAGGACGAGAGAGTCAGCTCAGCTTTTATTATTGTTATGATTATGATTGTGATTATGATTGTGATTGTGATTATTATTACAACTACTTAACCTAAGCTAGGTAACCAGGCTAGAGAGGAGGGAGAGAAAAAATAGGATACGCACTTCCAGACGCGGTGCCAGCCAAAAGACATTAGGTCGTTCATGCGATCGTAGGACTCGGCGACGCTGTGGAACACGCCGGCCACGCGCTCCGTCTTCTCGGACTCGGAAAGGCCATCCTGGAAACCGAAGTGCGTCGTGCTGTTCCTATTTCTGCTGGCGGCATTATTATTGTTGTTGTTGGTGGCGGCGGATTGTGCTTGGGAGGCAGATGTAGAGCTTTGGGAGAGCTCGGGGTTGGAATTGCGTATCGTTGTGCTGAACAGTCGGGTATACCCGGTAGAAGAAATCGGTCTTGATACTCGTACAGCTGCGCGCAGGACTGATTGCGGGCGGGCGGCCATGGTTCTGCGCTGTTTTCTGGCCGTCGCCTGGGTTCGAGGAGGTTTCCTGGGAAGGGGGGGTTATATATTAGAAGAGGGAGCCAATTGAGGTCAAAATAGACATAGAAAGGTGAAAGACAGCCGGGCCCGTTTGGAGGTTTGAAGGGTTGAAGCTACGGGCCAAAAAAAACTGCGGATCGAACGGTCGATAAGGACGATCTCCGTCCGGCATTGTTCTCATGTACCCACGTATCCATGTATTCAACCCATGTGGGGGGGGTTCGCTCGGGTGGCTTCCGCGAAGTATCACTAGCCACAGCGGGCTGGGCCCTATTAGACTTGACTAATGGGGCCAGATGTTGGACTTGACACTAAAATAAGACATCCTAGCTCTTGCGTTCTGGGGGTACGAGAGATGATTGGTGGAAATAGAAACCATTCATCTTCAACACCAGACATTACATAGAGAGGTGTTCTACTCGTAACGAAAAAAAGATTAAAAAAAAAATTGTAATATGAAAGAATAATTTCCATCGGAGAGCTTACCTTGTTAGACCACAACCGCGGCGTCGGTCGACGATTCTCGCTCCTGACGTTCCTGACGCTCCTCTCGAGCCGCTCGTCGTCGTTCTTGCACTCGGCGCTGATGCTGCTTTGCGCGGTACATGAGCATGGCGAACTTTTCGGTCAGCGAGTAACCGAAGCATATGAGAATGGCGAGGATTGGGACGAGTATCATGACAATGATGCCGATGGCGGTGGACTTGCTAATTTCTGACATTTCCGAGGCAGCGTAACGCTTCTGACTAGACGTGTTAGGTATCTAGCCTACCAGTATTTGTTGGCCGCTGTTAGATGCCGCGTTGTACGGATAACATACCGGAGAGAATTTCGACGATGCAGAGTTATGCTTTTTTTTAAAAAAAAAAAAAATCAAAGTTTTCCAATGGGTTTCATGTGTGTAGAGAAACTGTTGTTATGGTGGTATATACGACGAAGGTTGCCCATTCAATCCAAACTTCCGGTCCATGGTTGGTTTCTGAGCAACGCCCGATGTTTGGAACGCCGTCTTGTTTACGTACAGGTGGGGGACCTCGATTCTCAACTGCGTTACGCATCTAGCTTTGGCCGTATGTATTTCGGGTTTGAAATTACCTAGGTACGCTTTGTGTAGCTCGATTCTCAACGCGACTGTTGAAGTGATCGAGGACCCGTCCTACATATCCTACATTTCATACACCCTAGTTAAATAATTCTCAATGATAAGAAGTAGGTGGAGTTCTGGCGCCGTTCACAAGGTTTGGGAGTTATAAGACCAAACTACTCCTAGGTAATGCCATAGTAAATTATGCTTTTCACATGAATATTATTACACAATGTTCTTCTCGTCTTGAGTATTACATAATTGCTGCCAATGATCTAACAGAAGACGTTTAGGCTTATGTAATACTACCTGTTAGTCAAAAAAAGAAAAGCTGGGGAAGTTAGCTTTCCCTCGGTCTAGGCCTTTTTTCGCTTTACGCCGGCTTAAGTGACGTCGCTACCCTCGGTATCCGCTATCCCGTCTCACCTGCAATGTCGGGGCAGAGACCATGGGGTTAACTTCTGGTTAACTTCCGCTGTTAGGTAGTCTTATGTCTTTTAAGTTATTTAACGTTCAATTGAGATTTGCATATGTGAATAGTCCACGAGATACTATGATCTAGCTACAATGAGGTCGCAAATATTCTCTGGGGCATTGCTACGAAGGGCGTCGGGCTCGGTGCTCTGCTGCCCTCGTGTTCCTGGCTTTCAACAATCTGCTCGGTTAGCCAGCAGTATATCGCAACGCCCGGGATCGAGCCATGTATCATTCCCTGGTGCCGTCAAGAGTGCATTCACCAGCGACCTCAAATTCGTTGTGCCCTCCGATTACCCTGCCCTACCCACATACCGAGCGGTCGACCAACATGGCAATATTGTCGATAATTCATTTAAACCAGACCTTGGCGAGGAAGAAGTTGTGAAACTATATAGAGACATGTTAACTATCTCGATAATGGATCCCGTCATGTTTGACGCCCAGCGACAAGGTCGTATAAGCTTTTACATGGTCTCGGCTGGCGAAGAAGCTATCAGCGTCGGATCGGCTTCGGCACTAGACCCACGAGATGTAGTATTCTGCCAATACCGCGAGCAGGGACTCTTCGCTCAGCGCGGGTTTACTTTGAAAGACTTTATGAACCAACTATTCGCTAATAAACACGACCCGGGGAAGGGTAGAAATATGCCTGTACATTATGGAAGCAAGGAGCTGAATATTGTATATCTGGATCCCGTCTCTTTATACTCGCTTCATTGCTAACCTTTCTAAATAGCATACAATATCGTCGCCTCTGGCCACGCAGATACCCCAGGCGTCCGGAGCCGCGTATGCTTTGAAGATGCAACACATAAATGACCCGTCTGTACCTCCCCGCGTGGTTGCTGTCTACTTCGGCGAAGGCGCTGCCAGTGAAGGAGACTTCCACGCAGCTTTGAACATCGCTGCGACGCGATCCTGTCCAGTTATATTTATATGCCGTAACAATGGTTACTCTATCTCGACACCGACCCTGGAACAGTACCGAGGAGATGGTATTGCTAGCCGAGGAATTGGCTACGGAATTGATACTGTAAGAGTGGACGGGAATGATCTTTGGGCGGTTAGAGAGGTGACCAAGAAGGCGAGGGAAATGGCCCTTCAGGACGGAGGTAAGCCGGTTTTAATCGAGGCAATGAGTTATCGTGTCAGCCACCACAGCACATCCGATGATTCTTTTGCGTACCGGGCAAGGATGGAAGTGGAAGACTGGAAGCGCCGGGATAACCCTATCGCGAGACTACGGAAGTACATGGAGGCAAAAGGGTTTTGGGACGAGTCCAAAGAGAAAGAAGCTCGGGAAAGCATCAAACGGGATGTGCTAAAAGCCTTCTCCGAGGCGGAACGGGAGAAGAAGCCGCCTATTCGGACAATGTTCGAGGATGTTTACGAGGAACTTACCCCTGATCTGAAGGCTCAGATGGAACAGCTAAAACACCATCTTGAGAAGTACCCTGACGAGTACGACCTTGCCGAATACGAAGGTGGCATCAACAGCCTAAAGCCATGAGTAAAATTTCATGATTAGAGTCCAGAGAGATACCCGTCAGTACGAGGAAGAGAAGCACTGGTATCTAGCTAGAAGATTACTTACCTAATGTGTAGATGCATTTCTGGTAACTGTACCTTCTGTAGAATATCAAGTATACAAATTGGCAATTAGAAAGTATATGAACAACTACCTTCATCGTATGGCCATTGAACTGCAATATTTCCTATCTATTATTAGTTGGCAGAGACTGGGGATATAACCAACGCTTATAAGCCACGTCGGACAAAGTAATATGTCGTCGGGATTTAATAAGATAAAGCAAAATATTTTATTAGATTAATCTACTAATTAGGCCAAAGCAGCAGGAATTGTAAGAAACATGCTGGCCATGTCGAATGTGTTAATGGCAGCAATGTGAAAATGTGTGAAGTAAAAAAGGAGGACGAATGAACCAGTGATGTCATCGCTTGGCCTAGTGCTGCTTAAACTGAAATATCGAAGCACAACTATTAGGTCATTAACTGTGTATAAGCTTTTACCTAAATAAGCGTATATATAGTGCAATATGTTGGACAATTTTAAAGTTAATATCGAGATACCTCAGAAAACAAGGATGTAAACAGTTCAAAAAAGAGCCTCAAGAAACGGGGTTTTTTTTTTCTCTGTTTTTTTCTCTCTTTTTATACTTGGTAATCAAACATCTCAACGTTATCGATTGGTGGGTATTGCATACCTACTTGGTACATTAGCCCAATGTAGTACATAAGGGTCTAATCACACCCCTGCTCAGCAAGTTCTCATCTCATTAGCATTGATCAAGTAGGTACTTTATGCTATGCAGGTAAGTAGTACCTAACCTAACAGGATATAAGCAGGTAAGGTGGCGTATGCACGTATATTTACAAGGTCCCTTGTTACGAGCGGTATATCCCTGTAGGCACTTACTCTAATCTGTCTAACCTACCTTAGACTAGTAGGTACTTTAAAGCACTATAAACCTCTCAGTTGCCACTATCGATACACCCTGTTACGCCATTAATAAAGTACAGTACAATATACGCCCTACCCGCGCGAACTATTACAATTTACAGGGTCTTAGAGGGGATAGAGTACGGCTACAGACAGCCTGGCAGTCGGGTCTTGCTTATGGGTTTAAAGTGTCTTTAGGTACCACCTAACACACACCTAACACACACCCGCACAACCCACCCTACCCTTTCGCCCAACCATCTAGCCGCCCGCCGACGCATTCAAATGAACCTCCTCCGATAGCACCTCCTTCGTCTGAAAGCTTTGACGACAACAACTTTGTCGTCTGACTTTCCATCATCTATATTGTTCCACCTGTGACGGCATCGACGATTTATTAGTTGCTTTCGTGTATATCAAGCCGAATACATATCGAATTGATTCGTATCGTTCCTTATTAACGACTAATCGATTCCGACCGACGTCCTCGTTTTCATTCTCGTTCCTCCATTTCCACAAGTGGGTTTTCCAACAAAAAAAGGAGAAAAAAAAGTGTGGAAGAAGAGGTTGAGTGGGTGGCCGAGGTCTCAAACTCTTCAGGAAAATCCAACGCTGTCGAGCCTCATGGCGTAATCCATGGCAGAACGAAAACCCTCTGCTGCCAACCTGCGCTCTCGATCGGCAGTCGATAACGATCCTCAAGCGCGACTTCCGTCTATTACAGACTTAAATCTGAATTTGAACTTGCGATCGAACGCACCTGCCTCGTCGCGGTTCTCCTCCACAACATCCAGGTACGATAGACATACCAGTTTTCAAATATCCTTTCTTTAATGTACCCTCAAATTGTCAATAAACACACCTGCCCTCTCATACACCTACACACGCACAATATCTTCCTCCATCACAGTCCACACAAGTTCACCTTAATCAACCTACACCATATGATCGATACCTTGGTACAACACAACGAGTACCACTTTTTCTTTTTTTCTCTCTCTCTCTTCCCGTCTCAAATCTGATTGCTCTTCAACCTCCTTCAATCAACCCAATTCAGGTTCTTCCCCCGTTACATATCATCGTTCTTCCTCTTGCCGTATTTCTACTTCTTCGTCGATTGTTCTCTCCTTAATACATCATCCAGCCATCCGCCATCCGCCTGTCCAGGGCTAGTGCCTTGAGGTTGACATCCATAATTTCGAGGGAGGGGTACGAGTTCGAGCTCTGAACAATAATATCAACAAGAACAACAAGAACACCTCTCTTGTATTTGATGCCTCGACTCGTACATATCAAGGTACCTTCTTTGTGTTACCCCGGCCGTAGCAATCCACGTCCAGTCGGCGCCGTTGGTTGCTGTGCTAGTTGTCACGGAGAAAAGCCAAGCGTACCTAGCTTTGGACAAGTGTAAAGGTGCCATATAACGGTGCTTGCAACGGTGCCTACGAACTGTCAACAGAATAAACCTAATTCTCGTTACTTACGAGACCTGTCCCACTGTCCAAGCTTCCGAGGCAAGGCTTAAAAAAAAACCCTCTCGCCTTCTTTCGACACCTCTCTTGCCCTCTCCACACTTAATTTTCGAGTCACTCTACTTACCTATTTTGTTTCGCATCCGTCCCCAGTAACTACATACTCATGTCTTCCAGAGTAACACGCTCCTCTGCGCGAAACGCAGCGAGCCAGGGAGCACTGCAGGGAGATCTTAACTCCCCCCAAGCTTCTACCCATTCGCCTGCAATCCCCGGAAATAGTACAAATACGAACCAATCCGCCCAATCTTCATCGAAACCAGTATCTTCGCGAAAGAGAAAACCAGCATCGGCTGAGAATAGCTCGCCGACCCAACCTCCACAGAACGAACCGACCGCATCGACTCGTCGATCAAAGCGGCAGAAAGTTTCGGAGCAGCAAGCTCCTCAACCCGCAGCTGTACCTCCGCCTACTCCCACTACCCGCAAGCGGAAAGGGAAGAATACTGCTTCTATGTCTAGTCCAGCAGGGTATGTTTTTTTCTTCTCTTTTTTTTGTTTTTTTGTAAACGGTAATCTTTTGGGATGCATAATCGATACTGATAATTTGCCCACTGCAGTTCTGACCCACTCCCACCCACCAGGATGCAGGACTCTACCATTTCCACTTCAGCCTCGTCGAGCCGCAAGTCGAGTCGCAATAAGAAGAACAGCCAGGCTGCTCAAGGTATGGAAATTTTTTATCATCATGCTAATTCATCCTATCGCGTGCTAACTTTTACGAATAGATTCTTCTGCGACAGGTGCTTCCGGCTCTACGCGCCGCTCGAAGCGAACATCTAGTAACCATCCACCTCCTGATCAAGACACTACTATGACTGGTACCAAAGATCATGAAGATGAAGAAGAGGCTCCACCGCCGCCGCCGCCGCCACCTCCGCCGGCGCATGACCCCGACGAAGATAACAGCGATGACAACGACGACGATGATGATGAACCCCACCGCCATTACGACGACGATCCGTTTGGTGGATTCGGAGGTCCTCCAGGATCGGGCTTATCCAATACCCTTAGGGCGCTAACTGGTATGATGTCTGGGCTCTCGTCGAGGCTGCGTGATATTCTCCACAATCTTCGGCAAAAAGAAGATCCAACGGCACAGTTGGTAGCTCTGCAGGAACTGGCTGAGATTCTCCTGGTTTCCAATGAAGATAATCTGTCGGGACATTTCTCTCCCGATGCTTTTGTAAAGGAGTTGGTGACTTTGATGCAGCCTAACGAGATCACCGGCGAAGAAAATTCGGAGATTATGCTCCTCGCTTGCCGATGTCTCGCGAACTTGATGGAGGCTCTACCAGCTAGCGCTGCTAACGTAGTCTACGGCGGTGCTGTACCAATCCTATGCCAAAAGCTCCTAGAGATTCACTACATTGATCTTGCAGAACAAGCACTGAGCACGTTGGAAAAGATATCTGTCGAGTATCCCACTAGCATCGTCAGAGAAGGCGGCTTAACTGCCTGTCTCACATACTTGGACTTCTTTCCTACGGGTACCCAACGAACTGCCGTTACGACTGCTGCCAACTGCTGTCGCAACATTCCGGAAGATTCCTTCAATGTCATCACCGGCGTTATGCCAATTCTTCTAAACGTGTTGAACAGCAACGACCAACGGGTCGTGGAACAAGCATCGCTCTGCGTTACTCGTATAATCGAGAGCTTCAAATACCAATCGTCAAAGCTGGAGCAGCTCGTTAGTGTGGATTTACTGAAAGTCATATTGAGGCTTCTAGTCCCCGGAACTACGAATCTCATCAGCGCCAATATCCATACCCAATTTCTCCGGGTGCTAGCGATCACGGCCCGTGCAAGTCCCAGTTTGTCGGCGGAACTCTTCAAGTTAAATGTGGTGGAAACACTCTATCAGATTCTCACAGGCGTCTCTCCTCCTAGTGAGACGGAAGATGTTGCCTCGAAACTTGATAGTGTGGTTATCATGCAAGCTTTGATCCATCGGCCACGTGAGCAAATCATCGAGACTCTTAACGTCGTCTGCGAGTTGCTTCCAGGTCTGATATGGAGCGACGATTCGGGCCCTTTGGTCCCCGTCGATCTTGACATTGCTGAATCCGTTGCTCAGTCGTCTTTTGGTTCCCGCAAGAAATCATCCAATGAGAAGAGACTCGAGCTGCTCGACGAGTGCAAGGATCAAGTTCGAAGATTTGCGTTGATCCTCTTCCCTACGTTGACAGACGCATTTTCAAGCACAGTAAACTTGAGTGTCCGGCAGAAAGTGCTTAATGCACAGCTGAAGATGCTATCTAATTTAGATAGGGACATCCTCGTCGACGCCCTTAAAGCTGTCCCTTACGCTTCGTTTTTGGCCTCCATATTATCACAACAGGATCATCCCTCGCTTGTCATGTCTGCCATTCAGATAACGGAACTTCTGCTAAATCGGCTAGATGACATCTATCGCTACCAGATTTATCGCGAAGGAGTCATTATTGAGATTATGAAGTTGGCTGCCGAGTACCAGGAGCCCGAGAACAAAACAACCGAGACGCCTGCAGACCACAGCATGGCATCTGGAGACGAGGAAGACAGGGTCTCGATACATAATGGCTCTGGGGACGAAGACGAGGAGGACCGCGAAGACGATGAAGACGAAGACGATGAGAACGACGATGAAGACCAAGAGAATGATCATCATGATGACGACATGTCCGGCTCGCCTGCTAGTTCTGATGGGTCTACTATGTCTATTGATGGGCCGCCTCGACCCTATATTGGTGATATCCCGTCTATGAAGACCCGCATCGCCGAGGCCGCCAAGAAATTCTTAGAGGCTCATGAGACGGAAAAGCACAGTAAATCCATGAAGAAGAAGGCCAAAAAGATCCTAGACAACCTCGAAGCGCTGGCTTCTGGGATCGAAGACTTCTATCTTAGAAGGACTGCTAAAGATCTTTCTCCCGAGAATGGGGCCGCCCTATTTGAAAAACTTGCCTCCTATTTCGATGCGGACGTCCTGGACAGTGTTACAAGCGCTGAGCTACTCTCTTCAGGGCTGGTACGCGTTCTGGAAGAAGTATTTAGCAACCCTGACGAGATGCTAGCAAATGCTGCCAGAGCCGCGTTCCTCGAAGTCTTCATGGGTCGTTATGTGAGCTCGAGACCTAAGACCGCAACCGCAGACTCTCCTGCGACCCCTTTTAGTATCTTGATCCACAAACTTCAAGATCTACTTAGTCGGTCGGAGCACTTTGAGGTTATTACCGTCCACCATAGTTCGTTCGATGGCAATCGCAGCAGCGCGGCGTCCATGTTGGCGAAGCAGATTAGGCTGAGGTTAGTCGCTGACGATGATTCTGACATCCCTCGTTCGTTCCGTAGTATCAATGTCCACATCCATGCAATTGCAACATTCAAAGCTCTGGATGATTGGTTACGACCCCGAATCACTTTGCACGAGCGCCCTCGCGGTTCTCGGCCTCGTGACGGATTATCTCGAGCACTCGCCGCGATGGCCAGCTCGGCAGGGCTGCCGTCGGCCGAACGACTAGCTGAGCGGCTGGGATCAAGTTATGCTGCCCCTCCTCCTCCTCTCCCAAACCAAGCTTCCAGTTCCCGCCAACCGCGAAGATCTAAGTCGAAGCAACCGGGTCAATCCGAGACCCCGTCTACCCCGGGCTCGGCAGCAGGCTCCGGCCGCGAGAAGGCAATTCTCCGCAGATCCACCCGACGTCAAGCAGCTCAACCAAGCGAGACTCATACACCGGCACCTCCCCCCCCGCCACCAGAGGATGACGAAAATTTGCAGAGTACGCTGGAATGTGCGGACGAAAAGCCGGTCACTGACGAGGACGAAGAAGCAGAGACTGCTGCCGATAGTAGCGCTCTCGACGCTATAGTTGGCGAGCTGGACGAAGATATGGAGGATGCCCCCGCTCGTGATCCGTCCGCGGTGAACTTGGTAGAGGCGGCTGGGGGGAAGATCACGGCCAGAAAAGAAGATGGAACTCGGGTCCCTACTCCAGCTCAGACTGGCGGTGCCAATCTACCGAATCGTAGTGCACCACCTCAACCCCCAGCATCGCAGCAGAGCACACCAACCCCCAGTGCTCCGTCTACTTCTCGATCGCTTTCTTACGCAGCTGCTATCCAGGCAATACCCCAGGATTGGCATATCGAGTTTAGTCTTAACGACCGGGTTATTCCTAATGAGACGACTATCTACCGCGCTGTCCACAATAACTCGTCCCTTCCCGACGATCATGTCAGCCGCAGCGTTTGGTCTACTATGCATGTTATAAAATTCCGCCGCGTGCCAGGACCTCCTCCCGCTGAGCCTATTGGATTCGGGCCTTCATTCGAGACTGCTTCCGATGTTAACGGCGTACCCGTTTCACTTGCAAACAATCCAACAACGGCTTCCATTCTCCGTCTGTTGAACATTTTACATGATCTCAATGCGAACATTGACGACATTATGGTGGAAAACAAGAATACCCTAAAATTGAACGTCGAGCCATTATCGCAGTTTGTCAATACAAAGTTGACTGCTAAACTTAATAGGCAATTGGAAGAGCCTCTCATCGTGGCTAGCAATTGCTTGCCAGGCTGGAGCGAAGACTTAGCCCGACTATATCCGTTTCTCTTCCCCTTTGAGACTCGCCACCTATTCCTCCAGTCAACTTCGTTTGGCTATGCTCGGTCTATGAGCCGATGGCAGAATGCACAGCAGGAAGAGTCACGTCGCGATCGACGTGATGATAACGTTTTCCTTGGTCGACTTCAGCGCCAAAAGGTGCGAATTTCGCGATCTAAGATATTAGAGTCGGCGTTGAAGGTGATGGAACTTTATGGGAGCTCGCAGAGTATTCTTGAAGTTGAATACTTCGAGGAGGTGGGAACTGGTCTTGGGCCTACTCTCGAATTCTATTCGACTGTCTCTAAAGAATTTTCTAAGAAGAAACTCAGGCTCTGGCGTGATATGGATTCGAACGACTCGGACGAGTTTATTTCTGGTCCCACGGGATTATTCCCTCGGCCTCTGAGCGATGACGACGCAAGCGCAAGCGTAATTCTCCAGCTGTTCAAGATGCTCGGGAAGTTTGTCGCAAGATCCATGATTGATTCGCGCATCATTGACCTGAACTTCAATCCCATCTTTTTCCGCATTGGCGAAGGGTCTTCGAGCGTAAAGCCGTCTCTCGGTGCGGTGAGGATAGTAGATCCGGGACTAGCTAATTCTCTAAAGCACATTAAGAAGTTTGCCATGGCGAAGAAGGCCATTGACGAAGATCCTAGTCGTACCCCCGCGCAGAAGGTTGCCGACACCGAGAAGATCGTAGTCGACAATGGAACACTTGAGGACTTAGCATTGGACTTTACTCTGCCAGGCTATCCGGAAATTGAGCTCATACCTGGCGGGTCTCAAATCCCCGTTACTATCTATAACGTCGAGTCGTACCTAGACAAAGTTATCGACATGACTTTAGGCCGCGGTGTCAAGCGTCAAGTCGAAGCATTCCGCACCGGCTTTTCCCAAGTGTTCCCGTACTCCGCTTTGAGCGCTTTCACACCAGATGAGCTGGTGGCACTATTTGGTCGCGTCGAGGAGGACTGGTCTTTAGAAAGTAAGTTATATTCACCTATGAATAGTATAAGCAAAACTAACATTTCTCCTTCAGCTCTTATGGACTCTATAAAGGCAGATCACGGCTTCAATATGGACAGTAAATCGGTTAGGAACTTGCTGCAGACGATGAGCGAGCTGAGCCCGGCACAACGCCGTGATTTCCTACAATTTACTACCGGCAGTCCAAAACTTCCTATCGGAGGTATGTATTGCAATTTCTTGTGTTATCGACGTGGTTCTAACCGTATCTATAGGTTTCAAGAGCTTGACCCCGATGTTCACTGTGGTATGTAAGCCGAGTGAACCGCCGTATACATCCGATGACTACCTTCCAAGTGTTATGACTTGTGTCAACTACCTCAAGTTACCCGACTATAGCAGTATCGATAGCATGAAGCGACAGCTATTCACAGCTATCAGGGAAGGTCAAGGTGCCTTCCATCTGTCCTAAATATGTATCTCGATAGACATAATGGGCAGAAGCAACCGCGATATTATACGCACGTACATTGCGATACATGGATGGCATTGACGAATAAAATGAGGCATTGATTTATTTTATTTTCCCCGTTTCACCTCTCTATCTGGTCAGCTGCACTAGGGAGCAGTTGTTGTTTTTTGTTCTTGACAGACCAGCCATAATTCCCTTCTGATGCCCCCCCTATCATGACTCTCGACAGAGAAGGAAGTTGGCACAAAGCACAAGAGATACGGACGTACTGCGAGAAGGCTTGTCTGATGCATGGAAAAAAGGTTGTTTCGGCGTAGGAATGAAACATGATTCCCGGCGGGATTTGGCATCAGACTGGACAGCCAGGACCTGACACGAAGGTCGAGTGCTTACTTTGTTTTACGTTCGCAAAAAGGAGTGGCTTTTATCAGGTAGATAGACTGGCCAATTTGTCTTAAGTATTGGTTTCACGACTCGCTTGCTCTTATACTGTATGTAATAGTGATTTGCTACTTTGCTATCATGACGGTGCTGTTGTGTAGTATTCTAATGATAAATTCTAAAATATCTATGGCTAGTAATTGCCTAACAAAATAGTAATAATAATAAATAATGCTTATGTGCTGCGGTATCTACCTCCTAGGTACGTACGTCTAAAACTGTAGCCCAAGCGTTCGGGAATAACCCCATACCTGTATGGTACCTACCTAAGTATAAGGTGTATAATGCAAAATTATGCAAACGGAGTTCAAATTCATATATATAGGTAGGTTAGGTAGGTCATAATACTTAACGACAGATCTGCCTCCCTACCTCTATTCTACCTATTCATAATTCCTTTGCATTTTGTCTATCAAATTCACCTCTTTACACCACATCTATTACACAGTCTATTACATCCTGCAAGCTTATCTTTCAACATGTCGTCTTCGCCTCAAATCACCAAAAAATCGGAGCCAGCTCATCCAGCTCATCCAGCTATCACTTTCGCCATAAATTGTAGGAATGCCATGCGCGACGAATTCAGGCCGACCGCGTCTCTCAATTCAGTTGCTCTGTCGAAGCTCAATGTCAAGTGTACTCAGTTCGACCTCGACAGCGGAACACCCAATGATGGAGGCCCCAAGGTCCTGGAACCAAAACCACTCGAGGAGATGAATGCCATCGCCAAAAGGAATAAGCTGATGGCTCTTAACGTCGTTGCTTCCATCGGCGAATTCAGTTCCGGCCCTTACTACACTGCCGAAACCCTCGGAGCCTTCTTTTTTCGCGATCACATTCTCGAAGGACCGGACGAGCCATCAGACGAAATCTTGCCAGAACTTGGCTCGTGGGAATTTGTCCCGTAAGTCACCTTAGAGCCTATTCATAATATAGTGTGATGAATTGGCGCCCAGATGGACTAACGCAAAACCTCAGGAAAAATCATCAGTTTGTTAGCGAAGAAGGGGTCGAATGGCGAGCCGAGTTTACCTTATATAGCCGTGACAAATCTATGCTAGATGCCGTACGCTTCCTTCCACATACTACGCCTTTCAAGCATGACGAACTCCTTTTCAGCGAGCTTTGGTGCATCTTGGCGACGTCTGGAAGTAGGTTGGCAGAGAAGAAGGAACATGAGCCTGATGAGATAGCTCCTGTAAGTTTCTAAATTCCACCTCCATATTCAAAATCTGTGGTTTTGTTCTCTTACTTACCTACCTCCTACGTAACTCAAGGTCACCATCGTATCAGCTTGTGGTAGAGACCTCCGAGTTGTCCAAGGCTACATTCACGACGACAAGGCTTGGGTGCGAATGTCGGAGGTTGTCAATACCGATGATGATGACAAGCAGGTGAACTTAGACCGACTCCTGAAGGTTGCAGCTTGGTTCTTGGGCACCCCATGCAGATACCGAGTTGAGGCTATATGCACGTAGTTCAGGAGGTAGGTACCTAACCTATATTTGATAAGCCTTCTGCCCGAAAGCAGTACAAGCCTGGGGTGTAGGCCGCGAGAGATAGGAGAGCCCAGAGGTCGACTCGCACGCGCGGGCGAGCGAATCTTTTCCAGTACGATTTGATCCCATTCCCAGCCATATCTTCCCCCGGGCGCTTAGTCTTTCATTTGCATACCCATTCGATATATGAACTCCTTGAGGTCTTCGAGCCTCTCAACTGTTCTAGGACATGTTTCATTGGAGCTGTAAGTTGCGGCGCTAGAAGGACGTCAGCCTGGTGGCGGAAGGAAGAACGAGATTGATATTTGAATCTTTATAATTCATCCCAATTCTCGAGCTGGCGTTGGTATTGCTTTTCGGTATAATCCATCACCACATTCTTAGGAACGGGCCTATTGTTAACAATGGCAGGATCGATTGCTACGTTTTTTTATGTAACTCTTCCTGGCCGGGCCTCTTTTGGGTTTCATCTTCTCTATGAAAGGTGAGAGACAGGGACGTGTAGAGAAACGTTTTATCAGGGAAGAGCGAAGTTAGATTTGTAGTTAATGTGTTGTAAGGGAGAGTTTGGCGAAGAAATGAGAAAGCTGTAGAAAAATAATTTGAGAAGGATGGGGGCAGAAAGCAAGTAGTCCTTCGGCTACGAGTAATTATTCGAGACCCTTGCCCCGAGATCTCGTTGCATGCTGGACCCCTTTACGCCAGTCTCCAGTGGGTCGACGTCCTTCCCCAATGAATCCGTTTGCAGCCTATGATAGGATTCATCACGGCTCTGTCAGAATCAAGTATCGATGGTCGGGCGTATTTTGTAGCTGGCTGTAATCACATAGATCGTCCTCTTTCTACCTCGTCATACGCCCTCCAGGCTCACTTCTAATGCTGGATCACTCTCCGACTTACGAATATTTTCGACTTGGTTTAATAGGTACCTTAGGTACCTACCTAAGTATGCACATAACAATGCTATTCGGCTTGCAAGTCTCACTCGTTTTTGTCACACAGACCATTTCTACCCATGGCTCCAAGGCAAGACGTTCGGTTTTTTTTTTCCTCTCTTTTTATATATAAACAGCTGTGACCTTTGGCTTTTTGATAGTGATGAGATTTGGTACCTAAATATGATTTATCTGGATGGAGCTAAGGAATTATATTTGTATACCTCTTCATATTTAGATCTTGGTGACTTTCGCCAGGGTATGAATGTCTATAAACTCACTGCATCGGGTCTCACGTGATTCCTTCAAGGCTTGCCGAAAAGCGTCACCAGCATGTCTAAACTGAATCGGAGGTTGTCAGGGCATTATATATGAAAATAGCACGTAGTCAGGTAGTAAATTCCGGCCTCAGCCTATGTCCGGTTTTGTAACTCCCGCACCGATTGACCAAGTTCTCAAGTCAACCGTTTTAGAATACCAGATTCCGTTTCTTGAAGTCATTCATAATGGCACGTGACTGATGGCATCCTGATCTCGGGGTGAGCAGGGGTGAGCCGAGGTCTGTTAAGGCGGCTAGGACGTTAATCCCATTGTGCCACCCGCAGGGATTTCCGGTAAAAGTTGTAACTCCGGTATGAGCACAACGGCGTCATCTTATAATTTAGACTCGGAGCCAGCCAAAGAACCACCCTTCCTCGGCGGCGGACGGCCAATATTGTCCAGAAACTTTTCACTCAACGTCGTCTTCTCCTTGGCCGGCAACTTAACCCACTCCTCGTACTCGCGCTCCTTCTCTCGCCACCGCACCATCTCCTTGCCTATCCACGCCGCCGCGTGCCGCGCGCACTCCTCCGGCACCTCCATCGGGAACAAGTGTCCGCGGCCCTCCATCACCACCTGGTCGACCCTGCCCATCTTGATCCCGCCGCTGCCGCCGCCGCCGGACCCGCACGCCTCCGTCTTCGCCTTGCGGTCCTCCGGCACCCCCAGGTCGCTGTCGCCGCCGAAGATCCAGAGCACCGAGGGGCGCACCTCGGGCAGGTGCTTCAGGATGCTGGGGCCCTCGGACCGGTAGAAGGGGAACACGCTCGACGGGTCCGTGATCTTCGCCTGCATCTCCGGATCGAAGTCCGGCGCGCCGTCGCGGTCGACTTCGCCCGTCTGCGGGTCGGCGTACGGCCATAAGGGCCGGAAGAATGTGAATACTTCGTGGTGTTTGGTCGTGCGCAGGGTCACGGGCACGGCGGCACCGTCGTCGCCCCCCTGCTGCTCCGGGTCCCGGTCGGGGAATAGGGCGGTGGGCGTGTCGCGCAGGGCGTGCGCGATCCAGGCGTCGAGCACGCGCGGGTCCCAGGCCCGGTAGAACGGGCTGCGGCGGAAGGACTCGGCGGCGGCGGCGCGGGAGGGCCAGACCTCGCGGCGGAAGGCGGAGGCTCGGGCGGGGGATTTGCCGGGGCCGTCGCGCTGGAAGGAGAAGTGGGTGACGGTGGGGTCGAGCAGGACGAGGGTGGTGAGGAGGCGCGGGTGCAGCAGGGAGAGCTTGGTGAGGACGGCGCCGCCGAAGGAGTGGCCGACGCCGACGAGGGGGCGCGGCATATCGGCGCGGAAGACGTTGACCAGGTGCAGCAGGTCGCGCGCGTGGTCGTGCCACGACGGGTCGTTCCCGAGCACGTGCTCGTTGACGGTCCCGCTGTACCCCTGGTTCGAGACGTCGGCGATCCAGACCCCGCGGATGCGGAAGCCGTGCCGCTTCGAGCGCGCGTGCAGGTCCGCCCACAGGGGCTCGTAGAGCTCCTTGGGGAAGCCGTTCGCGTGGGCGCCGAGGATGGTGACGTCCCCCGGCTGCGGGTTGGGGTTGTCGATGGGGACGTACTGCTTCACGCTGAGGTAGAGGACGGCTTCTTGCGAGGTGGCGGTCGCGCGGGGGAATTCCCGGATGTGTTGGGAGGGGACGACGTGTTCTTTTACGTGGAAGGGGAAGGATGCCATAGTGGGCGTATGAGTGTATATATGTATATGCCGATAGCTCTATGGGTATGTACCCGGGTATATCTATAAAGTATAGGTATCTATTGGAAGTTTGAACGAGTTCTAATAAACCCTGATCGTGATGAGGGGGGGGGATGTGCCCCTGGAGCTTGAAGGTCTCAAGTAGTGGTCTTATATAGTCGTGATAGAGGAGGCATCGAAGTATCTCTACCGAGTTTTGTTGACCGTCTTGCAGTTGAGGTTGTTTTTGTATAATGTGAGTTCCAATTGCAACAATTCGTCCTCTTTCAACTGCATCTAGGTAGATGAATATTAGGTATAGATATGGGATACGTGTAAATGCTCGCTGAAATGCTCGCTGTTAGATTTAGCCGAGGCTTTTCTATATTCAGGTTTAAACACCAAGAACGCCGGGAAAGATGTCGCTTTTGCCGAAGTGAGTGAGAATAAGTAACTTAACAGTAATAAAGACACCGATTTTGAGTCAAAGTTGTATACAAAAGCTCGCACGTGTCAATGGACTTGAAAGTTACGGGGATACGTCTAAATATAATATACAGAGCCAACCTACCGAATTTAATGGTTGTAAAGGTCAAAGAGCCGATCGATTTTATAAAGGAAGTTTTACCTTAGGTAAGGTATGCATGCAACAATAGCTGATACCTAGCTGCAGGGATAATGCATTATACCTCGGCCGATGCAAGGGGCGGGGGGAGTTGATTGTGGGGGGAGGGGGAGATGAGGGATGAGTCGATGCATGCATGTATCAGATGTAAACGGTACTTTGAGTAAACTTTAATTAATTGATATGCACTTGACGCGATAGTCGCGCCTTTGTAGCCCACATTTCTACCTCAACCGCGTTCATGACGCATCGTGTCTCTTGCCTAATTAATGTTCCTAATCAAATAAGCTTGAGTAACAAAAACAAGCCTCTCTCAACTTCAAAGTTATCCAAGGCTGAAAATACATTTCTATCATTTGTCGAAGGATTGCTAGCATATTATCTGCCTTATATTTAAATAATTAGCCTGAAAGTTACTGGTTAACCTGGTTAACTACTTGGGCGCACATTTTTGGAAATCCAAGCCCAAAAGGTCCACTTGGCCATCTACGATCATGGCGCCGCAGACGAGGTCCCATGGCAACTCATCCAACCCATCCAACCCATCTGGAGCCGTAACATACAGGTCAACTCCTGCTCCACCTAAGCAACGGTTATTTCCTGAGCGTGAACGCAGTGCTAAGCTCAGAACATATTCGCGTATACACACTGTCCGAAAAAACTTGAAGCAGAAAACACTAACTCAGATGGCTTTCGTATCCTCTTCTACGTCTAAGGAAGAGCATCTGCTCAAGTCTGATGATGAGCATGATGAAGAAGAAGGAGAAGAAGAAAATGATGGTGAGGAAGACGATGCTCAAGAAGTCCAACCTATCGCCCCTGAGGACACAGTGAAATCCAAAAAGAGGAGCAGAGGATCTCGACGCAAGACTGCGGGAGACGAACTAGCCAAGAAAAAGAAACCAAGAGATACTAAAAGACGAAAGACTATGGGAGACGTACCCAGCTCTAATCCGTCAAGTAGCTTCCATACTCAAACTTTGACTCAGTTCATGTCAACTAAAGGAGAGAACGGCAACGAGGATTGGCAAATTAATGACTCGCAAGATGACGATGCTGGTTTCATCTTAGAGACCCCTAAGAAGACCAAAGAACCACCTGTCCCCTCCAAAGCCGGCGAACGCCAATCAGAACTTAGATCCTCGGTTCCGAGTCTTATCGAGTCTGTTACCCCAAAAAACCGTCGGACGAAGGCGGTTATCCCATCTTCTACATCGCCCACGACACCGATGATGATGCGGTACAGCCCAGCACCACACAAGTCACCTCTAGTAGTAAAATCCATTAACTTGACAGGCCCTTCTCCTATTCTCAAGAAGGCCAGCGAGTTGTCAAAGGATCGAGTGATTCCGGATTCATACAGCACTGCGCATAGCTCACCAACCACACAGGCTCCAGGCTCTACAATCAAGGCCACACCAAAGAAGACTCGTTTCGAACTTCCCGAGGATAAAGAAAATATTACTCCAGGAAGAACTAAGCCAAAGAGCCCCAAGCCACTAAGGAAGACACCGGCACGGGAACCCTTACAGGAAGTACCTGATTCCGATGACGATGTAAACGGAACGGGGGATGTTGAAGATGATGAAGCTAGCACAGAAGACGAAAATGCACCAACGGAACGAAAAGGAGATGAGACCCAAGCCGAGCTTCTTTTGTCGGCAGACGAAATTAGTCGTGAACTTGAAGAGATCGGCTCTCTAGAGCCAAGTCGCTCTCGATCAACAACTCCCACACCGATCCCAAAGAAAACGCATGTGCTTTCTAAAACGCAAATAGCAACCATGTCCACACATTCTCCAGCTTCTGTAATAGAACAAACGCCGTCGAAGCATACACAGAAAAAACAACCAGAGGAAAGTCCGACAAAGCAACATACTCAAATATATACTCAAGGTATCGAGAGCCAACGACTCCCCCTGGAGGCCATTCACGCTCTTGGCCCCCAAACTGAGAACTCTGATATTATGGTCTCTCTTCATCCCGAGCCTCTGGCAGAGATCATCAACGGTACAAAGAATCACGAATTCAGGGTCTGGGAAATCCCACCTACCGTAACTCGTGTCTGGATTTATTCAACCAGGCCGTTCTCTGAGCTGAAATATATGTGCACTCTCGGCCCTGCTAAAGTACCTGGGGAAATTCAGGACAGCAAGGGTGCTGGAAATGTCGAGTTTAACCAAGGGAAAACTGCTGCTAAGTACGCCTATGAGATTATTCAAGTCTATGAGCTCAACGACCCTGTTCCCCTCGAGGAAATGAAGAAAAGGGGTTGGGTGAAATCTGCTCCGCAGAAATACATATGGGTTCCTCCTGCGGTTGTTGGAGCACTCACGGCGAATTTGAAGTGTGCTCTATTCGGAGAAGACGAAGAAATTCAAGCCGAAGCCGCGCTGGTGCCAAGCAGCCCCAACGTTAGTGAGTCGCAAGAACTCAATGCCCAGCTCCAGGATGATGCAGAGTTCTCAACCCAACATCATTCCGACCAGGTTGACGAGGTGATTCTGTCGAGCCAATCCCCGCGTAGGTCTAGCGCCAGGAGAACCCAATCGGCAAGGAAACAGGATTTCGTAAAACCGGCGCCGCCTAGATTAGAGCATGGTTCTTCGATTCAGTCACTACCAGCACCTGCAAGCCAAAGAACACGCGGCGCTGTTAGACCGTCGCAGGCTACCACAGTCTCAAGTCCGGCTCCATCTCCCGAGAGATTGCCTCCTCAGGCAATACCCATCCCCAGTGATCCGCCTGTCCCAAACCTACAGAGCAGCAGTCCGGCGGCGTTCCGAAGAGCGCGGGACAACTCTCTAAGATCCTCGCAGTTTCCTACGCGTAGCCAGATGCTACCGGATAGTTTGATAAATGACGAGATTCAAGAGCCGCCCCCGATTATATGGGATTCCGCGGACGAGCAGTCGGATTAACGAGTGACGAGCAACAGAATGAATTAGTTTAGTTAGTATACGGTGTAGCTGTAAGATAGGAGGTACTGAATAAGGCGTTGTGGCATGGATAGGTCGTTTTGCTTAGCTTGGCAGGTATGAGAGAATTGCTTAGTATAGGGAGGTAGGTTGCTTGGAGTTTCAATGATGGCAAGGCAGGGCAAGGCAAGGAGAAGGAGAAGGAGGTATGGATGTTTAGGTCCGGTCTGTAAGAGTATGAGGGAGAGATCGAATCACGCACGCTCTGACGTAGCGGTATGTGTTAGTTAGGTAATAATGGTACGAAGTTTTTTATTATTATCATTATTGTATCCAGGGTTATCGAATCTGGAACCTTGGTGGTGAGATTAAAAAAAAGTGCATATTACATTTCCCACGTGTGTCTACCTCCTATCCGCCCTCCAACTCCCAATAGGTAAGTGCCTATAACCAACTAAACTTCAATCATTAATAGATTATCATGGCCTTTTCTGTGCGTATGTAATGGCATCAAAGCGGACGAGTTTCCCCTCCTCCCTTCTGTCAGGGGTAGGAGGCACTAGTGCGGATTGGGCCTTATGGCCCACTAGGATAGTGTATATAAGGAGTACGCTGCTCCCTCGAAGGTGCTTCGAAGGGCAAGCGTTAATAGATCACTACTATACACTGCATACTTGACATTCTACGTGCTACTGCTTCTATTATTCACTCTAGGTACGACATACATCACGGGATCCCTCTGACACCTTCCAAATCTCAACCGCTTCGGAGTCGAGTCAGATAAACAAAATTCCTGCCCCTCCTGGGTACCTGCTATGCTATGCTATGCTATACCCGCCCGACCAACCCCATTCTAATTCCGTCTCCGGTTCTGGTTCTGGTTCTGGTTCTGGTTCTTGCGAGCAGAGGCGCCGTTCCGGCAGCGGTACACGACGACGACGGCGGCTACTGGGAGGGCGAGCACGGCGTCGTTCTGGGCGGTACTTGAAGCCAGTGGAAGTGCCGGAGCCGGAGCCGAAGTCGGAGGTAGCTTTGGTGTCGCCGTTGGGGTGAGGGTGGAAGATGGAATCGGGGACGTCGGCTGGGACGGGGAGCATGAGGATGGTGGTGGTGGTGGTGGTGGTGGTGGGGACGACGGTGGAGAAGAGGGAGTTAGTAGAGTGGTAAGGGTAGTAAGGTTGTATGTTGATCTTGAGAAGGGGATGAGAGAGGGTGTAGATGAAAAGGAGAGGGGAGATGGGGAGGTAAAATGGAGAGCATGGTTCGACTTACTGGTCGCAGATTTCTCCGTCGTTTTCCTGGATGGATACAGTGCAGTGCCTTCTGCGCTCGGCACTTCGATCCAGCAGCTGTTCAAGTCGGCGTTGTCGTCGCGGCGAGCCGCGGGATGGATTGGTAGAGCTGGTATGGTTTCTTCTTTGTATTCTCGATAGGTACCTAACCTAGGTATTCAAGTTCTTCGTATTAAGCGAGATAGTATTCGAAACAACGGCGAGTAGGGCGAGGGGGAAAGGGACCGCACACACGAACTATAAAACGGAATTTTACAGCCCATGTTTCTGGTCGCCATAGCATTGTGTGACTGATTACGCGGAAAGGGTATAGGGGGTTTAATTAAGCTCGTCTAACGACAGACGGTCTGAGTTTTGGTTATTGAGAACGTTAGTGCTTTGGATTATGAAGCTCTAGGGAGAGAGTCTATGAAGTTACTAGGACTTATATAGAGAGATTTATGCAGTCACGGCATATCGTTTACGACTTTGGTGGAAATAATACATATACACCATCTTAATAGAGGTAGATAAGGTGGCTGTCAAGTTCAAGTTCTCAACTTCAAGGTTATATGGGCTAATTAAGAAATATATCAATTGTCTACATTCTACACAGAAACAAAATACAAAATAACTAACAGAAGTGCCAACTTAACAGATAACCAAAAACCATATTCAATATGCTAGAGACTCTTCTGGGCTATCCAAAAGGTTGGATATGGCCTAAACTCTATTGAACTCATATCGCAAGGAGAGACGATGAAGATTATAACACCTAGCCTTGACATTTCCGCGGAGGCATGATTTCGATTCACTAGAGGATAGATACCTTATATGCTTATACCTATATACTATAGTATATGTGGCATTGTAAGTTGTCCATCACGATGACATCATGGCAACGAAGCACTAGCTGGTGTCTATGATCCAATGCTGCATATTGGTGTGAAAGATGTGAGGAGGTGCTCGAGTTTATATATTGTCCAACCGGAGCAAGCCATTCCCAATGTAAAGCAATACTGAGTACACGCTCAAATAGGCCCATCGTCCAACAAACACCACCTTACGAGACATTATATCAGATTACTACCTACGTTATGTCGTCGTTATTTCAGCAGACTGCAGCTGACAGCACCGAAAAACCGCCGCTGAGTGAGTCCTAGCGTCTTTGTTAGGTATGCATTGGCTGGCTGACTCCCGGAAGCCAAGCACCATACTGCGCCCGGCCCTGGCAGCGGACTGGATGAGAATCCCATTACTCGGTCCGCAACCCAGCCTCAGGGGGACAAAGCTGATACTACTACTACCAGTCAGCAGGCTGGAACTGTAAAGAGGTCGATGTCTCACCCGGCTGAGGCGAAGAGCGGTGTTGGAGGGGAAAGAGAATAGTGGTGTTGGGCATTGTGCGACGTAGAACCTGTAATCTTAAGGCCAGGGGGAATAGGACATCTTGACTGTAATAACAGCTCCTATTAGTAAATTTCTCAATATCGGGCTAATACATCCTAAGAAGAGAAGGCCTTAGGGGGGTTCTATCAATGAAAGTGAAAAACGCGTATTAGCCTCAGTTAATGTTCTTTATAATCTACCTGATAATGGAGTCATAATGTCAGAGTAACAGCGTCAATTGTGTTAGTTATGTACAAGCTTCTTAGCTGGCATCTATTTCTTAGGCTCCTCCTTCTTCTCCTCAGGCTTAGGTTTCGGTAGTTTAAAGGACTCGGGAGTGCGGTCGTCACCGGGACCAACTGGCTCCCAAGCTGTCGAGCCTCCCTCGAAGTTACGGAAGGCTTGGGTGAGCTCTAACGGCTCGGTGACGATGCGCTTCTTCTCCTCGTCGTATCGGATCTCGGTATATCCCGTCAGCGGGAAGTCCTTCCGCAGCGGGTGGCCCTCGAAACCGTAGTCCGTCATGATTCGGCGCAGATCCGGGTGGCCGACGAAGAATACGCCATACAGGTCGTAGACCTCTCTCTCGTACCAGTTGGCGCCGTCGTATAGCAGGGTGGCACTCGGCACGGGAGTCGCCTCGTCGGCGTACGTCTTAACTCGGATTCGCGCATTGTGTCTCACGCTCAGCAAGTTGTAGACAATCTCGAATCGCTGATCTCTGGTCGGGAAGTCGACTGCCGTAACGGTGGTCATTTGAGTGAATTCGGCAGCAGTGTTGTCTAGCTTTCCGTCAGCTGAAAAAAGCCCATTCCCTAGGCGGATATATCAACCCGGAGGGATGGTGCATGCACGTCTTACACTTGAGGAATGATAAGACGGGTATGACGCCTGAGGGTGGGATGTAGATAACTAGCTCATCCTTCCAGACGGAGAATTGTTGGATGTACTTGGGCAAGCAACCCATAAGCCAAGCTCCGTACCGGTGGAGGTTGTCGGCTTTGGTTGAGTATTTGTCTGCAGGGTTGACGATGGGCACCTTAAGTTCCTTGGGGTACTCTCGCGGCGCCTGTCTCATATTCGGAGCATCTTTAGGCAAGTTGACATTTTGGCGAGCAGTCGCGGAGATGCATCGAACGGCGGCGACCTGCTCGGAACGAGACGGCAACGATGGTTTCGCAGGTCGAAGAGCTGAGGCGAGAGCTCTGCTTCGACAGAGCTTTGTCGCCATGGTCGGATAGACGGGCGCGGGCGCGGGCAGGGCGAGCCAATTGATTTGTAGAGGTATTAATACCTAGGTAGTCTATCGAAGATTGAGCCGTCTATACTATGTATAATTCAAGGAAAGTTCATGACCTAATAAGAAGCCCGGTCCGTTATTCCAAATACGGTTGCAAGGTGGATCATGGATTGGGGGAATTTGGTCCAATCAGGTCGGGAGAATTCCCAATGCGCGGAACAATATTAAGGCATCCTCCGACTTACCTCACTCCACTGGGCAGTCTCCATCCCACTCCAGGCAGGGCAGGGCAGCCCAGGTGTCTATATTTCAGGAGGGATGTTGTGATACCTACTATGTATACCAAATCACATACTACCAAATCCGTGACGTAGCACATGACCTCGTACTGTTTTTTTTTTTTTTTTTTTTTTTTTAAGTTCTTGGATTCACTTACCAGACCAACACAGAAATTTACAGAAAAGTTGGATACAGCTTACTGCAGCGGTGAGACTGCATCAAAATGCACTATTCGTGAACACCTAAGCAACTGCTAGTTTAGTTCAGATTTTTAAAACGTTACCGTACCTAAATGAAGTAAGTTAGGTAGATAGGTAACGTTATTGTTTCTACCTTTTTTTTTTCCTTAAATATTTGACAACCAAAAAAGAAAAAAAAAGGGTGAAGCACAAGTATCTTATGTAATCGGTACTTATCAATCTGCCCCAGTGTTCTCGCAAACGCAGGTAGCAGGGTACACACAGCCTTGGAACAACAGCTGAGGCAAAAATTGAAATTGACGCTAAGGCGCTAAGCCGTAACAGGCCATTGAAGTTTCCTAGGGCGAATCGGGTCAACCTTTCTTCTCGGCGCTCTGAACCAATGTTTCTGCATTAAACCTTCTTTGCCTTTTCAAACCTTCACTTGTTCTTACCTTCACGCCATCACCGCAAACTGACCAACGGTCTGTATCTTACCTCCGCCTTTACCCTTACCACACGCGACCTCATATATGAACCAGCCGTTTTCGCCTCTCCTCTAATTTCCCTCGGACGCGTTTTGACAGGCGGGCTTCGCATGTTCTTTTTTCTCTCTTTTTTTTCCCTCCCGCTATAATATTCATTTCTTTTCACCTGCATAATCACCCGATATTTCAACCTAAACTGGACACATAGGCACAACGCGCGCCTCCGGTGCATACCCTCACTTTTGCCTCAGCAATCTTCAATAACCCAGCACCTGAGTTAAGCCTCGACAGTGCAGCCTAGTGCTAGAGCTTTTCTATCAACCAACCACAACTTTCTGAGCCAGCTTCCCCCGCAGAGGTCAATATGGCTCCTCAAGATAGCTTCATCGATGATGAGGAGGATACATGGTAAGGATATTCTCATACAGTTTTCTTCATCTTATCTGTTATAGTATAGGAAGCTAACCCCTCGTGCGTAGTCCTCTGTGCATAGAAGAATTCGATCTTTCCGACAGAAATTTCAGACCCTGTCCTTGCGGATATCAGGTAGGAGATTAACACGATATTCTATAATTATTGGATAGGGCACTGATGTTTTTGCACCAGATTTGTCAGTTCTGTTTCAATAACCTGAAAAACAACCTTAATGGACTGTGTCCTGCATGTCGGCGGCCCTATGACGAAAAGGACATAAAGTGGAAGGTTGTTACACATGAAGAGTATGTTCGCTGTATCGAATACAGAGGGGGACCATATGGCTAATATCATACACAGAGAGGCAGAGTTTCGCGCCAATATCCAAAAGAACCAGAAGAAGCGAGCATCGGAACAACGTCAGAAGGAGGTGCAGAAACGCGAGGCCGAAAAGGAAAGTCGCAAGAATCTCCAGGGCGTCCGTGTCGTACAGAAGAACCTTGTCTATGTAACGGGTCTTACACCTACCGTGCGGGAAGACGAACTGCTCAAGACACTTCGTAAGCCCGAATTCTTTGGTCAATATGGCAATATTCAAAAGATTTCGATTAGCAACCGGAAATCTGCGGACGGCCAACCTCAGTCACTCGGTATCTATGTCACGTTCGAGAAGAAGGAAGATGCTGCTCGTTGTATACAAGCCGTACACGGTTCGCAAAACGGTGACCGTGTCCTCAAGGCCCAGTTGGGAACGACAAAATACTGCTCAGCCTGGTTGAGACACGAACAATGCGGAAATCGACAGTGTATGTTTCTACATGAGCTTGGCGACGAGGAGGACAGCTATTCTAGACAAGATCTGTCCTCCCTAAACAGTGTCCATACTCAACGTCCCTTAGCGAATGCAGCCTCGTCATCACGATCTGCATCACGCCAGCAAGTGTCTCATTTGCCCGCAGCTCTCTCGCAGCCCATGGCCCGCACTGCTAGTAAAGAAGGGTCAGATGCTGGTGACGGACCTGCCCTGCCGCCTTCAGCAAACTGGGCACGGACCACTCAGCAGCGCAGTCGAAGAGGGAGTCACGCAACAAGCGGAGCAGCTTCGAGTCCTGCTATCTCGACCTCCTTGCCGGTTACCAGCGAATCGACACAGGAGGCTGTTGAAACTGCAGTGACCACAGAGCCGCCTCCTTCAACTAGTCGAAAAGCAGAGAAACAGCCAGCAGTCGATACACCTGCCAAGTCCGAACCCGCTAGCTCTAAGGCTAATTCTACGACTGCGACTGCGACTGCGGCGGCAGCGGCTACGTCTGATTCAGAAGATGACATGCCTGATTTTGGTGAACTTTTCAAGGTCCTCGCTCGTACTCGTCCTGAAACGTTTCTCCCACCTAAAAATAAAGATGAGTCGTTCCCCCCTTTATTTGACGTAAATGGTGGCGCGAAAAGGCGGGCTATGAGGGAGGAGGAAGAGAACCGCTTAGGTGACCATGAAGAGCAAGTTGACAACTTGGAGGCCTCAGAGGGCGAGCCCGAGAGCGGTAGCCTTGCGCTCGGTGGGGAACCGGAGGATAGAGACCAAGGTCGCGACAATGGTCGTTACGACCAAAGGCGAAATCCGACACAACCTCCGATTCAGCGTACAAATGCCAACGATCTCTTTGGACCAAGCCTATCTGGCTACTCTCAGAACCCCGCGGCTATCGGCTCTATTGGGGGACGCACGATAACGCCGCAACAGCAACAGCAACAGCAACAGCAGCTCTTCGTTCGTCCTCAAGGCAGTTTTGCCGACCAAATGCCGCCTGGCATCTCCCCGCAGTCCTCGCTCTTCCAGGGCCAGGGGCACAGTCGCCAGCAGTCCAGGTTTAGCTTTGCGAACGAGAACAGTGCCAGCTCGGTCAATGTGAAGTCGACTGGCGACCCGCGGTACATGGCTCAGCAGTCATCTATGATGCCATCCGCATATCGCGCGCAGCCAGGCAACCAGCTCTATTCTTCTATACCAGGACCCCCACCAGGACTCAAGTCTGCTGGTTCAACGCCTGTAAATGGCGGCATGTTCGGCCAGGGGCATTCGTTTGGTGGGTCGGCATTTGGCGCGGGATCGAAGGATAATTCTAGTGAAATTCTCCAGTCTCTCATCCGTGGTAGGGGCAGCACCCAAAGCCATGAAGCCACAAAGCGTGAGTACTTCCCTTTCAGTAATCAATATCCACCCTCCACCTCCTCCACCCCTGCTCCTGCTCCGGCTCCGGGCCTTCTGGCATCGCTCCAAGGTACCCAGCCTGGGGCTTTCCAAGATTTCGGACCAAAGCAGAAGAAGAAGGGGAAGAAGCACAGACACGCTAACACTTCCTCCTCTGGGGGGAGTGGCTTAGTAGATCTTGCGGACCCGAGTATCCTGCAGGCGAGAATGCAGCACCAGCAACAGGGAACCGGCACCGGAGTCGGACAGGGGCTATACGGTGGACAAACCCAAGGTGGGTACAATCCCAGCATGGTTTATGGAGGCGGCGTATACGGCGGCAGGTGGTAGCTGCTTTGTAGCGCATGAGGAGTATGGCGGCGCGTTTGTTTTCTTTTTTTGCTTGGCTTCGCCGGGGGTTACGTCGGGGGCGTCTAGGTTTTCGGAAGGGATCAAAGGAAATAATCGGAATATTCCACAACATTGTTTGAGCGAGCATTGCAGAGAGGCATGGCCCAGGGCGGGTCTAGGTTGCATTTGGCGTCCCCATTGCTCTTGGAAACGACGAGGCTTCGCGGCCAGTGCTTTGCCTTTCAGATGATACACACTTCTTTTCTGGCACTATCCTGTTGTTTGTTCCTCGCATTATTCGGTCACATGGTCACGCCAGGCAAGCCATCGTCGTCTTCCACAAAGTTCTTCATGTACGTTAACACGCAGGTCGATCCTCCAGACCAGGCCTGAGAGGCTGCTCAATATAGCATTTCTTCCTCGTACCCGATGCTCTTGTCATGTATAAAAACTTGTGGAAGACGACGGCGGAAGCTCTGTGATGTGTCGCTTGCTTTTTTCTGTCTCTTTAGTATTGTAGTTCATCGCGTATAGCTGGTAAAAGTAAGCTAACGTATCGTGTCTCTTAGACGATGACCTTTTACCCCTCGACGAAGTTTCCTCGTCGGTGGACGCCCTTGTTGCGGATCCCGAAGTCCCCGAAGAGCCTCATTTGCCCTTTTTAAGAGGTGTCGTTCCTAGGACCCCGTCTGTCCCACCCGGTCTTGGACTCAGCCATTTGCATCCGACGGCGCAAGTAAACGAGAGAAGTTCGAGCCCTGCTCCTGGGCGACATGTCCAACCAAGGCCCAACTCGGCGATATCAGCAAAATCGCCGGCTATTCCGCGGCCTGTAACTCCACTAATTCCGAAGACTCCTGTGAAGCCAGCCCCTACTACTAATAAGGAAATTATTACTCCTACCGCCGGAACTGAAGCGAAGAAGAGCATCAAGGAACTGGCCGCAAAGAGCGGCTTGTCGAAGGACATCGCTGCCCAAGCTTCGAAGTCTACAGGAAGAGGTGTCCTTCAGGAGGAAGATTTCCCTGCTCTAGACTCGGTCAAAGCTAGCTCGCCCCCTAAAGTTACACCGGCGTTACCGTCTAAGGTCCCAGCTAGTACCAAAGCACAGAGCAAGAAGGTTTCCAGTGATAATACAAATAAGGCATCCCCAGCAAAGCCTACACCCTCCAAAACCGATAAGCGTCCAGTTCCTACTACTCTTGACATAGCTGCCGCTACGAAGACTACTTCACAGCCTACTGTGAACGAAGCGACAAGTGGAGCAGATAAAGCTCAGCAAATTCCTGCCAGTACTTCCCAAGCTAGCAAGCTTCAGGGAGCTTCCGCTTTGTCTACTCCTACACCCACAACAGCATCTGTTTCTTCTCCCATCGCTAAGGTCGCGCCGAAGACGCTTCGTCTTGTTCACACTCCGAAGGCAGAGGCTTCACCTGTTCTACCCTCTGCGGCTGTTGCATCGATCCGAGCTGCTGGTATGGCCGGCTCTGCTCACCGCCCTGCGACTCCCGGGAGCGAAGCGATCTCTGACACTGCATCCATCGTAAGTGCCTCTGTGTCTGTGTCACGGACTAGCTCTCCGCCACCGTCGAAGATTGGCTCTGCGTCTGTGCGTGCAACTACGAAGAGTCAACAGCGCAAACAACGCAAAGAGGCTTCTAAGGAAGCCACTGCTCAGATCGTTGAGTCGAAACCAGTCGAGCAAGAGGTAGAGATAGCTCCTATCCTCGGTAGAAAGAAGAAACAGAAGAAGGAGAAGAAGACGGCCAGCGTAAGCCGCCCAGATACGCCTAGCGCTGCAGAACAACAGGCGGATGCATCAGCGTCTCAAAAAGCTCCTGTCACGGCCCCCGCTGACGCAAGCAAGAAAACTGGTGAAACTAAGAGCACTACCAATGCGGCGTCCGAAACACCCAATGCTGGAGCGCAGAAGAATAAGTCGGCCAAGAGCCCCCCTAAGAGCCCTGTAACAATCGACACTTCAATAAGGTTGAATGAGTCGACGAAGACTACAGTTTTGACTCCTGATTACGTTGGCCACGCTCCGGAACCCAAATTAGAGCAACCTATGGACGAAGATGTTGGTGATATTCCTAACCTTCGTGACGTCTTTCGGGCTATCATGGAAAGCGGCAGTTACCCTGATGCCGAGTCTATTAGTTTCTTCAAGCCTATACCCAACTATCGCTCGGACTTTCCTGGTATCATGCCCACAACCCTACCGCCAACATTAAAGACTATCGTTACCAAGGAAGATGAGGATAAACTCAACGCATTCCAGCCCGTTCGAAAAACGGTGAATGACCACACCGTACTCCTGACGCCCAACGGAGACTGTCTTCTCAACCTAACCGAGGAAGAAGCCGACCTATTCCTCGAACTGCAAGACCGCATCAGGGCCGACAGCGCCCTTCCCACCGCCTTCTCCGCACCTCGCCACACCCCCGCCACGGGGTTCAGCCTCGTCAAAAACCGTGCAGTACCCAACGGGACCCCGTCGTACTTCCCCTCCGGCCCGGACAACTACCCAAGCGACCCCGTCGGCAAAATGCATCGCGAGGAAGCCATCAGCTGCATCAACCAGCATGTCCTGCCGTCGCTCAACCTCAGCGGCTACAAGGCTGGTCCCGGCGGCGCGCCCGGCTCTACGGGCCGCAGCGTCAATCTCCAGCAGCTGGCGCCGTGGATATGCCCGTCGGTGGAGAACGCGGAGGAACGCGGGAAGATGTTTGGGGGCCGCGCGGGTGACGAGTTCGTCGGCGGTAGCGGTAACGGTAATGGTAACGGCAGTAATGGCGGTGTCGACTACGCCTACCACGACCAAGTCGTCCCCGGCGGCATCAACGCCAACGGCGGCCCCGCGATAGGCAGCGCGCCGCTGATGGGCGTCGAGGAGGCGGAGGCCGCGCTCGCGGTCTCCAAGAAGCAGCACGAGGTCCTAGATAAGAAGCTTAAGCAGCTCCAGGCGAGGAACAGGCGCCTCGTCGGCCTGCATTGACTGCCTGGCTCGGCGGAGGAGTGGGACCGGTACCCATTCGCAGGGTACGCGGCCACGGCGGTCGCGGTGGCCGCCGTGGCGGTTTGGGTCGCTAGGGTCGTGGTCGCGGCTTTCGCGGCTTTCGTGGCGGCGTTGCGGTCTGTTTTGGGGGTTGTGACGGGACAGAGTTAAGGCGGAGAGAAGCTTTTACGCGGTATTGATATTGCTGCATTTTTCTTTTGAGCGAGTGATGGTGAATAGTTGACTACGCTATAGTTAGTTAACTTGGTATTCATTCGTTTTACTCGGTAGGGGAATATCATGGATGGATGGATGAATAACTCCCAGTGGGCGTCAAGACGGAGTTTTAGCGTGGAAGACCACTGATATGGGTGGCCTTCATATTACGATATGATGTTTTACACGAGTATCGTTTCTTACCAGCGGATACCTATCATCGTTATCTGTCTACACGGCTGCATAACGGGTTTACCTAGCATGTATGATGCGGGAGCGTCTAAGTTAACTCCGCTCAGGTGGTGGCATTGTCGTTTCATTCACAATGGAGATACCTAACGGCGTTACGAGGTAGACATGGCATGGCATGGCATGGCATAGGATGAGATATGTACGATGCGCACGGAGCATTGGTTGGCGGTTTGTTTGTTTGTTTGTTTGCTTATGTGTATGTATCGCCATTCAGCATCCGACCTACGGTTTAGGTAGTTAGGTCGTAGGAGTTACGATAGGTTCTTAGAACCGCGCGTATTTGAATTCTTCACTTATGCTGACGTATATCGGTTATGGTTGTGTGTTCAGTGTGTATTGTATTAGGTACCTAGGTATGTGTTAAAGTCCTGTTCGTCGTGATGTGATATCCATTATCAGTAGTGGTATCTCAGTGTGCGGTCTATGAACATCGCGCGGTAAGCTAACCTACCTAGACTACCTCTATTTGAGCGATCCCAAGCGGTAGTAGGTTCTGTACCGAATTGCTGAAATCTACCTGGAAGTAGGTATTAAAATCTCGCCAAGAGGGTTCCAGTAAAAAGTTATCCCGACTGTTTCGTTTCTTGTATACCTCCCTCCTCTCTTACTTTCACCCGTCGCCGCGGATCGGTAACGTCCTAGCTTAAGTCGTATCAGGGTAGTAGGTGTGACAGTCCCAAAGCTCAAGCCTTGGTAAGTGACACACACGTAAGGCTTAGGTTAGAATTACTAGTTGCTAGAATGAGAAATAATAGCTTTCTAAACACTACGAGCAATAGACGTGATTGGCAGCCTAGTAGCACACGCACGAACTGTACTCTTTTCCGGCTAGGTAATCTTCACGTACCTGTTATTGTACCAGAAACGGAAAAGTCGAAATGGATAGGTACAAGTAAAGAGTCGAGACTTATTGCTGTAGTTTCGGGTATAGAAAACCCATAGTCTCTGTCAGACTACTTACTTACCTAGGTACCTAAGGTAAGTATATGCGAAAAAAGTAACATCGAAATAATAGAGTAAATTCTGACAGGAACTTAGTCGAGGAGAGGGATTCAAGTATACGCTAGGTATAGTTAGTTGAGGTACCATAAGTCGTATAACTACCTATACCTAATAGAGTTGCCGAAAACTACCTGTCTTTCAACCCAAGCTGAATTGTGCACTGGGACTCCATGATGTCCTGCATATATACGTAATCGTTCAACTACCTACTATAATAAGGATAGTCGTTGCTTTTCATCGTGAACTTAGCGTAACAGGTATTGACAAGCATGTTTTTCTAGTGTTGCCTATCGACATGTACATTGTTTGATGTGATATTATTGCGGTTCTTCGGCCCTACACTCCCAAAAGGATGGTAACAGTGAGCGGCTTCATTGACCCCCGTACATATTCCGCAAGTAATTATTATCAGGCAGGTTTTGTATGAGAAATTCCCTAGCTTTTAACTTTCTAATGTAGAATCTTTAAGACATCTTTCTTTGCACAAGCTATAAAACTACCTAAGCTTATAACGTATTTCTATCATAGAAATTACCTTATAATATAAGTTATTTGAAAGATAAAGTATGGTACAGTGGAGCTGCTAATTCTTACCATCCTTTTAGAGTTGTAGATGTCGATATGCGTAGCATAGTTGTAGCAGTAAGAGCGCTCTGTGCTCTACCTCGGGGCTATTCAGGGGGACATTTAGACATGTATTTTCTTATTAAGGAAATTTTTTTTTTCTCTGGGCCTACACTAAAACTACCTAGACATTTTCTCATATACTAATAGGAGGTATGCACCTAGTCACGATGGGAATAGATGACTTGTTTATGCAGTGTGGTGAAGTCCGGTTTTAAGTCCTTCCCGGGTCTCTCCGTATCAGCTGACCAGAATATATATTTATTCGCCGAGCATCGAGACCCGCTGCGATTGGCTTCGCATTGTTGCTGAGAAAAGGAAGCCACTGAACATGTCGAAGGATCCACGAGATCGACAAATAGCACCGTAAAATCGGATATTTCGAAATAGGGGAATCTTCAATTTCAATGAGACATGAGCGAGTGCGTGTGATATGTGTAATACTAGAAACGCGATTTCTCAAAACACGATCAAGTGACTGAAAGTTCGATTCCTATTAGTGCCGTTCATCGTGTCTTGAAGCTCCCTTTGTTTCTGCAACAGCACCTAGGTGGGGTGATGTCTTGAGTCAATATAATAAATATACCTCACATGTTATGCTATAAAAACAAAATAATAACAACTACATAGGTACCTAAAGTATAAGTAATGCCGAACTTGAATTATTTTTATTAGCACGTCATCATAGATGACCTGCCGCAGATCATTGCATTACACATAGATATACGAAGGCTTACACGACAGTTTACTCAAGTATAAAGTACCTACCTAGGTAGATACCTAGTGTAGGTACATGTTTTTGTCACGTGGAAACGGGGTTGGGTGACTGGATGGAGTTTGAGGCTGATTGAATCCGGCCAAGTGCCGTTGTGCCCGGGGGGATTAGCACCGGGCCAGTGGGCATAGAGCGCACTAAGCTAAGCGACGTGTGGATTCGATTGGATTTGATTGGTAGATCTTCGAGAACCGAGACCCACCTGGCTTATAGCTTAAATTTCCCGATCCAATAGTGATGACGCCCCCCGATTGTTCTCAAGATCTGGACAGAAACCGCTTCTGCAGCGATCGATGCATTGATATGCGCATCGGGTTACTCAACCAGCCAACGTACATAGGTACCTAAGGTAGCATCGCTCAAAACAGCAACAACAAATTATTTACTATTACTTACCTAAGGTAATTTCAATTTCACCTGCATTAACGCCTGAAGCCCCCGTCGCCAACATTGCTTCCGCTTTAAGAGCCGCTTTTCGCAGGTCGGCGAAACCGTTCGAGGCCTTCGTTTGGTGCGGCTAACTTAACGAACAGCATACTCAAACCGTTTAGTAAAATGGAACCTTACCATATTTTTGCATTGGGTAGCTCGTGATGATTCTTCGATGCTTCGATGCCGTGCAAATGTACCGTATCGAGAGCCAATGGGCTCTCTCAGGGAGGTTCTTCGACTAAACTAGGACCAAGAACCAACCACCAGGCTATTTTTCCCAATAGCGACAAAGTATGTCTTGAAGGAGCATGAGCATGAGCATGAGCACAAGCACGGGCATGAATAAAGGCATCGAGAAGCGAGAATTTGAGACCTCACGAGAAGCTAGAATCTGAAACCAAACAATTGGATAACTTTGAACAATCGGATTCTAGAATTCGGATCAGAGAAAAACGCCAAACTGCAATTAGACTATTTCCCCCGAATTTAGAATAGATTATGTTGGCGTTCCCGTCTACCGTCGGTTACTTTAGATCCATTTCCGGGAACAGGGTCTGGTACTATAGTAGCTCAAAGATGGGGCCTTTATGATGCTCGATCAGAGCTATGACATGACATGGCGGCGATCATCCAACAGAGGCGTTATCCATACTCTCGGTATTTTCGGTCCTCTCCACGTGTGTGCGTTGGCTTAGAACATACCATTCGCTAGCTTCTTCCTATCCATCTGTCTGTCTGTCTGTCTGCTTTCTATTTTGCTTGTATGTAATTCCATGTCCCGTTCTTCATTAATACGAAACATCTCGCGCGGGTCCAATTATTAAGACCTCTCTTTCATTCCTGCGTTCCCCGATCTAAAAGCCAATATAGCCGCGCGAGACATGAGCCGAGTCGGACGGTACACAAGCCGGCTTCACTCGCTAGCACCTTTCAACCGTCCAGAATTTAAATATAACTGAGCGCCGTCGTCACTGCTTTGAAGCTTCTGGGGAGGCTGCATATTTTGCTAAGCGGCACGATATTTATAAAGGCTGTGTCCCGACTTTACTATTATCTACTAAGTACCTAACGTACTTGCTCCTCTTTCATCACAAGGGTTCCAACCTTCTTGGAAACTTACCTACCTGCCTAAGGTACATAGCCGTGCTCTCACTTGTATTACTCCACAATGACTATCATGAACCCCTGGGAAGAGAGCGCGCTGCAGGTACGTTACCACAGTTCCCCCTTATTCATTTTCATCTCTTGCCCTTCACTCTCCCTTATTTAGAGGGCTGGGTTATATCAAATCAACCACTGACATACTTGAATATTAATATAGTATCGATACCAAGATGATAGCAACGCATTTACGACAGTACCGGCCAGCATCGGAATGGACTCAAAGGATACCGTACACGACGGTATAATTTACCCCGGACTCTATGCTCCGAGCGGGTTTGACATGATGAGCATTCTCGTGAGTTTACTACAACAAGAATTCCCTCACAAATATCTATCTAGTTTTTCTTTTTTTTTTTCTAACACGGCGAAAGGTACGAGTCATGGCCAGACCGAACCCCGTCGTCGAGCTCGGTCCCATCGACGCCTCCTGCGCGCTCATCATGTGCGACCTCTACCAGGAGGACTACCCGATAGTCTACGCCTCGGACCCGTTCACCGAGCTGACGGGCTACTCGCGCTCGGAGGTTACCGGGCTGAACTGCCGGTTCCTCCAGGCACCGGGCGGACGGGTCGCCAAGCAGTCGGCGCGCAAGCACGTGGGCAAGGAGCTGCTGAAGAAGATGCGGCGCGCCGTCGAGAGGAACGAGGAGGTCGCCGTCGAGGTCGTCAACTTCAAGAAGAACGGCACCCGGTTCGTCAACGTGCTGTCCATGATCCCGGTCTACTGGGACAGCCAGACGCCCCGGTACTCGATTGGGTTTCTGGCCGAGAAAACCTGGTAATAAACTGAATAACTATCCGCAAAACAAACAAGGGGCGAGTTACCTACCAAGTTCTACCCAGCGATATTTTGGAAGCAGAGACATTTGATCACAACAAAGGGAGGAGAGAGAGAAGAAGAAGAGAACAAACGAGAAAAGGAAACAAGAGGCGGAGGGAGTTTGGGAATGCGAGTTTTTCGAATTTTGAAGCAATGATACCCCCCGTCGTCGACCCGCGCTTTCAGGCACGCCAGCATCAGCATCACGTTTTTTAAACCCTACCTATTTTTACGTTTACGTTTAACTACCAGGCATATTCTTTCCGTGCTTTTAGGCATTTCAATCTGCATCTGATACCCAAATGTTCTTCTATACTACTACCTTAGGTACCAAGCCTACGGGACTTCGCATGCTGCCGATGGGAATTCATGAGGATACGAGTTTGGAGATTTTTACCTAATATTAGCTTTGGATGGACAGGACGGGACGATATACTAGGTATATACATAGGTATATATGAATTACGATTTTAGGGGGGAGATTAGAAATCTACGGAATAAGTTTGTCTGAATATTAGGATTTTTGGTAGTTTGACTACAGAATAATATATGTAGGTAGTCATTTACATACTTACGTATAACTATGTTAGTTGTGTAGCTATGGTGGATATTATATCGTGGAATAATGCATATTGAATTTGTATTGGCATGTTTGGTACCCCCTTTATAAGGTGCTCCAATGATGTTTATTATACTCGCCGTAGCAGCTTGAGAAAATAGATATTACCTACCTGGGTACCTAATCAATAGAGTATACGATTAACAATAATCTAACCCATATTATACAACAATCAACTTTGAAGAGGCGCAAATGCATTCGATACCACGGGAAGTGCGAGGCCTGTTGACCTCCCCTCTACTGCTGGCAAAGAGAATCCCGATCCAACAACCAAGGATACCTACTAGGTTAGGTATTAGTCGGAGAATAATCCTCCCACCCGCCCCCCTTAGCTGATACCTATATCGTAATCTCACCGAGTGGGAATTACGGATATCTATCTAAGAAGCGGACAAGCTCTCTTCGCTAGCCAGCCAGCCAGCATCCAACTTTCCTTTCGTCCACGTAGGTACAGTACCTACCTATGTATGCTTCTCCCTGCAACACGAACTACCTACATACCCAGAACAGTAAACAGGTAGGTCAGTCACAAGAGATCTCCACGTCGCCGCTTACTACCTACCAAAGTAAGTTAAGGTAAGATAAGGTATAGAAAATTACCAACTTGAAAATTCCACGCGATCCAGGTCTCCGAATACGAAGAACATCTACCTACTTGTATACCTTGACCCGTCATATTCTTTTTTTCTCTTTTTCCTACCTTAGGAGGTAAGCAACCTACCTACCTACTTCTAGGTTAACTAACCAATGCAGCTAGGGTAGTAATATTTATTACCCACTCGCTCCTCCGTAAGGCACTCTCGCCCGATCAACCCGCTACCACCAGGTCGACTTTACCACGCTGGGTTTCTTCGATCGCCCTACCGTAGGCACGTCGTTCCCATCGGTGCGTCGCAGATATGCTTCTTCTCACCCGCCCCCCCCAACCCCCACTTCCCACTTCTCTTCTAGGTATAGGTAGTTTCTGCTTAAGATTGCGTTGGTTAGACCCCACCCGGTCGGTACCAATACGACGGAAGCAGGGGGGGGGGGGGGGGCTGGAAGAGTGGGATTTAAGGATTCTCCTTCTTTCCTGGAGTGGATGAAAATGAGACTTGTAGTGGCGAGATGGGACTGGCTGGGCAGGGGATGGAGTACGGTGGCCAGGTTCCTGTTAGGTTTTCTTGATTTCCATTAGGTATGTTCTTCGTGTGCAGCTGGGCCTAGGAGGTGGTAGGCGAGAGGCTGTGATAAGACAGATGGATATTTATTGCCTTGGCATAGCACTTGGTCAGCGGAAAGAGGCATGTTGTATTCTCGACTAGGTGCGTATCTACCTAAGCTATCTTGATTTTCTCGATTCGTTATCGAGGCTCGTGGAAGAGCATTTGGGTCCAGTTCGGTAATACTCGGGAACCCCTTGCGTGAATGCTCGGTGCTATTGTAATCGTGTCGAAATTCGGGTTAGCTCTGATGTAAGAGCACCTAGGTAGACATACAAAGCAAGAATCAAAATATAGCTATCTAATGTATCGTACCATAAGCGCCAGAAGGTGCGAATTAATACTACTCTTGTCGATATTCATATAGAATCTTAGCAAGACATTTTAGTTTGGAGTATGTAGACGAGCCAAGACACCGATATTATGTCCTTCCGATGCCTCGTAGTTAGCAACCACATGTAGTTAGTTATATTATGATATTCTAGAAGCTCGCCTTATCTCCGTTATTAGAGCTGAATACACTCATGGAGCACGATATATATAACCAAACAATGTACGTGATGCTTCACCATCTAATATCACAACAACAAATAGACCGGTTTGCTCTACTTGATCAAGAGTACCCAGGTAGATATCCTTTCAAGAGAACCTTGGACGACTCTATTAACTTATTATATTTACAGCGTTGGTATCTTCTTTTATTCCTGAGAAATCACGTCTAATAACTGAATCCCGGGAAATCAGCATCCTCAAACAGAGCCCCCCCTCCTATCCTGCTCTGAGCTGCCCAGGACTTGACTATTTTAATTACCATAAACCAGCCCTCTTCCTCTAACTGCCTATCCGTGCTATACCCCCCTTTCATAGCCTTACTTTCTTAAATCGCGGCGTATCTTACCTAATTAAGAGAGCCTCCGCGACTCCACGCATAGAGACGACTATCGACGCAAGCTTTCCTTCATCCGCCTCTGAACCCCATGCCATTACCTCATCAACCCACATCAATAATAACTCTGGTAAGTCGTCCCTCTGACGAATCCAATAACCCCTTAATTCCCCTCGAGTCAAGACGCGACCTCCTTATCACGGGAGTACGTCAAGCCTTCACAGCAGACCTATGGTCCCCAACATGAAGACCCTATAATCCGCTCCAATCCGATCCGATCTGATTCGAAACGGGCACCTAATTTCAAGGGCCCGAACCAGAATTTCGCAACATAAGGTAAGTAACCAATAATCAACTAACCGCACCCTGCTCTGCCATACTCTCCTATCTCGTCTCAACCCCCAACCCCTCCTCAAGCGTCCCCAGCGAACTCAACTTATCATCCAGCCACCGCGCCAGCTCCTCCGCCTGCCTTCTCGTGGCCACCACCGCGGCGGCCGCCACGCTGGTCGTCGTCGTGGCGACGCTCGCCGTCGTCGCCGCTCCGGCGCTCACCACGCTTTCGACTTCGGACGGGGAACCCAGGGGCGTTTGGGGATGGGGCTCGGTGTTGTTGTTTGTGTTTAACTGTTGTTGACTTTGGTGCTGATGTAGCTGTTGGTGTTGGCTATGTTGTTGTTGTTGCTGGGGAACAGTTCGCGCAGGCGTATGCGTCACGTAATCGCCCTCGCCAGCGCCAGCACTACCCGCGGCCGCGGCAGAGGTGCTCGGCCCGATACACACGAACAGCAGGCCGCAGCGCAATTTGCGGATGACCATGACGCCGGCGGTAAGTTGTATGGTCACGACGCTGGGAGGGTGTGGAGACGGGGGCTGGGGCTGGGACTGGGGTAAGGCCTCGACGACGGTGTCGGGCGAAGAGTACAAGGCCCATATAGATGCGGCGACGGTGCATTGGGTGCGCAGGGTGCCGACGGGGTGGGGCGATGCGTGCGCGAGGAGCTTCCCGGAGAGGGTCGTGAGGACGGCCGTGTGGACTTGGGGACCGAGGTTGGCGCTTAGAAAGGCAGTTAGGCGTTTGGTGAGGAGGAGGGAGGGCGTAGGGGTTGGTTGTTGGTTAGGCATGGTGGTTGCGGCACTTGTAATAGTGGTATTGGTATTGGTAGTGGTATTGGTATTGGTAGTGGTATTGGTATTGGTAGTGGTATTGGTATTGGTAGTGGTATTGGTATTGGTAGTGGTATTGGTATTGGTAGTGGT